GAGTCTTTTAAATGAGGAGCACAAGAGACTGGTGCAAACCACCTTGGAGGTCCACCATCAGGCTCAATAATCTCTTTGGCTAATTCAAGATAATCCTTCACAGTTTGAGTCCCATATCCATCATCCCAGTAAACCTCCAACTTTTCTTGACCACAATCCTTCTTCTTCTTCTCCTCCCTAACACTAACACCTGACCTCAAATACCCATTTCCCACATCAATTGAAGCCCTACCACTTCTCCCCTTCTCCCCCACAGGTGAAACACCATTTACTCCAACAGAATCAGACAACAAATCTGCTGAATCCCCCCGGCTCGCTATACACTGAATACTAGTTCTAGGTTGCAGCTTAGACTCCAAATTCAAAGAAAAACAAGGTGATATCTTGAAGCTCTGCACAACTAAAGCCATGATTTTTGAAAACCAATCTTTTCAAACTGAAGATAAAATGGGAGAGGATGAACTCTCAAGAATGAAATCATGAATATGCCAAAATTGAAGCAAGCTCTCAACCAGAGCCTTTCGAAAATGTGATTTTCTGTCTGAACTAAATTAGAAAGTCAGGGCTGCCCAGCACATGGAACTTTTTTCTCAAGTGTTTTAAACCACAAAAAGAAAGGTGAAAGTGAAATCCCAGAATTTTGTGATACCTCAAAGTTTAAAGATTTATAGGAATATGAACAAGCAAGAAACAGACTGTGTTTGTGTGTGGATTCAAAACTTACAACAATCACAGGCAAACTTGGGATTGCGCGAGAGTTATGTTGAAATACTAAAGTTGTGTCTGTACAAATATAACTGTTAGGGGGCGTTTGGTTCAGGTTATATAACATAACTAAGGGAATGTGACATTTCAAAGCTCACATTCCTATGTTTGGTTCACATTATCTCAGGGAATCTAACATTCCCCAGGAATGTCACATTCCCTCCACATAGGATTTTGAAGGGAATGTGATTCCCTTCAATTTCTAAGGTTATGTAAGATAACCTTGGTTATGTTAGTTTATTACACACACACACACACACATATATATATATATATATAATTATTTTTGTAACAAGCTTGGTGCATATGATATACATGCTCCAGCTTGAGGGGGAGTGTTGAAACACAAAAGTTGTGTCTGTAGAAATATAACTGTTAAAGTTATGTAGGGTTGTGTCTGTAGGATTGTGTCTCTTAGTCTGTATATATTTATCTGTTGTCTCCCCATTGAGACAAGCAAGTAATACAAACTTCTTCTACATCTTTCTCAACAAGTTATATGTGCGGACAGGCGAGCATTAGAGCATTATGGCCACTGAAACTGCAGTATAAACATGCTCGTTGTTAAGTATTACGGAGTATAATACTCGTACTATCCACTATTACATTACATATGCGGATATGCCCAACTCCATTCATTTCTATACATGTCAATTTCCGGATAACTTGTACTGTAAATAATTAATAAATAAATAAATAAATAAATAAATAAAAACTCTGTTTCTCTTCAGATATGAATGAACTCTCAAACATCAATTGATAATCATGATCTAATATGCATATTTTAATCTATTGTTTCTTGAAAATTTATATTTAGATTAATACTATGAACTATTATGTTTAAATATAAAATTTGCAAAATAAAAACACGCATCAAATATAAATAAGAACAAATGGTGATAATAACAAACGTAATAACCTGTTTGATGAAATGATTGAATCAATGATATGGTGATAATGCTGTAATTGTAATGTATGGCATAACAAAACATATCCATAAATCTAATCTAGAAGTATGATGATTGATAAGATTTTAAAGTAGATTACCTGTGAAAAGGATTGCTCTTATTATCATTATTACAGTGCTCAAAAAGAAATGTTTAATGCAAAAGGGAAACGCCACCCATTAATGTGGAATGACTGATTGCGTCCCTGGCCTAAAAGGCAAAGCCTCATCCTTTGTTTATAAAATTTTCATCACATTTAATGACTTATTTTGATCCTATAGCCAAGCCTCATCTTTTGTTTATTTATATATAAAAAACAAAGGATTCAGGTAAAACTGTAAAAATATAGAATAGCTCTCATTTTTTATTAAAATTCTCAATTATTGTTATTAATAAACTTAATAGATGATTACATTATGACCAGATGAATAAACATACTACAACATTACAATTCTCTTTTTTTTTTTTGTCTTTTTAGTGCATTTTTCCTTCTTCCAGTGCACAATTTCCTTCTTCGAGTACAGAGTGCACATTGTTATCTCTTATAGAGCATGCAATTTCTCCTTTTGAGTGCACATTGTTCTACCTTTCACTGCACATTGTTGTGTTTGACACTTGACAATGCACATTGTTAAGCGTAGGTGTCAATTTAAAAAAAAAAAAAAAAAAAACAGTTGAACTTGAAAAAATCACTAATTATTAATTTGAGTTGATTGTGTATTGTTCGTTTATGATTTGTGTTAATAATCCTATATTAAATTTAATCTTTTCAATAATTATCTTCCGCACATTTTTGAAAATCATAAAATGACAATTTTTTTTTTAAAGAGTAATTGATCTTAAATAAATCAATGATTAAAAATTTATTCACATTTTCACCTAAAAACTCCTTTACACCTAATCCTAAGCCTATACATATACACACACATTATGGTGAGATGAGTAAATTTACTTACGTTACAACTCTCATTACCAAATTTGTTGAGATTTTAAAGATTATAATAAGATGAAATTGTACAAAATGTCGTAGAGAATATATAATATATAGATAGATTTTTTTAAATAACAAACATTAAAGTAAATCACTTGAAATAAATAAAGGCTATGATTATAAATAGAAGGAATAAAGTTCAAATTGGCCACTGAACGTAACCTGAAAGTGCAATTAGGCCACTGAACGAAAAAAAAGTGCGATTAGGCCACTGAACACTCCAAAAATGTGCAATTTCACCTGATAGCAGGTTACCCTCAATTTTAACAGGTTATCTGCTTACGTGGCAGCTGAGTTGGCATTTTTAATAAATTTTAATAATAACTTTTTATTAAAAAAAAATTAAAAAATAAAAACGACTTTATTTTATTTTTTATTTAATTTTTTCCAATTTTTTATAAAATTTATTATTAAAATTAATTATTAAAAATTATTTAAAAATTATTAAAAATGCCAACTAAGCTGCCACATAAGCAGGTAACCTGCTAAAATTGATGGTAACCTGCTATCCGGTAAAATTGCATACGTTTGGAGAGTTCAGTGACCTAATTGCACATTTTTTGAGTGTTTAATGGCCTAATTGCACTTTTTTTTCGTTCAGTGGTCTAATTGCATTTTCAGGTTACGTTCAGTGGCCAATTTGAACCTTATTCCTAAATAGAATTTACAGCACAACTTTTTTTCCTGTATCTTTAAAAAAAAAAAAAAAATATAAGATACATATGATGAACTAGTCTGGCAATGAAAGGGGGAAAATATTTTTATTTGGAAGAGGAGAAATTAAACAAACTTCAGTACAGTGTGGTCCTTGCAACACAAATATACCCACCCACCCTTCACCTCCTCGTTTGGAAATATGTGAAATTAACCCACGTTTGAAGAACTTCTGCCTCATTCTTTTTATCTTTATTTTCTTGATGGTATTATAGACGAAAAAGCAAGCAGATAATAACAGCAAAAATTCAAAACTAGAACTAACACCTGCGAGTGAGGAGGGAGGAGAGGATGATTTAAATTGACATGAATGAAAGCTAAGCGTATAGTAATGCATTATGTTTATTATATATAATTTATATATATACTCTTAAATTACTTACCAATAATAGTTGATAGTTGCTTGATAGTGAGCTTACCATCATCCCTTGCATGAGAAGAGAAGTAAAAGAAATTAAATGCATGCACGCATGCCCAAGTTAGGCCAACAAATTAAACATTTATAGATAGAGATAGATCAGATAGAGAATATATAAATTAATTAGTATGTATGTAGCATACCTTGACATCCATTTTCAAATAAGGATTCCCTTCTTTCGAATTTATGCAGTAACATCCCCACTTTCGAAATGCAGTTCCTTTATCTCCATAAAGGCAGGTGTATGAGGAGGATAGAGACAATTGCAAGTAGTCGTGTAGGATGCTCCACCCCCACATGACCGTAACAACTACATCTTCTTGCCAGCTACCCGGTGAGCTATTAGGGAACCAATCATTATTAACAATGAAGGCATAGTTGCTGACATTATTATTATTAGATGCTCAGTTTTACATCATCATCGCTGTGTAAATGAGCTTAGCAATAGTTTATGTCATTGCAAGGTTGTTGAAGTTGCGTGGTTTTGCCATCACACAATGACGTGCAACCGCCTAGTATACGTTGACCATGCGAAAAAGTAGAAGTGAGGAGAGCGTTGCCACAACCGAAAAGCATGAACCTGTTGTAACTAGTAGAGTAATAGAATGGGGTTGCAGATAAATTAGTGTAACCCCCAATTAGGGAGAATGAATTATTGTCTCCCACCATGAAAGGAGTGATTGACTCTTCTAAAACACACAATTTTTTTCTTTGAGTGCACATTGTTCTACTTTCTATTGCAATTTTTTCCTTCTTCCAGTGTACATTTTTATTTCTTCAAGTGCACATTGTTATTTCTTCTAAAGCACACAATTTTTCCTTTTGAGTGCACATTGTTATTTCTACCCATGCACATTTTTAAACACAGTAGGTGTCAAAAAAAAAAATTTAAAATCATGTATTAAATTTAGTCTTTTGTATTGAATTTAATCTTTTCAATTATTGCTTCACATCTTTGTACTTTCCAATATATATATATATATATATATATATATATATATATATATATATACACACGCGCACACACACATATTACGCATTTACTTACATGGTTAGATGAATGCATTTACTTACGTTACAACTCTCATTACCAAATTTGTTGAATGAAATTGTACAAAATGTCATAGATAATATATAATTTATAGATTTTTTTAAATAACAAACATTAAAATAAATAAAGGCTATGATTATAAATAGAATTTACAGCACAACTTTTTTTTTCCTGTATCTTTAAAAAATAATAAAAATATAAGATACATATGATGAACTAGTGTGGCAATGAAAGGGGAAAATGTTTTTATTTGGAAGAGGAGAAATTAAACAAACTTCAGTACAGTGTGGTCCTTGCAACACAAATATACCCACCCACCCACCCTTCCCCTCCTCCAGCCCCTCTCTTTCTCTCTCTTTTTCATGCACAAATCTACATCACCAACAACAAGCTTGAATCGTTGAAAATTTCCTCCATCCTTAAAACACAAATTCTTTCCACCACCAAAACCAAGCCCGGGCTTATAAAACTACTAGTAGAATAATCTTGTAATGGCATCACCGCACCTCCAAAAAACAGAAACTAATGTTCTAATATCCAATTATTCATATCAAGGGAACTGCATGTAAAAATATATTGCCAATCAAAGCAAATATATGGTTCCCATTTCTACAGGATGCAATTTTCACGGATTTGAACCTGCTAGTAGAATTCCCGAATCCTGCCTCAACTATGTTACATCATATCATTAAAACTACCCCTCCTTGGCCCTACACAATAGAGGGAAGTTGATTAAAAACAAACACACGACCAAACATTAGTGAATAATATATATAATACATCAAGAAAATAGAATAATAAAAAGAAAATGCTACCCGACATTCAAATACCTCTAGGCTAGGTCACCTGACTGGTGTCAGCCGATAGTTGAGAACAAGGTCTTCAGGTTTCTTCCATATATAAGCCCGAACTGTGGCTAAGCTCATATCAGGAGATAATACCTAAGAAAGGACAAGTATGTTTTATTAGGAAAGAAAGGGATTGTCCAGCCATCTCTAAACAGCTCATTGAGAACATAATAATAATAATATTAAAACATAAAAACAAATAAACAGAGAAGATGAAGAAAGAACTCTGCACATAAACAACATTACATTCTTGAATGACCTAGAAATACAACATAAATGTCATTCATTCCCTAAGGTAGATGATAGTATAAAAGCAAGCCCGTTCAGTCAGTAGCATCATATTATAAAACAGTAAGAATAGAAGCTATATTAACTTAACATGTTTACATTATGTAAACGTGTTCTCATTTAAGTCCTTTAAATTACTTGACAATATTCTAAGATTTCAACTAGCTTTGGTTCCATGCATGAAAGATGCAACTGAGTTTATGAATTGAGGAATAATATTACTGTTCCATGCCTGAAACGACATCTAAATCTATGAATTGATGAATAAAATTAATTAAAATTTTGGGATGTAACTTTGCTCAATGGTACGGTATCTCAATCAAAGGTTGCATAAACTTGCCTGGCTATTGCACAAGACCTCAATAGAAGGCTTAAGCTTTTGCCAAGGTTTAAGGCCAGACCGAAATTCTCCAACACCTAAGGCAGGTCCCCCAGGAGCAAAAGTCCCGTCTGAATTCAAACTATCCAATGGCGGCTTATCAAGAACCATCTTTTCAATGACATAGTTGATAACCTTTAAAGAGAAGGGAAAAAAAGTGCAACACATTAAATCTAAGATTAAAAAAAATGTTGCGCGTCTATTATCTACTTTGAGACAATTTTATTTAAAATTAATGTTCTCCCATAAATTAATAAGAATTTCTCTCTAAAATAAGGGAGGTCTATGCAATTAAAAATTGACAAGAATTAGGTACAAAATGTGAATCTCATGAATTAAATGCTCAATTTGAACATAAATAGAAAATGTTGACCCTATATATGAATTATGAAAAATACTGAGGTTCCCCTTAATGTTCTTCAAATGTATCTTAATGTATATGAGATGTCCAATGGGTGTGTAATAGAAAGGACAGAACCACATGAATGATATAGGTGTCTCATCTCCATCTTTTAGGTTGGCAAAATCCCTTTTAAGTAATCACCTGTTCCTCCAAATTATACCAACCATATCCTTACTCTCCATTCAATGCATTCCATTGTGATTATCAAAATTCGTATTATTCAACAATTTTCTGAGCTAAATTTTGATTCATACAAATTAAAGTGCATTGAGTAGAAGCTCTTACTTTATGTATTCTCAAGATACGAGGAGCGCTCAATTTTCCTTGAGTAAGTATCTGAACAGTAGAACCTTCACATGGATGCAAATAAAAGCTGCATCTGCAGAAAATAAAAAAATAAAATTAGGAGAAATAAATTCTCAAAATGAGAACCACAAGATGAAAAATGAACTGCTGTGTATTCATGCTGATACCAAAATAGAATCATTCGTCAACTAATTTCTCAAATTGGTCAATTTAACAAACATTTGACTGGGAGAAATTAAGAGATAACAAAAACATTTTTCAGTGTTCAGTTTCAAAAACATTGCTAAATTTGTATGTACATAATGCAGATAACAACAAAGGAAAGCAATCAGATTTCCAGTAGTAAGAAAAAAAGTATTTGATAGGTTACTAAATCTTTAAAATGCATTGCCATAGTGGAAACTAACTGTCTAACTCCTTACTTTCTAGTGTCCTTGCAACATGGAAATCAAAGAAATCTGAAAGTAAGTTACAAAGACAATTAGAAACAAAACATACTTGGTATTTTCCCTTGGAGGAAGCCGATTATTCAACACGCAGTCCAGAACCCACCAGGGGAAATCCTTCTCATCTTCCGTTCCATCTAAGTCTGTAATTTTCTTTCTCCATGGCCCACCTTGAGAGCCCTCCGTAATGATAGATGGAGGGGAAACTGCTGAAAACTCAAATGGTGGATATACAGCAGAATCGTTATCTGCATTACTATCTACCTCAACTCTTGATACAGCTAAATTCCTAGAAGAGATGTCCTTTCCAGGTGGGACCTCCCCATTTCCTGACACCTGGGATCCAAATCTCTGCCTTCTTTTGGTTAACCAATGAGCCAAAAGACCTTTAAGGGTTTCTCGTGCCAAATTAATCTATTACATAATTCAGGAGATTATGAATCAGTTCTATTTATTACGCAAACCAATTTAAACAGAAACATAGCAAGCTGTTTTACTGAAAACCATCAGCAATAAAACACACCACTTTAAAAGTTTGCCAACCAATAGAATGCCCAAAGATGCAAAAACTGTGATTAGTAATAACTTGTTGAATTGAGGACAATTGCAATAGTCTTTATCTGAGCCATACTTGCATTAGAAGTTTAGTTACCAATACTTTCTTGATTTGGGTATGTTTTTGTTTTAATTCTATGGTTATTTTACAATTATTTCAATAATACTTATGTAACCTCATCTCAAAAGACTTTATTATATATCTCAAATTTTATACCCTAATCCAAGTTATTAGTACAATTTCTTGCTAGGCAGATTTTCCTTGGAAGTATCATATGGAAAATAAACAAAAATTATCACAATGGTTATATAGGTACTATTAATCAAGAACTGAAGCACAGAAATTCACAGTAAATACCTTGTCATCCTCAGGCTTCCCAGCAATGTTAAGGTCCACAGAATACATCTCAGCAGAGAAGCATTGGGGTGTATCCAAATGTACAGACAAGTTTCCAAGCCTTGTATCCACAGTAAACCATGCAGGTATGCTTACCTGAAGAAGCAAACAAAGGTTAAAGGAAAATCAAGAAGAAAGCTGGGAAATTACTACAATTAGAATATCAGTTCCTACCATCTCAAAAAGTTCTTCTTTCTTCTTCTCAAATGAGACCTAATAGTCAGGAGATAGAAATCACAAGTTAGAGAAAAGATTTTTTTAAAACAGGATTGAAATAAATAAATAAGGCCCCGGAGATTCCCCAGATGAGGAGAAAACACAGAATAACTGTCAGATTGCTTTCTGAAGGGAGTCCAAATCATTTAATACTAACCTCACCATAGTTTTCAATCACAGAGCCTCTTGTAATCTCCCACAATTTCACTGCACCAGCAGTATCCTTGGAAAGGCACAGTCCAGTATCAGATAACACAACCGAATTTAGTGTCACAACGCTAAGCCTCATAGAAATTGAACAGCGAGGACTAATGACCAAATGTAGGAAGTTAATACTAACTACTAAGTGTGCTCTTTATTACCTTAGTAAGGACATGCCTTCTGTTGTTTAGGATCTCATGTTTAACTATTCCTGGAGTCCCAGGAATGCTAAAGGATGGTTCTCTATAAACAGGCACCTGCATGATTGCTTAACAGTCATTTTCGTACTCTCAAACAAAGATTATACCTCATACCCCAGAGTAGGAGAGAGCCTACAGGGATGATGGATGAAGGGATGAGGAGAACCCATGGCAATAGAAAGATAAACACGAGTAATTTGATAATGATTTATATGGAACATATCTGCTCATCAAATTGAGTTTCCCCACCAATGAAAAGAGACATAATAAAACAAGTTGATTATAACATAGAAGAGAAAAGATCTACAAACAGTAGAACACTTGTAGCCATTTAGTGCTTAAAATCCAAAAAAAATGAGAAGATAGTGGAACACATGCTAGCAAAGCATGTTACATATCATGCCAGATCTGAAAAATCCTAAAGATGGTTCAGGTGTTGTATTTAAGCCCAAAAAAGTAAACAAATGAATAAAAAGATAAAAGGTTAAAGCAAGCATAGTCCAATCTATTTGTACAATTTTAGTCCCTTCTCTTTGTTTCTTTTCTTTTCTTCCCCGCCCTTTTTAGCACACCAAAGGCACCCAAAAAAAAAAAAAAAAAAAAGAGAGAGAGAGGAAAGGAGCGATTTCCCATATCTTTCGTTAAATAACGTATTCAACAATTATTTAATTTTATTTAGAAAGGTAAAAATGAAACAAAGTTGTTCAGAAGAACAAATGATGCCAAAATAATTTATGGTGTGCTCTGTTGACAAAAGATAATACAAGTCCCTGAAGATCAATTTATATATATACCAACCCCTTTCTAAAATCTAGAAGCAAATTTGAAACCTCATAAATGCACAACAGCACAAGCACATGAAGTCTGACTTCTGAGCAATTAGCAGCCATAGTCAGCCAAGAAACTTAAGAAGAAGAAATTTGACTTACAGGTGTTGATCCCTCTAATGAAATCCTTGCTCTAGAAAATGACAAATTTCCAGCCAAGAATGAACCTCCTCTTTGGAAAACTTTCAGGGGATTCTGCACTTCTGCCGGCCATCTATGTACAGAAGAATCAGTTGTTGCTACCCATATTCCATCATCATGCAATGCCAATTGCACAATTGGGTGTTCCTTTGTACATAGTAGTACACTCTCTCTTGTTGCCAGGTCTGTCAAGTATAACTGCAAGAACAAAGTGCAGTCAAAGGAGATGGACAGAAAAAGGGTAGGATCTAGGAAAAAGATAAAAATGTGATGTACTGTGGTTAAGCCACAATTCCACATACAGAGAGGTCTCTTCCACCACTGTAGACATGACTAAATGATGGAGTGCTAGCAAGTGCCCAAACAGAATCTGTATGCACAGCATAGGAGTGTACACATCGCTGTTGGCCAAGATCCCATAGCCTACAGAATTGAAACATTTCAAGTCAACTATGTGATTGGATAAGACAAACAGATGAGGGTGAGGTATAATTGATGTCACTTTCTCAAACTATTACGAAATCCACAAGAATAGACTAAACAGTCAAATCCAGGCAGTTGAGAAATGGAAATTTCTTCAATCACTTGCCAACTTCCTACTTTACTGGCTATGTGATGGGTCAAAACTCAAAACTCATTTGAGGCAAGTGTAGTTACTGCAACTAATCAAGGAAAGCATCCAAAATCACAAGAGACTTTATGAACAAATTAAAAAAGATCTATTTATGGTAAGTATAGACAAACATATCTCTTACTCTTTGCTGAAGTTTATGACTAATTATGATGTGGATTGTGAATAATCCATAATCTACTCCAAGTCACTGATGAATTAGTTTAATAAGCAAAAATATATTGAACAATCCATACCCGTAAGTCTTTACCAAACATGTAAAATGTAGAATACTTTATCTATAATTTCAATAATCTGATTAATAATTTTTAACAAAAAGGTACAATGTAAATTTGAAAAAATAAAATAAAAATTGCAAACCATAGTTGAATAACACAGTTACACAGATATACAAAAATTCAAGAAAACAACACAAAACTGTATATTATTCTCCCTTTTTTTTTGTTTAAAGACAACAAGAAACCATTATGACCACATAAATAAAATTAACTCGGACTCCACTGGAAATCACTCTTTCCCAGCCACATAATGCAGAATGGAAAGAGAAAACTGCACTTTATTTCACAGAATACAGAAATAAAAATTCAACCAAGAAATATGTTTTGAGTCCCTTTTTGTTATTATGTTAATTAGTGATGAGTTACCTGATCATGGAGTCAGAGGATCCTGATAGGCAGAACCTGAAATTGGTTGTAGATAAAAGTTTATCACTCAGAGACACTAGAATAGTCAAGCATGAAAGACATTGACAACCAAAAAGAATACATCAAATAATTTTAGCAACTACTAGTGGCATGCTTTTGATTACCTAAGCTAAAAAGTACCGTGTTCCCAATGCAATGACAAACTGCTTTTAATATTTTTTTTTAAAAATGTTAAAAAGAGCTAAGCACCTTCAAGTAGCACTTCTGACTCCTTAATACACATCTTAGACTATTGGAACAAAGAAAATGTTTCAACATTGTGATACATCAAGTAAATTCCTATCACCTCCATTCATAAAAAAAAAAATTACATGTTCAACTAAAAAAAAAGTTAAATCCTAAATTAGCTGAAGTCTACAAGAATTCCCTTTTTCATTCTCTTTTTTGAGAGTGGGTGGAGATGGGGACTTAGCCATGAATGAGCCAACTAAATAACTGTATTATTGTACTCTAGCATCTACAAATTTTCCTTCCAACACAATTTACGATATTATAGTGCAAGCATAATTTGATACCGCCAGATCATAGATACATAGACAACCAAAAGTCAATGTCCAACAAACCTGCCAGTAGAATCCAGTAGCAGTGCTCGAATGTTATCTGTATGCCCTCTAAGTTTCATAGTCTTTGAGCCAGTTCTTGGATCCCAAACACGTATAACCTATGAGAAACCAAAATATTGTGACACAGAGAATTACAAATTTATTAACCACCAAACAATGAATAAAGCAAAAAAGGAGGCATTATTCAACTGCAGCTCTGGAATAGAGGAGCCCAAACTTTAAAAGATCTTAGAATTCCAAAAGTATTAAGTAATCATGCAAGGAAATGTATAAGAAAGAGAAGAAATATATCTTTCAACTGCTACTCTGGTATAGAGGAGCGAAAACTTGAAAGATTACAATGAGCAACCGCTTCAGAAACTAGAATTAGCTAGCCTACCAGAATATACCTTCTCAGTTCCACCAGAAACAAGTAGGGTCCCACTTTCATTCATTCCCAATGCATAAACTGATTCCTTGTGTCCTTTTGCAGCAGTAGGAGCATATACTTGGGACTGAGTAGGATGCAAGGAAATATTGTTGCTTGAGCTAATAGGTCGAAGACTTGTAACTGGCAATGAATTTGCTGTGCCATTGACACCATTAGAACATTCATCTTCAGTCCCATCACTTGACTTAGAGACAGGAGCAAGTGCAGCTTCAAGATCCCATACGAAAACCTCTCCACCAAGGCCAGCAGATGCAAAGATATTGTTCTATCATTGATGATTACGTAAGGGGGGTCAGAAATTGATGGTAATTAAATTCACAATTTGCCTCGAGATTGATGTGTAAGTTTAGACTGAAGCAACTAAATATCTAAATGCAATAATCAATTAATCATAGACCATAGTTAACTATCAAAGAAAGACTTCCTGATTTGAATTTACATTTGCTTCAGCTGCAGCAAGGCATGTGACATAGTCAGAATGCTGACGAAGTGTCCTAGCACAAACCCCATCAGATAAGCTATTCCACACCTAAACATCCAGTAAAATTGAAAACATAAATAGAACTGATGAGATATAGATAATCCATGGTTCATGAAATAGTTCAGGAATAGAATATCATTCTACGGAATAAACCTATTTCTCCATTTGGTTCGTTTTCTATTCAGCAGAATTAGTTATTCCCTTTGCAAAGAAAATAACCATTCAAAGGGGCCTTGGTATTAACTTTTCCTGACATTTCTAGAATAACTCAATTTTCATAATGTCAAAAATGCACCTTTTGTACATATACACATAACTAAACACACACACACAAAATTCTAGATATGGGTATTTTACCATTTGACTGTTTATTCCTTTTTCATTCCTTCAACCAACCAAACACTGAAATATAAACCCTTTTGTACTGTTTTCTGTAAACCAAATAATGGAATAGTATACATTCCATCCTATTCCTTGATTTCCTTCTGGAACCCTATTTGGATTCCCTTTAGTTTCATTCCATGAACCAAATACCACATTACCACATAAGAATTTTATAGAGAAGGTGGGAGTAGGGGAAAGCAGATAATTTTATAAGGGAGGAATATACCTTGACTGTAGTGTCGGAGGAACATGACACTAATGTGTTACCACTTGTTAGAACAGCATCATTTACCTGCACAATTAGTGAACCAAAAATATAAAATGCAAAATATATATATATATATATATATATATATATATATATATATATATATGAATTCAAAAAACACTTAAAATAGAAAAAGAAGCCGGGGATAAAGGGGTGAAAAGAAGACTGACTTAACAGAAATATCTGCAAGAATGTATAGAAATAATGAAGAAAAAAAAAAAAAAAGTTTCATAGTTTCACATGACTAAATCGCTTATTCTCATCACCAGCAAGCAATGAAAAGAAAATTAAATAACTACAGGTGCAAGCTTCCAAATGAATCTATATATTGTGATATGTTGATTTGTTGGTTCAAAATTACTTTTCACCACCAATCAGGACCATTAGCGGGTGATATTTAAGTTTAAATAACACTTTGATAAAAGCAAATGAAATGTATTAATCTCTATTCACTAAAGGTATAGCCAAGTTTGTGAAAACATATAAGTAACATCAGATTTGACAAAGTTTAACAAAACACATACAAATGCAAGGTAATAAATTTAACAGTAAATAAAAAAGGGCAATACCCAATCAACATGGGACTCAAACGTCGCAGAGCAAGTGGCACCATCTTCAGCCAATGCCCATCTTTTTAATGTGCCATCACGGCTACCAGTAAATAGGTAGTCACATCCATCAGGCACAGATGACTTCGATACAGCCAAGCAATTCACACCAGCACAATGCTACATAAAACCAGAATGAATAACGATAAAGTTTGCACTTATCTGGCAGCATAATGGAGTCACTTATACTCAACAACATATGAAGATTCATTAAAATCAGAGAATAAAATAAACAAGGTTCAAAACCCATTTGGCTAACTTGCATTTCATTTTTCCACATCAAACTAGTTTTCAGTGACAACTTTAGAACTTCAGCATAATGCAACGTAAAAATTGTAGACAAAGAAGAAGAAGGAGGAAAAAAAAAAAAAGCAATGCTGTTTTTTTATGGCAGGCTTCAAGGAATCAAGCTTATATACCCTAACACTAATTCCAACAAGCATCAGCTTCAAGTTAATACTATCAAGCCATGCCTAGGTTAACAACAATAGAAAGGAATTGGATCGGGTACCATGTATAGGATACCAACATCCAAGTACATGTGAAGATGCAAAACATACAAAAACTTTCTCATCAGAGAGTTTTTGGTCAAGTGAGGGGAAAAAAATAAACTAGCGGAACTCAACTTAAAATGAACTGCAATGATAGCACAACATTCATAAAGAAGTTGTGCATGCCTTTCCTCTTTCATTTTCTACATCAACTTCATTTATTATATTGCTGAAAAGTCAGTCCTCTGGATATATATGCAGGAGTATGTTTCTCAAGATCCTATACGAGAATTTCTTTTTTGTATACTATCCTATACATTAAGGAATCATTAAGGATAGGTGTCAGCAGCAAGAACGAAGAAGCACCAGTCTAAGCCTTTTCTTTAAGCAAGTTTTTCCTATTAACAAGTGATTTCAAAATTGGAAAGTTTTCAGTTCTATTTAAATGCACCTGTACTTGTTTGTCATTTTTCTTCTCCCACCACAAGAATGACTTGAAGACTTTAAAAACTGCATAACTCCTCTAACCCCACTCTACATTTTTGCCACTTTTAGGTAGTTCTTCTCACATATTCTTCTCACTTTTTTGAATGATTGCAAAGGTTTCCTCAATATAATTCAGTGTTCCTCTCTGCTAGAGATTTTTTTTTATAGAAATGAAGGCCTTTGTTGATGAGAAGTAGAAGGAATCAATCAATTCAGATCATATATGAGGATATTTTCCTTCATTGTTCAATGGTGCTAACATTTGCACTTGTTAACTTTGGGCCAAGATTCTTACAGACAACTTTTTTGACAAAACAAAGGCTTCCAAACCACCAAACAAACAAACAAAAATGAGGAGTTAGAATCACAGCTCAAAATGAACTTATAGAATACCTTGGTATCATCTGCATCATTCAACACATACGTCAACCTCTTCTCCTTGCGAGGCCTACTTGAGTTGGATGTGTTGCCTACACTCGCTACACGGTGCATTGCACAAATCCCTATAGAAACACTCCTATTAATTATCCAAAAAATATAATTTATATACTCCACAGACATAACAAACCACATATAAATATATAACAGATCAATACATAACAGGTCATGCTAAGATCCAAACCAGAAACAATAAATGAAATAATAGTGTTTTTTTGAGACAATTGGTGCCAATAATGGTCCTAATGGATGCCAGTGGCATCACATTTCATCTGGCTGTATTTAGTTCACATTACATATGGTAGCAAATTTGTTACCCGTATAGTCAATCAGTGTTATGTAACAGATAACATTTCATATAGCTGTAATTGGTGCAACATCATTACAGAATATTATTTCTAACTTCTAAGAAAATTATAATCAATCATAGGTATTAAAAAAAAAAAAAAAAAAAAAAACATTGGTAACTGCAACGAACTGGAAATTAAAAGTCTAATAGACTGTAGGAATTCATTTCTGTAGAAAAGCGATATTAATTTCACATATTAATTACAGTTTTATGAAAAGACTAGTCAAATTTCCAACCATTCAAAAAGGCTTCTAAAACCACTTATATATATGCCATAAAATCAAACCATCAAAGCAATTCAATCCATTGGGAGTTATGTTTCTCATCGCATCCGTTCCTATCAGACATGATTCAAGAACGGCAGAGCATGTAGGTTGAGTTTGAATGCACAACACAATTATCCTCAAATCTCACTAACCCAAAAGTTGAGCGAATCTTTAAACACTTGCGATACAATAATACACTCAAATCTCCAGGATTTATCTGCTTCATCAGTTACTAACACAACCCTCAGATTTCAAATCTCCATAAACAACTTCCGCCGGCACTTAATACAGAATTGAACTATTGAATAACGAAAGATGAAATCAGCTCCAGAAATTGACACACCCCGAGATCATCTCCACAAAATTTAGTCAACTCTGCTGGAAGAAAAATCAAAAAATTGTGCATGAATACCTTCATATAGAGTCGATTTCAGAGCTTTTTATCTACGATCTTGAAGCAAGAAGGGTCATCATCCACAAGAATTTGAGCAAGCAACGTCGTATGTGAGAGTTTGAGAAATGGGAGTGAATGACGTTATCGAGGGAGAGAGAGAGAATATTAGGGTTCGTCTCTTTCGTTTTTCTTTTTTATTTCGTGTTATTACAGCTAGTCAGCTACTAAGGTTCGTTAAATTACAAAACCACCCTCTATTCCTCATATAAACACATGCCCAAACGGTTAACGGGAATTTTTTTTTTGTTTAAACATAAAAAATTGTCTGGGTGTCTTTTATCTTTAATCACCATTGTTTATTAGATATAAATTTTTATTTCACATATTTATCTATTTATGTCATTAAATTATTCATAATAGTGGAGATATTTTGTGATTTTTTAGAAGTTTTTGTAAGTGTGATTAAGAAATATAATAGAGGAGGGAAGAGGAAAAATATTTAAAAAAATAAAAAACAAAATAAAATTGATTTAAAAAAATGTCAATGCGCCCACTGGGCACACTTTGTGATAGTTACGCAAGACTGTTACGAGTTGTCTATTTTTACTGTGGGTTCCACATTTCTGCTAATATCTCCCTTCTTTACTGATAAACCTCAACTCTCTCTCTTTTGCTTCTCTCTTCGGCAACATGACTCTTTTTTTTTTGGAAATTGTACATTATTCCTAGATGTGGATGACCTTAGTATAATTCACTTCCAATTTGAAATTCACAGTTCAAAGTTTGGAATTAATTAATTAGATATATTCAAATTTAAACTTTATGAAAAATGTTTAGTTCTATTTCAAATCAATTCTTCCTTCCACCCTCAATTTTTATTATTATTGAAATCATCCAAGTTCAACTCCCTAAAACACAAAATTTCTAACTTCAATCCAGCTTTGAAGTTAGAACATTTTAAATTAAACAATAATTTTGTGTTTAAATTTAATTTTATCTAGACTAAGATACCAATATATTATAAATATTTCGTGAATGATTAAAGTTCATGAAGTTCTCTACATAGTTTCTCCTTTGATTGCACATTTTTGTCTCTTTGAGTACACACTATTGGTCTTTGAGTCAGGGTTGTAAAAATCAGTCTAGGCGCCCGCCTAGGCCCCTCTAGACCGTGGCGATTTCCCCCCTAGGCGCCCGCCTAGGTTACCGGCCGCCTAGCGCCTAACTCGGCCGATTTGGCCGCCTAGTGTCTAAGTTAGTCGAGTTAACTCGTTCATTTCGGTCGAGTTAACCCGATCGGCTCGGCCTATTTTTTTATTATATATATGTGTGTGTGTGTGTGTGTGTGTGCGGGCGCGCATACATATATATAATATGACATATATACACTCGTAAACTAGTTTGATACTTTGAATATTTGGATGATTGAAGTATTTGAGTATTTTTAATATTTAATATTGTTTTAATGTTTTTTTTTAAACTATTGTTTTGATGTTATGACTTATGAATTATCATTAATTCATTTATTTGGATGTGTTATTTGATTAAATGTTGAAAAAAACTTCATTAAAATCTAGCGCCGCCTAGGCGCTGTCCGGGCGCCCGACTAGCGCCTAACACCTACTGCAACCATGCTTTGAGTACACATTTTTGTGTATTTAAGTGCACTTTTTTCTCTTTTAAGTGCATTATTATGGGTCAATGTTTATTATAGCAATTGTTTTCTTTTCAACAACGTATAACTATATTTCTATTAAAATTTGTGAGATTTACAAATGATTTGTAAAAATTACAATTCAGATTGCATTTGTCTTCGGTGTGTGTAGAGTAAAATACATGTATAGAACGATAATTTGAAAGAAGAACAAAAAACTTGTGGGCTTTTGTGAATTTTGGGCTTGTAAGCTTAGGTTTTTGGATTAATTTATTCCATTGTTATACCCCGCACCATGACGCGCGTAATAATGTGCGCTCCGCGCTTCCCAAAATGATGTCATTTTGAGAGTCGGAGAAGGGAGTTAACGTGATTATGTGTATTTGTTTATATCATTATGTGTATTTGTTTATACAATTATGTATATTTTATATACAATTATGTGTGTTTGTTTATACAATTATGTGTATTTGTTTATATAATTAGATATATTTTTTTATACAGTTATGTAAAACGACGTCGTTTTGTATCAGGGCGCACAATGCAATGCGCGCCCTGATGCACGATATAAATTGCCTAATTTGTTGAGCCTTTTTCTATGGGCTTTTGTTAGTTGTGTTTGAGATGTGGGCTTTGATTTATTGGGCCAAAGTTTTGTTGGATTAACTTTCACATAGTGTTGTGTTTTGTTTTGTTTTTTTTTTTTTTGGGAAATTCACATAGTGTTGTTTTATTAATGGAAAATGTTCTTTTTCACCTCTTATATTTCTCTTCCGAACATTTATTTCTTGACGAGACTTTCTTTTATTGGGTGTCAATTAATTGACTGACTCTATCACTAATTAAAAATTAAATTTAGCTACTAATAAGATAATGGTCCTATTTGGTAGATGACTATCAGCTAATTGGGTTATTTAGAGGATATAACTAGTTGATAACATTAGTTGATTGTAGAAAATTGTTTGATAAATTAGTTGTTAGTTGTTAGCTGTTTGGTATAATTTTTTTTCAAAAAATTAATTGAAAAAGTTGTTTTAAGCAGCTTTTTAAATTTTAGCATTTTAAATTTTTAAATTATAAACAGATAAATTAACCAAATACTTATATTATTTTTAATCAAGGTAAACAATTAATAATGGTTAAATAAGTCAAAATTGACTGATAAACTAATTATTTAATTAAACAGGACCAGTGTCGTATTCAAATGGAAAGGTAGAGAAAATACAGAAAGGTTTATAACATTGTTCTTTATGAATTATTTAGTGAGATGTCGCGCAAAGCTTGCCTCATGTCAGGCTTTTAAATTTCTAATTCACGTTGAGTTAATGATTTTAAATTAGTGAATTACATCAAGACAAAATAATACTCGGTAATAATTATTGGTGTTTTTTTTTTTGAGGAAAATTATTGGTGGCTTAGATAATGGAAGATGCACAGATAATTTGTCTTAAAGAAACTAAAATAAATACTTATTATGTCATATATAATATTTCTCACATACCAATGATACCATACTATTTACACTTTTGTTGTTTATTATTTATATTCAATATTTAAATTTTAGAAAAGTCACATTCTAATTTTTTTTTTCTATATATTTAACTACTAAAATAGTACTAATTTTCGTTGGGGTAAAATGAACCCCATGGTTGCAATGTGGCTATGTCATTGCCCTGCTCTACTTGCAATGTGACGTTTGATTGGAATGAATGAATTTAAAAAGAAATGAAATAAATTTTGTGTAAAAAAATAATGTGAAAATTCAAATTTCATTGTTTGGTATGTATGAATCATATTAATGGAAATTGAACGGAAACAAGTGAACAAAGAATAAAATGTCTTTATGTACTAATAATAACAACAACAATAAGAATAAGAATGGTAGAATTACCATTTGCTGTGAAATTCCAAATCCATAGGTTGTGGAATTTCAATTCTGATGAACCATAAAAATTGCCATTCGTCCAATCAAATAATGAAATTTTAAATTTCATAAAATTTGATGAGAATGAAATTACAATTATATCATAATGAACATCCCATTAAGGTAGTACCCTAACATATTAATTAAGTTACAAGTCGAAATAAATACTAATGAAATAATTATTGAAAGCTATGATGGGAATTGTAGAGCAGCCACACTATTTATTTATTTATTTATTTTTATTATTGCTGTTTTCCATCTATTGAAAGTCTTTCAATTTTTGAACGACCTGTAAGACTTGCAAATGTGACTTTTGCATGCTTTGCCATCTTTTAGGCTTTTTAATTATATATATATATATATATATATATATATATATAATAAATTTTAAATTTATTGTATTATATTTTGAAGATAAGTTAAAGATAGCCTTCGAAATCTCAAAGCAATGATGTCACAATTGCATGAATTGAGGCCCTTAGTGTGTAATATAATAAAAGAGTTACATCAATCCTGCATATAAATGGGGGCATTTTTTGTCATAATGAAAGAGTATTGATTGAAGTTTTCAATTATCCTTTGAACTTGTTGTGGAATTCTAGTCATGGTTGGTGCATAGGCCCAGAGCCCCAGACCCTTATTTGGTCAAACTTCTATTATTATATATGGGTATAATGTTATGTACTTTTTTTTTCCTTTTATTTATTTTTATCTGATCAAGAGGTGTTCTGTCAAGCAGATTCTAATTGTAGGAGGAGCTCGTTAGGGCAAATTATATCGTGCACCGTGGTGCATAATCGATTATGCACAGCGCATCAAAACGACATCGTTTTATTTAATGAAGAGAAACAGAATCCGTTTTGCGCTGTTCTACACCGTTCCGTAAAAAATAACTCTGTTCTTTAGTTGCATTTTGTATACACTGCAGTTTCAGTTCAACACAACTACAATTTCATTTTGATATAACTACAGTTTCATTTTGATATAACTACAGTTTCATTTCGATATAACTACAGTTTCATTCAATATTTATACATTCAAATATGTGAAAATATTATTTAATTTTATTTTATATACACTATAGTTTCATTAAAACACAACTACATGATCATTTCGATATAATTACAGCTTCATTGTACAATATACACTCGAATATGTAAAATGTTATTTCAGTTTCATTTTATATATACTGCAGTTTCATTTCACCACAACTACAGTATCTTTTTAATATAACTGCAGTTTCATTTGATAATACAAAAACAATACGTGAGGCAGTGTCGGTTTAGATACACTGTAGTGTCACTCAGTTAACACTAACAACGCGTCGTTTCTTTACTTAAAGAAACGGCGCCGTTTTGATGCACGGTGCATAATCGATTATGCACCGCGGTCCATGATATAACGACTGGCTCGTTAGTCATACTATACTCATATTAATCTATGTTCGCATCGGGCCGGCCCAATTAAGGAAAAAAAATGCTTTACATAATGAAAGGTTCCTTGTTTACTTGCTTTCCTAGATCTTGTAGATCGACGGTTTGGAATTGCCAAGGGAAAACCTGTGGACAAATTCAAATCATCGATCTACCAGATCTGATAGATAAGAAGGCAAGTAAGATAGGAGCGATGTCATTTTCACAAATACTACGGACTTTTAAAATTTGAAATATTTATGAAAATGACTAAGGAAAAATGTGTTGTCATTTATGTAATTACGAGTGTGCATTTGAAAATGCTTGATATTGCATTCACGGATAACTGATAGTGTACTCAAAATCAATAATAGTGCACTCACGTGTGTACATTATTAGTTATCCATAGATAAACTATCAAGCATTTTCAAGTGCATTATTATAAGCTTTATCTTTTCTATCTTCTTTATATATATAATAAAGCAGAATCTATCCACAAAATTCTCCCTCCAAAGTGTTAATGCATTTTGATAGAAACAAGATTAGCAAGTATGAATGCATTAATTGTGTGGGTAGATGTGTTTATACATATTTGTTTTGAAGTTATTATGTGCATTTATATTTATTATATCTCTATCTCTATCTCTATATCTCTATATATATTAAAGCAAAATGAAGTAGGGAAAAAGTTTATTGTGTTCAAATTTATTGGTGAAGTTAAACATAGTTCTTTACATAAATAATCTTTTTCAAATGATTAAGTTTTTGGTGAAGATTTTTGACAAATATTGCATGTTATTTTATTTACAAATTTTATTTAAATACGTTAGTTATATAATTAAAGTAGTTATTTCAAATTCAAATTTAAATTCAAATAATAATAGAAATAACAATAAACTTTAAAATCAACATAATAATAACATAATTAAGCTTTTACAAATATTAAATATTACATTTTTAATAAAACTAATTATGAGTTGAAGAACTCAAGTACGTTTTACTGTTTCCACAACCATTACTTTGCTAATTTAGAGGATGTCAAAATTTTAATTAATAAATTTATTAAATTAATAATAGTCCGTGCATCGCACGAGACAACTACTAGTTACAAAAATATCAAAGCATTTTTTTATTTTGTCATTAATTTTAAGCCATTGATCATTATAAATGGATGAACGAAACCATTCTAAATACAATTTTAAAAAGCATAAAATGATAGAATTCACCCAATTTAATGAGTTCTACTATATGTATTATCATATCTTATTCTATGATGTGGCGAACATTGATAGATTATTTTTTTCATGTAGATCCATGTAAATGTGTCTACATCAAAATTGGAAGTGTGAGAGTAAAAATTGAGATTATAATGAAAATACATATACTATTTCCCCAGTTTAATAGATAAATTAATTCACCTAACTTTTTGTACTGTTGTGATATAAATTTGTACTTCGCATTTAAATTTGACTAGTGTAAAATTAAAAGGATTGACCATTTCCCACATTTATTAGTCCTAGTGACGAAGTATTCCTCCCAAATGTAAACAATAATGTAACATTTACAAATTAAATATGGTAAACAATAATGTTCATAATAGTAGTCATTGTTATGAAAGGGATAATTATAAGCAACAACAAGAGAGATTGCACAAGGATAGAATGGAGAGAGTAGGGAGAGAATTTTATTAATATCTTCAATGGTGTCTCTTATATATTTACATATATATGAAATATATGAGTCTTTACAAATTTAACCCTTAAGTACTCCATAGTACACTTGACCCTTCATTTATATAGAAATACAATAACTGGAATAATGACTACACAATAATAAAATATTCAAAACAATCATAGATATTTTATACAACCATCCACCAAAAAAAATAGATATTTTATACAACCAGGCTGATTGTTTTCTTCTTCTTCTTCAGTCTTTAGATAATAGTGTGATTAATTATGTTCATAACAGATCAAGACTATGTGGTCTAATGGTACCTGAATTGGATTTTTATTTGGAAGGTTATGAGTTTGAGCCTTAGTGGAGGTGTTATTGGTTTGTTTTTTTTTTTTTTTGTTTTTTTTTTTGTTTTTTTTTTTCAGTAGGTTGAGAAAGTATATGAACAGATACTACAATGTAATAGAGCCAGTAACATTAAAAAAAAATGTTCGTAGCAATGAATGATATAATTTACCCTGACTTTCTGATTTCTTTAATCTAAGATATGAGTTGATTTGCTTTTCAAAAAAAAAATGTATACAAAATATTTTCACACATAAACAGTTAAAACTCATAATAAAATTTAAAATAGTTATCTTTATTTTTTTAAAAAAAGAAAAATACAAAATTAGACTAATTTAATATATACTCCGTATATTTTTATTAAAGAGTTAATTTCATTTTTAGTCATATATTTATATGTGACAATCCATTTTTAGTTTTTTTTTTTCAAAACATCAACTTTTTATCCTAGTATTATTGTGGCATGACCATTTTTATCCTCCATCAGCAAAAAAAAGTTTAAATTTTGTCAAATACAAGAGCATTAGACTTCAATTTTGATTTTTTTCAAAAAATAAACATAAAAAATAACGGGTCAACCTACTTTGTATAAAAAAAATCAAAATGTCCTTGTATTTAACGATATTTCAATGATTTTCTTGACCGAAGACAAAAAATGGTCATCTCATAATAATACTAGGATCAAAAATAAATATTCAAATAAAAAAGGACTAAAAGTCAAATGTCACCATAAAAAATAAAATTAACTCTTTTATTAAATAATAATGAGTAAGAAACGTGTAAAAATTCCAAAGTGTAATAATAACACCTTTATGGGGCTGTCTCCGCTCCTCAGTCCTCTCTGTCCTGCCTGGAAAACACTTTTATTACTACAATTCTTGTTTTTGTTTTCTCAATCTCTCCATTGCGCCATAGATAGATCTGAGTACCAAATAGAAAGCAACGTATTCTAAAGATAAAAGATTCTTTCTCTCCCAACAAGAGAAGTCAATTAATTTATTGCTTGCCAAGGCAACCTCCCCAACTGTCAAAGAAAAAGCTTTTCCACCTTCGAATCAGAGTCCTCATGAAGTGATCAATCATTGACATTAAAAAAAAAAAAAAACTAGTTAAAATCACCATTCATTACCCTTTACAAATCTAGGAAAACCCATTTTCTCATGCTTTTTTTCTTTGCCATAAAAAATTGAAAACACATATATCATTTCCTTCCCCCTCTTGGCCCCTTCTCTCTCTCTCTCTCTCTCTTTATTGTGCCATGGCTTCAGTTTTACTCCACTCCATGTAGATTGTATTTAATGTAATATTTTATAGGCCAGGGAGTCAGAAACTGCCCTTTGTTAGTTGATCTTGCAGTTTCTTCATGTGCTTTTCTTAGGATACTGTTAAGCACTCCAAGAAAATGCTCTTAACTGCTCAAGAAGGGTCCTCCTTTGCAGAATTCCTGGTGTTTTTTTCCACAAAAGACCAGTATTTTGGATTTGGGTATCTGGGTTTTTTCTAAGGATTCCAAATTCTTTCAAAATACACAAGATTTTTTTTTTTTTTTTTTTTTTTCTCTCCTGTTGGGGTTTGTGTTTGGTGGGTCTTGAAGAATGCTTATTGCCACTGAGGAGGAGAAGATCTCATTGCCTGTGGCAAATGGTGAAGAAGTGGTGAAAATGAAATCACCTCTGATGGAGTCAAATCTGGGCTCCATTAATGGTATGCCTGAAGCTTCTGAGGAGTCTCCTGCAACTTCCATTGATGTGAATGTAGTTCCAGAGGATGATAAGCATAAGCTTGAGCAGAGAATCTTTACTTTAGAAGGTTACTTTCATTGGGTTTTTATATATATATATTTTTAATGATTTTCTGGATCTGGATGGGTGGTAATGTTCTATAGTCTTGCAGGGGAAATTGTGAATTTGAGACTAAAACAAAGATCTTTGGATGAAAGAAGAAGAGAAGCATTGAATAAGATAATAGACATCAAAGGTGAACTCAGTTTGATACTTGTGTTTTTAAATCCTTCCTGCTTATATATATTTGATATCTGAGTTGCTAAAAGCCAATAATCATGGGAAATGTAGGCTGCATTAGGCTATTTTGTAGAGTTAGGCCATGTTTACCAACAGATAAGAGGAGAAATCATCAACCCCTTTCAGTTGAATCAGAGAGGATTGTGGTTAGATCTGGTTCAAGTAGGAAGGAGTTTGGATTTGATAAGGTTTTCCCCCAGGAATCAAGCCAAGGTTAGTGATATTATCTTTGAATTCCATTGTTGAACCACGTAAATCTTGTCTTCTTTACTTTCTGCCATTATTTTCGATTGTTTATCTCAAGACTAGTATATTTTGTACATTCTGTAGAGGATGTGTTTGTTGAGGTTGAGCCAATTCTACGATCTGCGCTTGATGGACATAATGTGTGTATATTAGCTTATGGACAGACTGGGACAGGAAAGACATACACAATGGTCAGTGAAAACGCTAATTTTAACTCGTTTCCCATAATTCGTCTTTCGTTATCAGTGACACAATATAATGCACTTTTGGTGTAATGTTTAGGATGGAACTAGCGAGGCTCCTGGGATCATACCTCGTGTTCTTGAAGAGCTGTTTCGCCAAGCCTCTTTGGATGGCTCTACTGATTATACGTTTTCGATTAGCATGCTGGAGGTTTACTTGGGTAATCTCCGCGATTTGCTTGCTCCGAGGCCTTCCTCCAGAGTATATGCTGCATCGAGATGGTAATTCCCCCCCACCTCTTCACAGAAAAGAATCGAAGAAAAATAAAAAAGAAACCTTTAGTTGACTTGTTTTGTGGTTTGTGGTTTGTGGTTTGCCTTACTCCACTACAGCATTCTGAATATTCAAACAGATTCGAAAGGATCGGTTGATATTGATGGCCTCACAGAAGTGCAAATATCGAACTTCACCAAAGCAAATTGGTGGTACAACAAAGGGAGGCGGGTGAGATCCACTTCGTGGACCAACGTCAATGAAGCATCTAGCAGATCACATTGGTGGGTATAAAAAACGTCGGTTTTATACTCCGTTTTTCAGTGTGGTGGTTACATATCTCTTTAGTTTTATGTGTGTAGCTTAACAAGGATCACCATATATCGCCCCCGTGATGCACAAGTAACCAAACTGTGGATGATTGATCTCGGGGGCAGTGAACGCTTACTTAAAACTGGAGCAACTGGACAAACTCTCGATGAGGGAAGGGCCATTAATCTCTCCCTCTCAGCTCTAGGCGACGTAATTGCAGCCTTACGAAGAAAGAAAGGCCACGTTCCTTACAGGTTATTATATGATTGAAAAGTTACTTATCATAGCTTCTCGATGTGTTGTGTTGTGTTCTTTTGACCAACCAAACGACAATCTTGTTATTGCAGAAATAGCAAATTGACTCAAATTCTCAAGGATTCTCTAGGTACATTTACATTCTTTGATTTATTTTTCCAAGATTGAGAACTGTCATTGTGGTTGCAAAAATCTGATCTTTGAACTAAATTGAGCTAGGAAACGGTTCGAAAGTGTTGATGTTAGTCCATGTAAGTCCATATGAAGACGACATTGTTGAGACCGTCTGTTCGTTTAGTTTCGCAAAGAGAGCAAGGGCGGTGGAGTGCAACCGAGACCTTTCAGAAGTAATCATCTTTGTGTTTGTAATACAAATAAATTGTTTATCATGAAACCATGAATTATCGATATGTCACCTCGTTTTAGGAATCCAAGAAGAAGAAGGAGAAGAGGATTGCTGAGCTCGAGGAGCAGATGATGGAAGTTGAGGAAGAATGCGAGAACCTAAGACACCAAATAGAAAATGTCCAACTTTTACTAAACGAAAGCAAAAAAACTTTCTCGGTGTACTATGAACTTCCTGAGGATGGTGAAAAGAGCCCGAATAGCCCAGAACAGCAAGACTTTGGTGAAATCATGGAAACCCCGAAAGCATCAGAGAAAGCGACGAGAAGAAGCTCTGCAAACTCGATGCCTCGGTTCATGACCTCTACCATGGCCAGTCGCCAAAGAGAGAGCGCTGCAGAGAGGCAAATAATTAACAGCAAACCGAAAAGTCTGAGATCTTGGGCTAAAAGTTCAGTACAAATCTCGGGTTCCCACTCAATCAGCTATTCAGATCCCACCTCGAAACACTTTCTGAGAAACGCACACAAGAAGACTGGATTAGGCGAGACGAACAGTATTATTCCTATGGAGGATATGGAAACAAAACCGCGAGGCAAGGCTACTGCTGCTGCTTCGAATCCCAACTCGAGAGTTATGGTTTGTCACCATAGAAGAAGGATGTCTGATTGCCTCTAGCTAACATAACATAGTGCATAGAATTCACAAACTTAGTATTAACAACTTTTAGATGGTTTTGGTTTTTTCCACAGTAAATTAAGGTTTGTTCTTAGGATTGGTGTGTGGTTTTGGTCAAGGATGTTGAATTATTTGCTATATTTCACTGGTTTTGTTTCTCTGGCCTCATACAGATTTCAGTCATGGTTTTTTTTTTTGTGATTGTTGTAACTTACATCAGACATTGTGTAGTGTGTATAACAATGTTTTTTTTTTTAATTGTATATTTACTATTTCATTTTTGTATGGAATTGAATATTGATTATTTTATTTTAAATCTTTATTGTATCTGGTAGTGCTCTGCACAAATGTCTACAAGTATCTCATATAACGTGCACTCATTCTTGAGTTTGATGGATGCACGTTGTTTAGTTTGATCGCACATATAATGAGCATTTTCCTTTTTACAATGATGAACATGATAAGCGACTTATCAATCTTCACTTGTTATCAGAATTGTAGGTGATAGGGATTATACTTGACCATATCATATCGTATACGAGGTTGGTACCGGAGCGTTTCATTATGTGAAGTCACTACTGACCACGCTCGTAGGACCGAGTGGGTATTCCCTCGCCAACAGTGCTTGGACTTTATTATTCCACCCCGACCATATTAGGTTGTGACCGTCTACCCGACCTACACCACTTAGAGCTTTAAGCTCGCTACACTTCATTAGCCAAACGCAGTAACAGTGGGTCCAAGAGAGTTAGGAATCTCAAGACACACGGAGGGACTAACGAAGCCTCTGACCCTCACCTATGCATGCGTTTCACGTGCCACACGTGCCGAAAGACCGATATGTGTTCCCTCGCATCTCTTATAAATAGCGCATTAAATGCAATGAATATGAGACTTTTGGACATTTCTATCTAGCCCTATTTAGAGCATCATTATCAATTGAGATATTAGATGAGAGAATGTAAGAGTGATTAGGAAAGAGAAGATAGGAGGGGAAAGAAAAAAGCAAAATTGAATTAAAAATAAAATAAAATAAAATAATTAGCACTCTCAGGCGCGCTTGAAGCGCCATAGGACGACTGCAGTGCACGTGCCCGGCTTTTGACAAGCTGTGCGCGAAACGCGCTCAGCCTTTCCTTTTCTCCTTTATTTATTTATTTATTAAAATTTTGACATTATTTTGACATTTGCAGGAGTATTCTTTTTGAATTATCACATTCCCACATCAGCTTTGCTCTTACCCGTCTTATTCCAAACTTAAATATTAAACCAACAAGCAAACTAATTGTACCATTCCCACATCATCCTCTCGTTGATCTTCGTTTTGTGCCTCGTAGTCGTAATATGATTGCTCACTACTTAGCTAGACATGCTTTAAGCTTTATGGGCGAGGACAGAATTGAGTTTTTGACTCTATTTTCCGTTTTATTTCTGCTCACGTGTGTATGAATAATTTGATTTCTTAATATATGTGTTGGTTTTTGATTTTCAAAAAAAAAAAAACAAAAAACCAACAAGCAAACTAAATAATGATCCACCTACGATCCAATCTCATAACTTGTACATATTCGTGGAAACCATCCTATTTACCACATCAAATGTTCAAATTTGACCGCCGCCCATCATAAGCTTGATGTATACATATAATTCATGTCTTATACTCTCTTATATGAGTTTATTCCCGAGACAATATATATATATATTAATCAAATATTATGAAATTGTAATATTTTTAAAAGAGAAAATGTACTCGTAATAATTTAGACGGAAGTTTTTGCCATAATTCATAAGCTTCCCAAACCTCAAAAACCCCTCCCTTTTTCATTCTCTCCTACTCCGTATTTCAGTCTTCCGATTCTTAGGAGCAAACGCATTGATATATATATATATCTATACGTATATATGCTTCGGCCTCGAATCTGTTTGCTGTACTCAGGCTACCGTCAGTGCCGCCATCTGGCTCCGCCGCAGCAGCGGTGGATCTCCTCCACGCCGCAGCTAGCTTCATGGATGGACAAAGTCAAATCCGTCTTCACTGGTCAAAAACCCTCAAAGGACTTCACTCTCCTATGTATAATCCCATCCCTTCTGCCAAACCAAGACGAAGAATATCAATTATTTAAGCTTTCATTTTCATTTTATAAACCGTATTTACCGCAGAACTGCGGAGGTATTGAATTCGAAACTTATTTTGAAATTTTATGAATGTTCAGCGTTTGCAAATGAGCTGAGCAATGCGAGGAAGTTATCAAATTGGAAGCAGTATGTCGTTGGGAGAAGTAGTGATGCTACCTTCGCAGATGCTTTTGCTAGGCAGGAAGCCATTCTTAGATGTCTTGGTGGATTTGATCCCACTGGAGAGGTTTGCTACCATTCTTTTGCTTCTTTTCTTGTTACAAATCGTTGTTAAAGTGAATTGAAAAGCATTCAAGTAGATCATGCCTAATTCAAATCCTGTGGGTGCGAAATGGCTGCATTATTGTTCATTTTCAAAATCTTTGATATTTTGGGTTTTATTTAGCTGCATAATTCTGTTCGCATAAATAATATTGCCAATACTTTGGTGGAAAATGTACAATTAGGTTCAAAAAAGTAAATATGGACTAGAGAACAGTAAGGCAAGTCCTAGACTCCTAGATGTTCAATGGCTTACAGTGTGCTGCCCTGATATCAGCATTTGGAAACAAACTAGTTCGTTCTTTATATTTTTGCTTGTAGAATCTTCAAACTAGTCACAAGCAAGAGGCAGCAAAACTTTGTAAGTGCACGATAACAGAAGTTGAGAATGCCTTGGCAAAATATACTTGGGCGAAAGAAGCACAAAAGAAGCTTGAGAGGTTGAAGGAAGAAGGAAAGCCCATGCCAAAGAGTATGGCTGAGGTAAAATGCATTGAAATTTTAAATACCACTTTGATGCTTTTGTTTTCTTAGATCTAATGTTATGTAGCTGGTTGATACATGGTTATTGCCCTCCAGTTTCTTCTTCAATTTAGTTGCATTTGGAATGCATGTTAAAATGAGCTTATGCCACATTTCTTCATAAAATTTCCAATTGGTCTACAAACATTCAAGCTACTTAAATGGAATTTGAGATTCCCCACTGTATGTATAAAACTATTTAAGTTAACTGTATGCTGAAGAAACTCTTGATTGATTATAATGCCATCGGTTAACCATTTCTTCTCTATTGTTTCCTCTCAATTGGTGTACTCTCATGCAAGGTTGATTTTATGATGAATGACGTTTGATATCAACAGGTTCAACAGTTGATGGGATCAAGTCCATTGGATCTTGCACGATCAAACTTGGCCAAGAGTGGGCAAATTAGTAGGAATGCACTATGCCCTTGTGGTTCAAAGAAAAGATATAAGCGGTAATTTAAAATTTATATTTTTGTGTTTTTAACTTCTACACAGGATGCCATTACTTCTGTTCACTGAGTAAATAGTTAAATTCATCATTAGTGAGTAAAACGTTATTTCCTATTACTAGGTTGGATAGAATATTTGGCTATTTGCTACACATAACACGTGGAAAATAAATTCCACTTTTGGGTTTGTCTTACCTCATAGTCTAAGATTGGGTGACTGCCCAAGACCGTAATTGCAAAAGTGAGGCTAATTTCCTTGTTTGTCTTGTCTAAATACACTAAACTGCTTGCAAATTTGAAATGTTGACATTATACTTAACCTACTAACTATGGCATCATCAATCTGGATAAGCATTGACTAGGCTATTGTACCAAAGACCGTTGCATAGTTACTTTATGCACTCTGCAATTAATGGTGCCTTTTTAAAAAAAAAAAAAAATGGTGATAAAGGAGTTGACCATTTAGGAACAAGCATGGACTCTGAGTTCCTTCATCCTCACTAGTAATATCTACCAGAATAACATAGTCTTGTGACTATGTTGTGTAGAGAAATTGTTTAGACTTTTCCTTGTCAGATCCTGTTGCATAACAAGTCCCACTCCCCCTCCCCCACACCCAACCACCTGCAAACTACACCGGTAATAATAATCACTCTCCCATTTTGTATGTCTTATTTACTATTCATTAAGAAAATGAACTTTTTTGGTTTGATTATTTTCTTTAACAAATTCTAATAATTTTCAAAATTTGTTTTTTGTGTGTTTATGTTAAGCCTTGTTATCCAAACAAGACATACAAAATGGGATAGGATAGAGGGAGTAATAGTGAATAATCTAATTAGGAAAACAAGCACATGTACATAAAAGAAATGCTATATATATATATATATATATATATATATATATATATATATATATATATATATATATTTTTTGACAATCATGCCAGTTGTTGTGTTGTGTGTAGGTGTTGTGGGAAGGATTAGAGCATTGAAGGCAGCAAAGAATAAGTCTTACGGCTACACATACTTGGGATCCTTTGAATGAATTAGAATAGCATTGTGGATTTATATAAGTATTGTGTTCATTGGGGGTTGAGATCATTTGGAGAGTGGCTCAGCTAATAACCAACCCATTCTCAGCTGCAGAAAAACGCCATCTGACTTTTGTGTTGTCCTAATGCTAATTTGGAGGATTCCAGTTTTCTCTAGGGAAGGTCAGTTGGTGTGCTAATTTTGGAACAAAACTTCTTTTGGATTTGTTATTGACCTAAAAAGAGTTTTGGTTGGTACTTGAGAATAATAATCATTTGCTATGGATGGGTGAAAAAAGTTAAAACTGAATGAATATTGATAGTTTTTATGCTTCCATGATGCCTAAATTGAAATTCTAGCTACGACTTATTCTTTTAATAATGCAATGAATCGATGTATAATAATTTGGATTTGCAAAATTAGTCAATCAGTTTAAAAGGGGTGTCGAGTTGACGACTGTATGTGTATGTATCATTGTTGCAGAAATCTATTTAGGCGTTCCTAGGCCGTGAGCGATTTCTCTCTTAGCATCTGAGTTAACTTGTCCATTTTAACTAAGTTAACTCAGCCAACTTTGTCTTGTTAATTTTTTTCATTAAATATATACATTCACACCGTGCACTATTTTTTTTAGTTAGTTGTCTAGATACCTATCTACGTACTACTCTACCGTCCGACTAGCACTTACTGCCTAATGCTGGTATGTATATATGGTAAAATATATTTCAAAATTCATTCATTCTTAATAATGTTATTACCACAAGCCTCAAACGGAAGATGGAAAAGCAGACGTTACGCATGAAGAACAAAAAGAGAAATAGACATACTGCCTTGCCTGGGTTTGGGCGGAATACCAAAACTTCCTTAGCCGCAAGATTTAGCCAACACAGTAAAGTTTTACAGGTTTAAAAATCACACGTACCCAAACTTATATGCAGCAGCAGCATCCCACTATACAAGAAACACAACTAATATGCACCTTTCTACACTTATATTTGATTGATTGAGCTACACCCTCCCATCCTTCCTCCACGAATGACCTACTTCTCGTTTCTCAGCTTTGCATAGGGAGATGAAAATGATCCCTCTTTCTATAAAGAACAAATGATGCCGGCCGCCTTTTTATTGACATAAGAAGACAATCATCAGGGTGTAGAATTTACAGATATTTCTTGTGGCAAAGCTGAACTTGGCTGGTCCACATGTGAAGGAATCACAAGCCGCTGCAATGGCCTTAATGCCACTGTTAACTGTGCAAATGATGGCCGCAAATTTGGTTCCCTGATCATCAAATCAAATCAAACATATTATATATCAAACCACCTCTAATTTTCTATGGAGAAACTAAAATATTACACCAATTAATTCTTATGGCAGTGCATATTTACTCACATCTGCCAACATTCCCATATTATCCTTGCCACAAGTGGATCGACTTCTTTTGGGATTTCAAGACGCCGATTCTGGAAACCAACAGCCCCTACAACTTGCATAGGGTTCATCCCACTCCAAGGTAATCTCAGTGTTGCAAGTTCCCACAGAATAACACCAAAGCTATAAACATCACACCTGTTGAAGTAGCAATTTGGTAAATGTAATGTACTTAGCAGGAAAGTAACATTCATCACTTAAGCTGTGCAAACTATCACTCTTATTCAAGATTCAATATACAGCGACTCAATTGGTTTTTTATTGCAATATTGTTTCCTTGATGAATTTCCTATTTCTTACCACATTTATATGAGAACGCATAAACAGCCCTAATTAAACACACATGAACGCTTGACAGAAGAAAACGCCAGTAGAAAAGAAAAATTACTACACTATAACAAACAATTCTGTACTATGCTTCATGGGTAGTGTATATCACATCACTTCCATATCCAATTACAGCACATAAGGTACAGTCTTTAGTTATTAAATTGTATTTCAAATCCATGCAATGCCAAATAAAACAATAGGTGGGAAGAGGCAACAAAAATGTTAATGCTAGTAAAATGATAGCTAAAGAACATGAACATAAATTGGCACATAATAAGGTCAATACCGGATAAAGTAACAGATATTGCAATCAATAGAGAGCCTGGAAAGACAAGTAATTTTAACTCACTTTTCATTTGAAGGTTCATTACGTAGAACTTCAGGAGCCATCCACTCAGGCTACATAGGTCAAAATTGTGAACAGAATGATATGTTCAAAGCTTGGATATAAAGAAGAAAATAACCATATCAAATAAAAGAATATAGGAAATTCTTACCGTTCCAGCTGTTGATTTGGATGACAAGAAAGTGTTGTGTTTTAAGCGTGACAAACCAAAATCACACACCTATATATTAGATTGAAAGTTTTTGAGTTACTACATATACAAAATAAAACATAAAGCATATACATATTAATGAAGAAGAACAAACTAACATGGTCTATAGGCCTTTTGAGAAAAACCACATGGTATTATGTATCATGCAAGGCATCAACAAAGACCAACATTTGGAATACGCACCTTGACATTCCAATCATTATCAACCAATAGATTAGGGGACTTCAGATCACGATGAACAATAGTCGGTGTGCTTGTATGTAAGCAATTCATGCCCATTGTCTGCACAGAGAAAGTCTAATTTAAAACTAAGAAAAGAGAGACCAGTAAAAAGAATCATAGCTGACTGACTATCTGAAGTGGTTCAAAGAAAATGGTCTGGGCAATAATCCTTTACCACATCAAGAGCCATTTTGATTCTGCGTTTTTCATCTATTTGACTCTGAGGACGATGAATTATCCGGTACAAACTTCCTCTGAAAAAGAAATTACAATAATAATACTAATATTAGTAATCTCACATAAAGCATAGCAGCTTAGCACCATGAACAGAAATGATGAACAACAGCACTAATACACATTAAAAGCCAACATTAGAAAGCCTAGCTTCATTGTCAAATTATACTATGTTTCTCAGGAGTAGGTAATAACCAATTGCCAAGGAACCCCTTTACAAACAATCATGCTTTTGCTTTTATCCTACAGGGCTCTATCTATACCTACTAAATCATAATGTATAGCAGAAGGGTGAAAATACCGGGGGAGAAACTCAGTGATGATCGAAAGATTTGGAGGCCTTGTTACTGCACCCATGAAAAGAACTACATTTGGATGTCGTAGACGTTGCATGATCCGTACCTACCATGAGAAAAAATTGGGCCATTAAGTTTTTTATTCTAAAAGAAAAAAATGTTTAGAACACAGCAGTTAAAATGATGAAGATCTATCCCTTTAGAATATATAAGAACCAAATGAAGAGAAATTAGGCAGGGAAGAAGAAGAAGAAAGCAGCACAGGCACAGAGTTCCATACTTCTCTCTTAAACTCAGCCAAAGCAGCACCAGAGAAATCCTGGTCAAGGAACTTCTTGACAGCAACCTCCTGTTCTTTTGAATAAACCAAAACAGAAATGGATAAATATAATGATGTTCTATTATTCTTAGGAGATGTTAAGTCTGAGAAAAGAATCACACAAAACTAAGAATAATCATACTTGCAAACTGAAGACTTAGAACCCACTTGGGTGCTTTATTAGCTTCAGCAATAAAGTGCACCAGAAGTGCCTAGACTTAGAATCAGACCAGTGCAATTTTCTTAAAAAACAAAAATTAGAATATTCGATATCACTTATCTCACAATGTAAGATAAATAAAAAGAAAAAGAAGTTCCTGTTTCCAATGAAATAATGAGTATTGAATTCCGGCCATTGACATTATTTGAACTGCACCTTATAATTAAAAAATGGGTTGTCATGAACTTTTAGATAGTTTATTTTTATTTCTTTCTACCAACTGTAGCTTTAAGCATTTTACAAGTGACAAGAAAGAAGCAAGAGTAGTTAGGTTTTTAAGAAAAGGAAATGAGGAAAAATTAAAAAAAAAAATAAAAACAAAAACAAGATGAACGTACAGTGCCATTCCAATCAGCACGGTAGACCTCTCCATATGAACCTGAAAGCATATAGAGAATATACATAAAAACCAATAAAACAACCTAATACAGAAACCTTATCAAAAGATAAATACTGAAACAGCCTTTCCCGAAAGAATGAGTAGAACAATTGTTGACAATAAAAATAGACATGATGATTGTTGCAAAGGAAACTATGATTGCAGTTCAAGCTTTAGTTTTTATTCAAGAAAGATAAGTCACTTTGGAAGAGTGATGTTAAACTATTTGGGTTAAAGAATGGTACTTGTAAAGGTAAAGAGTAGGAAACCAAAAAAAAAAAAAAAAAAAAAAGGCCCTCCTTTCCACTTGGTAAACAGAAACTGGGCTTTACACTGCAACGCCCTTTTTTTTTTCTTTCTTCAGAACGGAAACACATGAAAGGAAGACGAGAGATTAAAAGCAGGTAGGAGCTACAAGACATTTTTTAAGGGTTATGACACTTGAAAACGGAATTAAGTGCAGAGAATTGAAATTTTGTTTGTGTTGTGTAAAGGTAAGTCCATAGAGGTGTTTAGTGGAATTTACAGCCTTTAAAGCTCCGACTAAGCATGCAGCTCCTCATGCTCTTTTCATGTCACCAGTTTCATGTTGTTTTCACAGCAAAGACATTTAATCAGAGAAAAAGACAACTTTATGCAGATTAGGTTGATATTCCGGGTTTTCAAAAAAAAAAAAAAGGTTGATATTCCGAATATATACATACATAGTATAACACTGTCATTAGATTTCATTAATAGACTATAGTTCATTTATGGCACTATTGATAGTATCTGTTTATTCATTGCAGATATATCAAAATTACCTAGTCCAATCCTTTCACCAAGAACAAGATCTTCCCATGGAATTTCACATTCATTCACATCATCAAGTACTGGATCAATCCAAGATGGACTCAACCCCCTTTTAGTGTTTGAATGTTCTGGCTCCTTCAATTTCAAATTTGTCCCAGTTAATTTATATTGTGTAATCTTTTTACCGTCATTCTGCATAGTAACATCCTTCACATGAGCTCTGGGTCTGTCTGTGTCATTACTTTCCAAGACCCCTTCCCTGTCATATGTTTGCTTATGATTGCTGCTTTGATTATCCTCAAGAGAGAACTTCCTAAACTCAGATTGAGTTGATGCCAACATTGAAGTGCTACCAGCACCAGGCATCATTGAGGTATCAGAGAGAACTTTCTGCGGTGTAGTTGAGCTGGAAGAAGCCATTGATGATGCATTATAATCATTAGCACCACGGTTGTTCTTTGGCAAAAGGCCTGGAGCCTCATTGCACGCATAGCGGTTTTTCCAATTCATGGGGACAGGAGGCCGACCTGCATTATTTTTAGGAAACTGCAACCCATTTTTATTATGAGCCAAGCCAGATCCTTTTATTCGAAATGGGTTAAGATCAGCAAAAAGATTTTTTGGGTCATCACTATATGGAACCACATTCACATTCACCCTTGAGCCATCACCGGCAGCATTAGGTCCACGACCTTTGTACAAGGACTTCCCAATTACCAATGACGGAATATGATCCAACTGGCTAGGACCTCTGCTGCCTAATCCTGATGAACAAGCGCCAACACCTGTATTTGAAACTAAAGGATTTGATTCTGGCTTCACTGGCCTCGTAATAGTAGAAAAATCATTTTCCATCTTATCACCCGAGGAGTTGGGTCTAGAGTAATAATCTCCAGAACCACTAGTTGACTGGACACTGGGAAGATTGTTCACATTTGGATTGTGTGGCTTGAAAGAAGTATCCTTTGCACTCAGAACCTCTGCTGGTATAAGTGTCCCAGGTGCACCCATGAGATCAACCAAAAACTCACTGGCAAAGAATAAATGTTGAGGATGTATAGAACACTATATAGCATAGATCAATGAAGCATATACATTCAAAAGATAGCATGTTGGTACATAACGTGAATTTTAAAAAATTAACAGGCATGCAGGCAACAACTAAGATTGCATCTCAGACACATCAAAAAATTCTCCCGCAAACAATTTAACATTGCTTTTTAATATACAACCTCTAAGCAAAGTGACAATACACGTGATTTCCTATGTGAAACCTGGATCTAAAACCAATCTAGGCAGACTTCTCAAGAAGTAATGCTTCAAATAAAAAAGGAATGTTAAAGGTAAGGCATTCAGAAACTCAACCAAAACAGGGATTAAAATGAGAGGGAGATGGTTTTGTGAGTTGTGATGTTGAAAAAACATATTCATAATGTGGTATAACACAAATTTCAACGCAGAATAGAAGAATGTGAATTTTGCAATTTACCTCCCATTAGGTAACTTTATGATGTTGATAACATCATCCTCAACACCCGTGTAACCTCTAACTAGTCTACAAGGAATTCCAACATGGTCAGCCAAAACCTGCCATTAAAAAAAAAAAAAAGTATTAAAAATTAGGTGTAACCGGGGACCTATTAGTATCCATAGCTCTAGGACTAAGAAACTAGCTCACTTAACCCAAGAACCAACATAAATTTTGGTTCCCACCCAGAGCTGAAGTTATTTTCTATGCAATTGTGGGGAAAAGCCTAGAGCAGTTGGCCCTTCACCTAAGACTATTTTTTATACCATCATAGTTGAGCTTGCCTGTTTAAAATCAGTAAATCACTACCAATATATGGCCATTGTGAGCTTTTAATTCGTGCATTGGCCAGTGTTGGAACCTCTTGAATTTAATGCAAAAATAACTAAAGAAACTTTTGCTGATATTATAACCGCTTTAATGTCACTGAATGTAGTTGAGGCATGGTATCTTTTTGGTTATGCATTTCATTTTTAAAAATTAGACAATTTCACCAAAAACCTTTTAGTCTAGTGGTATTAGCTTGTAACTCTAAGTAGAAGATCACAAGCTCAATCCCCACCCTCTCAATAATCTCCTGAACTCAGTGCACTTAGAAAATACCTCTTTATTTACTCTCACTTGATAATTAGGTAATCAATGACATAATGGTCCCATTCTTTAACAGTTTAACCTGACCACTATACAAAGAATCAGTTACTTGTATTTGCACTTCTTTGTGAATCTGAAGCGAGGAAATATGTCATAATTTGATGGCAAATACCCTCTAACAGTGTTAATTCATCAAGGTTACAACAAGAAAGTTTCATTCCTCAATGACTTTCTCATGCAGGTTTCTTTAGCATGTTAAAATAAATGAAAGCTAAATCTGACGATTCTGTTTGAAAAAAATATATATATCAATCAATACAAACTAATATAGTAATCACCTTGAAAAGCAAAGCACGATGACGTGACAGCCCAATATTTAGGGATCCTATAGGCAGCACACTGGTATGAAGAGAAGTTCTCAACTCCATGCTTCTTTCCATCCATCTAGTCAGTATGATATTTGCATCTTTCACTGGCCCACCCAACTGTTCTGTTACAAGTTCAGCAAGTCTCTGAACTAGCAGACCAACCTCACTGGCAGGGGAGTCTAACGCAATGCAATGTGCAATCTGCATAAGCTCCTCCAAGGAAGGGTCAATTTTCCGATTAACTATCACAACTTCGAAGTCAGAACTCCCACCATTTGTTTCCAGTTCAGATAGAGATGGCATTTTCCCTCGACTTGCAGAATTGTTGAAGAGGCTATATACATCATAGAAGCCATCAACAACTTTTTCCTCATAGTCAAGAACACTGTAATCCTAGTGAATAAAAGCAAACCCAGTTTTAAACAAATGGCTAGGGGTAAACAAATAACTAATGTGTAGCTAACAATCACTTGAAAATTAGAAACACAATGAAAATTATTTGAATCATAATACTAAAGGAGCAGTATAACTAAATTATTCACAATTCTCAACCTAATGATCACTAGATGTATTAAGATCCTTAACATCATAACTCATGAAGCAAAAAATTAATTTTACAAAATTAAAATTTCATAAAGAAGCCATTTACTTATCATTCTTGTACATACCATTCTAGAAATGTGCAATTGCCAATTATTAGTCAGCATATGTAGAATCCAAAATCCGTCATTTCAGAATACTGATAATATGAAGTTCCAATGGTTACTACTTTTTCTCTAATATATGGCAGTTTCTACTAAGCCTTAATCCCGTATCTACAATTAACAGATAACAAAAACCCCACTAGTAATCAATAGCTAAGGAAATTTAATACTCACCCAATACTGCCTCGACAGCAAGTCCGCAGTCGCTTCCTCCCTTTCCCGAGCCGAGTCGGCACCATATCTCCCTCCACCGAGGATTTGACCTTTGCCGGAGTCAACATCGCACCGAAAAGACTCCTCAGCCTGCGACGAGGAGACACTCAGGGCTAAGGCAAGTTGTATCTGGTAATCCTCCTCCGAGGCAAAGTAATCCTGCTGCCGATTGACCGGCGGCGCTCCTCCACCGGCAAGCGGCGCGGCGACAGTTAAAGCCGGCGGCGGCGTTGTTGAAGGACTCTGCGGCGACTGCGAGTGTGTAGAAGCGCGGTGATCGGAGGCACAAGACTGCGACGATGATGACGTCAACGCGGTCGAAGAAGAGGAGGAGGAGGAGGAAGAAGATTGAGTAGTCTCGTTCGATCGATTGGGGTGGTGAGGAGGCTTCTTCTTGAAAATATGCTTCATAGTTGTTTCCACTTTCTCTCTCTCTCTATTTCTCTATCACTCGGCTCTTCCTTTCTCTCTCTATATCTATATTGTATGTGTGTAAGACCAGGCACAGTAGAACTCTAATTCACTCTCTCTCTCTCTCTAACTTGACGGTGAAAATGGCATCTAAAAATTCTAAAGAGAGAGAGGGAGGGAAAACGTAAGGAAGTGGATTAGGGGCGGTTTAGGAAATGGGCACGGAGTTTAACGAAATTACAGTAATGACATCAGTCCCTCGTTGTCTGACGTCATCAGAGCTCCAGTCTCTGGTAACTGGTAAATGAGCACGCGTTTCTCCTTTTCTATTTCTTCTCTTCCCATTTTACACTACTTTGTATGTTTATTGGTCGATAATTGAGTGAGTTTTCTTTTTGTTCCATTTTTATCTCATCAATTCTATACTAAAATCATTTTTATTTTGGTCCATTTTTATACCTGGCTACCAATTTTTTAATTTCTTTTATCCATCCGGTCATTAATAATCAAGTCAAAATACGTTAAACAGCATCTGATGTGATGTAATTTTTCTTGAGTTCATGCTATATGAAGTCTTTCGAGTATAGTGATTTTATTACAAAGAACCATGTTAAAGACCCTTACCTTTATAAATATCACTCTATATTAGTCACTTCTCGACATGTATATTTTTATTGCATATGTAAATTTCTTATTAACTTCTAAAAATAAATAACTTTCTTTTTTCAATCTAATACTGGTTAATAGGGAATGATAATTGTAGGGCGGAAGCATTTTCCTATTACAAAATACCATTAAAAAGAAAAACATAAAAACTTAACACTAACCAACACTAGGAATTAATGGCTTCATTTGGTAAGACCTACTATTTTTGAGTATTATTATTGTTATGATTTCTAATTATAAAATTTGTATAAAATCAGAATCACAATAAAGTTGTCCCCTCTCAAATGTTTTGGTCATTGTTATATATAATATCATTATACACTATTTTCTTTAGAAAAATGTATTGTGACAAGTTCTTTTAATAAACTTTTTAGGTTTTTGGCCAGAGTACAGAAAGATTGAAGGTTTAGAACCATAATAGGCACAGACAACCTGATTGATCTTCTAATGAATCTGTGGGTTTCTGGACCACCATACTTTCTCAACTATATATCAAGCTTTGCCAACGAACTCGACATCAAACAAAAGAACTGAATCAGGCGGAATAATGCATGAACCTACATCATATATAACCAGGCAGTACGAGATTAGAAAACAACATAGAACAGATCCTTCATTGTATACGCAGAAGCATGTAATTTAAACATCTCATCCATTACCTCCTCTACAGCCAGCCCCTCGCATTCCATATCCAAGCTCAGGAGGAATCTTCAGTTTACGTTTTCCTCCTAACGTTTTATTGAGATAGAAATGCGTGTTTAGCTTTATTTCTCTTATGTTTAGTACAGGTTAAGAATATGATGTTTCCACCTTACCAGCTAACATGGGAGGAATACCATCACCTCCTAGAATTCCCTGATCCCAGCCTTTAATGACCTATCACATAAGGTATACCAATTAGGAATGCAGTCATCACTGAATGTTACAACAACTCAACTGGCTAATAGAGAGAGTATGCATCTGATCTCCTTAGCCCAACAGCTACAATGGCTACTAATAAGTTTGAATGCAAGAGGAATAAGTTTGGCTATTAATAGGGTTTCACATGAAAAAGTCACCGGAAGGACCAAAAGTGTCCAAAATATGATAGTCTACTCTAGGTTGTTAAATGGCAAAAACGATTATCTTGACCAACAAAGATAGAGGACCTTCGATGGAATTCACTCTTTCATAAATTCATAGCCAAAACCCTCACTTTAGCAATAAAGAACTAATTTAGTGCACAAAATAAGGGTTTGTATGATTCCATATTTGCAAGTGGATTAATCAAAAGTTTGGTACTATTTAATCCCACCTGAACCACCTCCCCACTCCCTCTTTTGTTTTTAGTCCAAAGTTTTGGAATTGGACGGCGCAGTGGGGGGCCATTGCCTAATCCAAATACGTAAACTGATCATATGATTTAAGGGCATTGTTAGTCCAATCCCTGAAGCCCAATTAACCAAAATGCCGTTAAGTGTAGTGTGGATAGAAAGCAAACTTCATACTCCTTAACTGATTTCTAAGAAACTGTTAGCTCATACCAGTCCATTTGTTCATTGCTCTAAGGGTACTAGACTTTTGTTCTAGTCTTGTAGAAAATATAAGAATACAACTGCTTTAGAAGATAAATATCACGGATCCTACTCACTGCCAGTTTGATCCTCAACTATCCAATCCCTATATATATCAACCACAATGGCCATATCATAACCAAACAAACATCTGGATACTTTCAGCATTAATAAGTAAATCCTTGAATTGACACAATTAAAATGCTGCAATATAATTCACTCGGTAATTTATGGTACAAATTATGGGAATAATCTGGCATGTACTCGCCTACTCCTCAATGGCCATATCATAACCAAACAAACATCTGGATACTTTCAGCATTAATAAGTAAATCCTTGAATTGACACAATTAAAATGCTGCAATATAATTCACTCGGTAATTTATGGTACAAATTATGGGAATAATCTGGCATGTACTCGCCTACTCCTGACTAGGCTCCACGTGTGAATTAAAAGATGTGTAGATATTGAATTCCAAATAACTGGCAAATTAAAGTCAGGGCAGCCATTGTCCAACTGTTACTGTTACTGTAACACAACCCATATCATAGTACTGGTACGACTAGGATTCGAGGACGGGCATGCTATACATCCTGATCCAAACAAGATGGGATAGATGTAGCTAGCAAGAAGACACCTAAATAAAGGAAACTACTTATGAAGGTGGGAGGTGGTCAAGTCCACACTCCACAGGAAACAATTATCTCAACTAAGGACTCAAAATTCTTTCCTAAGAGGACTCATGCCTATGAGTAAGTACCTCTCCTAAGATGATTCCAATCGTGAATCGTGCAAACATATTTTTATGCATTGTAGTTCTAACTAGTACTATACCGATAGCCTGTTTGGGCACATTCAACTCGACCAACAGCTCTAAGCCTCTAATTGCTGATTCACAAACACATAAATTCACCACATCATTAACAAAGAGCAGCAAGTTGAGTATGAAGTAACAATATAATATACCTCACCAACACCAACGCGAAACGTGAGAGGCTTCCCCCGGTTGTAGCTGCTGTCAAAGACCTTCCCATTCTCCAACTTACCTGTATAGTGTGCCTGATGTGTAATCCAAATTAAATTCTTCATCCATTAATAACAACATAAATGTATGTTGAGAGGAGATTAACGAGAACATACATACATGAAACGGTAATAATGGCCTGGTAAAAAATAAAGAAGACAAAATGGTCCATGTCCCTAAGTCCACGGCACAAATTTAAATATGGGCCATGTTTGGTAAAATAGTTAGCCTATTAGCTAATTTTGGCTTATTTGATCACTATTAGTTGTTTGACTTGGTTATACAATCAATATGCGTATTTGATTAATTAGCTTTTTGTAACAACTTATAGCTCCAAAATGCTAAAATTCAAAAAAACTGTTCAAAGTAACTTTTTTCGACGAGCTTTTGTATGTAATCTGCTAACAACTAATTTACCAAACACTTTTCTACAATCACCTAATGCTATCAACTAGTCAAACACACCAATCCAATCAGAAAACAACTATTTACCAAACACCCTGATTATATCTCTGGTTGTTTGATCACTAAGTACAGTCAATAAAAACACGTACAGCTAACTTGATCCCGTGGATATAGCTAGGCACATTACCAAACCACTTAAATCTTTTATTCTTTATTTTGTGCCATTGTCATAATCTCAACAATAAATCATCACAATCCCTAATTACATTACAGAGGATGATCGAGTATTAGCTAACCTTAATGAGCTGGCCTTTTTCAGCCTGAGGACCAAACCCCAAAACCTTATCGCAATAGGCAAGCCCAGAAGGCGCGGCCGTGAACTCACACGCCGACGTTGTTTCTTCAGCAGCTGCGGATTGCCGCAATCCAACAGCCCCCAAACACAATCCTAACACCCCAATCGCCTCTCTCCTCCCCAGCACAACTGGCCGCCGCTGTTCCTCCCTCGCCGGAGATCCGGAACTGCAAATCTTCGGCGTGCTGCAGCCAGTGTGGACTGACGGCGAGACTACTGTTGAGAAGGGTGCGGTGGGCAGTGAGTTGGTGATGAGAGTGCAATGCTTTGTGGAGTTGAAGAAGGAAGATGGGAGAGAGTGAGAGTACATCTCCACAGGGATATGATGATACAAATTCAGAGCTTATATTAGTTTAAGGTGTTGTGGCCATTTCTGATGGGCAGCCTTATATTTCCCCTTTCAGATTCTCATTATCTTTTTGTGTGTTGGGAAAACGGTTAAGTGGTTAACACAGCCTCACAGAGGACAGCCCGCTTAGTGCATTTTCTTTTTTAAAATACAATTTAAAAAATGTTATTCCTAGTAAAAAAAAAAAAAAAAATTGTGGAATTGACCCCTAATACGAAAAGTTAATTAGACACTTAAATTTTTATAAAGTACAATTTAGCTCATCAATATATTATTTTTTTGCGCTGAAGCCCACCAACCATTTATACAATCATTATTTCATGAACCATGGTCCACACAGTTGTGTGAACTATAAATACGAATGCATTTTAATATATTAAATGTACATTATTTGAGTATTGAAAATACATTATTTTGCTTATTATCAAATAATGTACATTCATTACACAAATAATATATTTTTAGTATATTAAACATGTACTTTTTATTCATGGTCCACACAGTTGTATGGACCGTGGTCCACATAAAAATTTGCCATGGTTATAGACATGTCATAGTTGGTTACTATCTCTTCGGCAAAAATTCGACAAACATTGACAGTCGTTGTTATGGCGACAATTTTTTGTCGTATTCTTTGGGATCTGGTCGCCTCCTCCAGATAAGGCAAACCTTTATGGTCGCCTTCTCCAAAAAAAGGCGAACATTTCTCGTCGCATTCTCTTGGAAAAGGCAAGTTGTTATGGTTTCCTGCTCAATGAGAAGGCGACTAATTCTAGTTAGAAGGGGGATTATCGATAAAAAAAAAAAGACAACAGTCAAAGACATAATTTTATCGGTAACATGTTTTACCTGTAAATTGAATTTATTTGACCGAATTTAATGCGTCTTATAGTTTAATTGCACATTTTAAAAGTTCATAGACATAATTGCTCTATCATGTCAAGTTTAATGGCCTATTTGATCTCCCCCTCCCCCTCCCCCTCCCCTCCAACAAAAATAAAATATATTTTGTGATAATGATTAAGGTGTTAATTCAGTTAATAACTTATTCGAATTAACTGAATTTGTAAAATATATTACCCGTTAATTGAACTAAACTTTATATTTATGAATAATTATAACTGATTTTTTTTTCCAAATAACCAAATTATTTTAGTAAAATTTAAAAGTTCTTAAAACTTATAATCTATACTATATATAAAAACAAAATCCTGAAATTTTAACTTCCCGCCCAATTCCTAAAAAATCTCTCTTCCTACTAAAATATATTGATTTCTACTTTCTCATTCGTACAATAATTCAACGTTAAAATTCTATTCTAATATTATAAAATAGTGTAATACAATCTATATCTATACTATAAATAAAAACAAAATCCTGAAATTTTAACTTCCCGCCCAATTCCTAAAAAATCTCTCTTCCTAATAAAATATATTGATTTCTACTTTCCCATTCGTACAATAATTCTGCGTATTCTAATATTATAAAATAGTGTAATACAATCTATATCTATACTATATATAAAAACAAAATCCTGAAATTTTAACTTCCCACCCAATTCCTAAAAAATCTCTCTTCCTAATAAAATATATTGATTTCTACTTTCTCATCCGTACAATAATTCTGCGTTAAAATTCTATTCAAATATTATAAAATAGTGCAATACAATCCATACTATATATAAAAACAAAATCCTAAAATTTTAACTTCACCCCAATTCCTAAAAAATATCTCTTCCTCATAAAATATATTGATTTCTATTTTCCCATTCGTACAATAATTCTGTGTTAAAATTGTATTCTAATATTATAAAATAGTGTAATACAATCTATATCTATAATCTATAATCTATAATATATATAAAAACAAAATCCTGAAATTTTAACTTCCCGCCCAATCCCTAAAAAATCTCTCCTCCTAATAAAATATATTGATTTCTACTTTCACATTCATACAATAATTCTGCGTTAAAATTCTATACTAATATTATAAAATAGTTTAATACAATCTATACTATAAATAAAAACAAAATCTTGAAATTTTAACTTCCCGCCCAATTCCTAAAAAATCTCTCTTCCTAATAAAATATATTGATTTCTACTTTCCCATTCGTACAATAATTCTGCGCATTCGAATATTATAAAATAGTGTAATACATTCGATACTATATATTAAAACAAAATCCTGAAATTTTAACTTTCCGCCCAATTCCTAAAAAATCTCACTTCCTAATAAAATATATTGATTTCTACTTTCTCATTCGTACAATAATTCTGTGTTAAAATTCTATTCAAATATTATAAAATAGTGTAATACAATCTATACTATATATAAAAACAAAATCTTGAAATTTTAACTTCACGCCCAATTCCTAAAAAATCTCTTCCTAATAAAATATATTGATTTCTACTTTCCCATTCATAAAATAATTCTGCGTTAAAATTCTATTCTAATATTATAAAATAGTGTAATACAATCTATATCTATACTATAAATAAAAACAAAATCCTGAAATTTTAACTTCCCGCCCAATTCCTAGAAAATCTCTCTTCCTAATAAAATATATTGATTTCTACTTTCCCATTCGTACAATAATTCTGCGTATTCTAATATTATAAAATAGTGTAATACAATCTATACTATATATAAAAACAAAATCCTGAAATTTTAACTTTCCGCCCAATTCCTAAAAAATATCTCTTCCTAATAAAATATATTGATTTCTACTTTCTCATTCGTACAATAATTCTGCGTTAAAATTCTATTAAAATATTATAAAATATTGTAATACAATCTATACTATATATAAAAACAAAATCCTGAAATTTTAACTTCACGCCCAATTCCTAAAAAATCCCTCTTCCTAATAAAATATATTGATTTCTATTTTCTCATTCGTACAATAATTCTGTGTATTCTAATATTATAAAATAGTGTAATACAATCTATACTATATATAAAAACAAAATCCTAAAATTTTAACTTCAGCCCAATTCCTAAAAAATCTCCCTTCCTAATAAAATATATTGATTTCTACTTTCCCATTCGTACAATAATTCTGCGTTAAAATTCTATTCTAATATTATAAAATAGTGTAATACAATCTATATCAATACTATAAATAAAAACAAAATCCTGAAATTTTAACTTCCCCCCAATTCCTAAAAAATCTCTCTTCCTAATAAAAAATATTGATTTCTACTTTCACATTCGTACAATAATTCTGTGTTAAAATTCTATTCTAATATTATAAAATAGTGTAATACAATCTATACTATATATAAATACAAAATCCTGAAATTTTAACTTCCCGCCCAATTCCTAAAAAATCTCTATTCCTAATAAAATATATTGATTTTTACAATAATTATGGGTTAAAATTTTATTGTAATATTATAAAATTGTGTAATACTATTCCGATTCTAATTTATATCTATTTTATATATCAGTGTTGCAAAAATCGTGTCGCGGGCCGCGGCGAGAAAGGCCGGAATCGGCCTCCTCAGCGGCCGCCTCGCCGGTTGAACCGGCTTTTAATTTTTTTTTAATTTTTTTTTTTTAAGTTGTAAAGTGTCAAAAGTTCGGCAATGCATAACTTTCGACTCTGTTGTCCGTTTTGGACAAATGTTTTTTTGAAATCGCGTATTTTGGCCCACCAATTTCTAAAAAAAATACTTTATTAAAGAGTTTCTAAGAAAAAACTATGAGAACTTTATGTTTTATTAATGAATTTTTAAATTTTTTAATTAAACAATTGTCCCGTGCATTATTTAATAATCTTTCTTTATAATTGGTCAAATTATTTAATTATGGTAAATTTGGGAATAATTAATGATGGTAATAGAAATCCTAGAAGAATATATAATTGAACAATATTTAATTATTGTTATATTATTATTGTGACTCACGGAATACAAGAGTTAATGCCATTTTTTGTCCTAGACTTATTGGGGCATTGACACTTTTCATCCTCCATAATAAAAATTGCCACTGTTATTGATCGTTGGACAGTTTTGATCCTCCGTCAATGACGCCGTTTGTTGACCGTGAATTAGAAGGGTTTTTCTGTCTTTTTATGTTATAATCCTTGTATTTCTCCATCCATTGGTCACTGCTACATCCATTTCTTCAAACTGAGGTTATCCGCTTCAGTCCTTTCTAACATTAAGAAACCATCTTCACCCAACTAACAATCACGAATTTTACATTTGACATCAATCTCTAGATAATGGAATCAAGTGCATTTGGGATAGAAAGGGCGTTATTCCATGCCTGTGGAAATTTTGTCGAGCATACAACATAACTAGCATAGGTATGCCCCTACTCTTTGCCTCCTGCACTACAATCAAAGCAGTCTCATGCAGCCTTCCATCTAAGTAGACAATATTTACTCCAAGCGCTGAAGACAATTTTGATTTGGGTATGTAGACCCTCAGATATCATGGGTGGATATCCTGGAGTGAAAATGCACGTGTGAGTTTCCTTTGGACACCACCATAAAAGATGTATCAACACCATCCCTTTCAAGCTCATCAAGTATTCTTTCGCCATGCGAGTCATCATCAACCTTAGATATGACCCTTGGATTTAGACCAAGACGAATTTTATCATCCGGGTTTTATCAAAGCATTGCCAGTGTTACCACCTCCTTGAACCTCAAAGCTGGTGCCCCGAATTTTATCATCCGGGTTGGGGAATGAAGCTACAGCAGCCAGGAAGTCAACACCGGCCATTCCAACACCTCAGACAATGCGATTTTTGGGGAGCGGCGGATTCCGCATTTTCAGCTTGAAACTTCAATAAATTTCAGGTAGAATAACAGAGTTTTTGAGGTTGTGCACCAAGTAGTTGTGGTCAGAGAGAGAGAGAGAAAGAGATGGGAAGGATATTTGTGGTCAATATGGAAGGGAGGACTTACAGGTGCAAATTCTACATCACGCCATCTACAACTACAACTGCTATTTACCATAGGAGGGTTCGCCGACCTGCTGGCCTCTCTGCTTCGCCGGAACCAAAAACCACCGGTGAAGGCCCCAACCTCGCCGGATCTGTTGCTGCACCGCCAGATCTGCCTTACTGGTCCGTCGCCGGAAGGAGTTACTGCCTCGTATGCTCGCCGCCGTACCTACAACTCGCCGGAGAAGAACCTCGCTGCTACTCACTACCGACGGTTACTACTTAGCCGCCAAGTCTCGCCATCTCGCCTCACAGGAGTCACAGCAGCGCTAGTCTAAACAAGATTAGAAGAATAAGACATAAAAAGACAGAAAGCCCTTATAATTCACGGTCAACAAACGGCTTCATTGACGGAGGATCAAAACTGTCCAACGACCAATAACAGTGTTTACTAACTGGCAATTTTTATTATGGAGGATGAAAAGTGTCAATGCCTCAATAAGTCTAGGACCAAAAATGGCATTAACTCCGGAATACAATACAAGCATATTTAATTATGGTTATATTATTATTGTGCCTCACGACCATTATATACTAACAGTACTTGAAAAGAAACTAATAATAATAATAATAATATAATAATAATAATAAAATAAGTGGTAATAATAATATCTAAAAGTAATTAAGTGTTAATAATAATAGTAAGAATATTAACGTAAGAGTTGTAACATAGAATAAATTGTAATAATTAATAACTATAGTCTAGGATTAAATTTGGAATTGTCAGGAAAAATAAACGACCTCTGGTGAAATTAACTCTTAAATAATTATATATCGATTTAAATATTATTAATATATTACAACAATTCCATTCCGTGTATCGCACGGGTGAAAATACTAGTAATAATCTAAAAACATAATCGATGAGTATTGATGTAGATAATTGACCCATGTAGTTTATGTGTACTTTATTGTGTATAGAACATGCATGAACATGTATGAAAATCTAGAGAGAAGATAGAGCAAAAATGGACTAGAATAAGCTTCTTTTATTCATGTTTAGAGCTAGAGAGAGGGTCTAGTTAAGTGAGAATGAAAGAGGAGAGGAAAATGGAAGAATAATAGCTCAAAGAACTCTTTTATTAAATGATGTTCTTGAATGTTTAGAGAGAATAGAGAGGATTTTATGTTTTAGAGAGAGAGATGAGAGAAGAAGCTTATTCTAGTCCATTTTTGCTCCATATTCTCTCTACATTTTCATACATGTTCATGCATGTTCTATACACAATAGAGTACACATAAACTACACGGATCAATTATCTACATCAAGTACAACCGCATCAACTATAATTCAAATGGTACGAAGACTTCTCGGCTCCGATTATTCCTCTTTCCTTCAAATTCCGACACGATGTCGTCAATCAGGTCGTTTCTCGAGAGCTCAACCAAGTCCGAAGACTGGTTTCTCAACGCGCTTAATGGAGCTACTTCAACTTCCACAAAAGTCCTGTCCAAATCTTCATCGGTGAATTGCCTTCTCGGACTCGACGATGATATCGGAAACGAGAATTCTACTGGAAAAGATGCGGAGCCTCTGCCAGATGGTCCGGTTAACATTAAAAACGGCGGTGTAAACCACAGAAAGTGAATGCTCAAGACGTTCACTCGGTGTCGGATTCGCGTATGTTGCCAATGGCATCGAGGAGCATTTCTGCCGGATTCTTGACATCATCCTCTCCTCCGCTAGGGAATTTACTGGCGATTAGAGTGCGCGTGAAGGATAATCACAGAGTGGGAATCGAGGAGCATTTATGGTCACAATTCGCCGGTATCGGTGGAGGATAATCACAGAGTGGGAAAGGCGGGTGGGTTTTAATTTTGGTCAACAAGTCGTTTTCCCAAATCAGAAGGAACAAGAAAAGACTATTTTGCCCCTTCCAATTCAGTACATCCGTTGACTTAAGTTTTTTCGGTCACAATTCGCCGGTAATTTGATCGGCGTGACCAAAATTGATAGAAATTGCATAGTCAAGGTACTAAATTAACATTTTATTTTATAGTCAAGTGTTGCAATTAACACAACTCCAATAGTCAGTGGACCAAAATTGAAATTTTATCTTAAATAAACAAATTCAACATTCAAGTACATATGCATGAACATCTCCTATATAATTTATAATCATTGAGCATTATTTCATTAACGCGTAAAAAACTAATTTGATAATATGGTCCACACAATAATGATTGACCTCTACAAGTGAACTAGCTATGAATAAGTTCATTATTCTCAGTTCTCAATCACACTACCCAAGTTCACAAATTTTATTTTTATCATCACTCAATTTAATTAAACTTTTACAAAATATTTTTAGTGTAATTTAGCATGTGCACACCATCAAAATTTCCTATATCGAATTTATAATATGAGACCCAAATTGTACTGGAATGAATTTGCTTTGCCCACGACTTATTGGCCCGTGGTTTGGTTAATTGGTTATACAATAAATAACGTCATTTGAGATCAGGGAAAGATTTATATAAATTGTTTGGGCGCTAAATTTGATTTCGGCGGGAGTGTTCCCACCGCTCTTTCATGGATGAACACCACCACCAGATGGATCTCCCGGAAACTGAATCCACCGCTTGCCTATCTCGTCTTCTCGGTAAGAGCATTTGCCTCCGGGAATCCACTTCCTTCATCATCCCAAGCGAAGCCTTGCGTCGACAATGCAATAGGAATAAGCTTCCTCCTCTCCTCTTGTGGGAGAGAAGGCAATCTTCGTTTGGGAAGTTGCATTCATGCCTTCACTATCAAGAATCCCGGACCCTTTGACTCCCAGGATCAAACCGCCATTCGAGTTCTGAACTCTCTCCTCACAATGTATGCTAGATGCGGTAAATTGCTTGACGCAGTTAAGGTGTTCGAGGATATGCCTGCAAGAGACACCGTTTCCTGGAACTCAATAATTTCAGGGTTCATAAACAATGGGGAGTTTGAAATGGGACTTGGGTATTTTAAAGAATTGCTGAGTTTGGGGTTTGGCTGGTTTGATCATGCTAGTTTGACTACCATTTTATCGGCATGTGATAGGGCTCAGTTTCTTATGATCACTAAAGTGATGCATGGATTGGTGTTTCTGAGTGGCCATGAGAGAGAGGTTTCCGTGGGGAATGCTTTGGTTACTTCATATTTTAGATGCGGGAGTCCAGATTCAGGGAGGCGGGTTTTTGATGAGATGGTTCAGAGGAATGTTATCACTTGGACAGCTATTATATCTGGGCTTGCTCAAAATGAATTTTATGAGGAAAGCTTGAAACTGTTTGATAAGTTTCGGTGTGGATCTGATGTCCCTAATCATTTAACCTATTTGAGCGCAATATTGGCATGTAGTGGCATGCAAGCACTCAAAAAGGGTTGTCAGATTCATGCTATTGTTTGGAAATTGGGATTTCAATCAAATTTGTGTATGGAGAGTGCACTTATGGATATGTATTCGAAGTGTGGCAGTATAGAGGATGCTTGGCAAATCTTTGAGTCTGCTGAGGTACTCGACACAGTTTCATTGACCGTCATCCTTGTAGGTTTTTCCCAAAATGGATTTGAAGAAGAGGCTTTGCAAATTTTCATCAAAATCATCAAATCAGGAATTGACATTGACCCAAATGTGGTGTCAGCCATTCTTGGGGTTTTTGGTAGTGATACACTGTTAGGGCTTGGAAAACAAGTTCACTCACTAATTATCAAGAAAGGGTTCCTTCTCAATCCATTCGTTAGCAATGGGCTAATTAACATGTACTCCAAGTGCGGTGAATTGCAGGAATCTGTCAAAGTCTTTGACCAGATGCCTCAAAGGAATCCAGTTTCATGGAACTCGTTGATTGCAGCTTTTGCCCGGCATGGTAATGGTTTTAGAGCACTTGAGTTATATGAAGAAATGAGATCAAATGGCGTTGAGCCAACAGATGTTACCTTTCTCTCTTTGCTTCATGCTTGTAGTCATGTAGGCTTGGTGGAGAAAGGAATGCAGTTCTTTGAATCCATGCAGACAGTTTATGGAATGATTCCCAGGATGGAACACTATGCTTCTGTTGTTGACATGCTTGGAAGATCAGGGCTTCTAAATGAAGCAAAATGCTTTATTGAGGGGCTACCAACAAAGCCTGATGTACTAGTTTGGCAGGCACTACTTGGTGCTTGTAGCATTCATGGAGATACTGATATGGGAAAATATGCAGCTGAACAGTGGCTTTTGGCTTCACCTGATAGCCCAATTCCATATGTCCTACTGGCTAATATGCATTCTTCCAAAAGGCAATGGAAAGAGAGAGCGATAATTATCAAGAAAATGAAAGAGACAGGGATAGCAAAAGAGACTGGGATAAGTTGGATTGAAATTGAAAAGAAAGTTCACAACTTTGTAGTTGCTGATCAGATGCATCCACAGTGTGATACTATTTATGGTACCTTGTTGGAGTTATATAGACACATTGGAGATGAAGGATATGTTCCAGATAAGAGAAAATTGTGCTATATGGATCATGATGAGTAGGAAATGTAAAGGATTTGTAAGACCTCACACTATTCACAAGCCTGGTAAAATGGAACCTTAAACTCTTGAATCCCCAAACTTTAGTTGCTTTGCCTGCAGTATCGAATTTATTTGTTTTCGGTCAGTTATCTATTTGAGTTCTTTAATTGCAGAGAGTTGGTTCTCTGAAGGAGCAATTACTAAATTGTGGCAGTAAAGCTACAAAGAATGAAATGAGTTTTGGTATTGAAAGCCTGCTTGTCCCTCAAGATCTTTACTTTTCTGAATGGATATAATTCTAATGGAAAAGAAATGTGGAACTTGGCCAACATCAACTTTAAAAACTTCTACAGAATGTAACAGCTCACTCTGTAAAACATATCGAGTGGTAGAGAAAATGCCAAACCTCTCTGCTGCAGATTTCTCTTTTTTTCTGGCTCAAGTGCTCCTATCAAAGGGATCAAATACTCAATTGAGTAGTTTGTACATGTAAGATTCATTGGTTGATTTTTATGTCCAGTTTATCAGACAAACAATTCCTCGGAAATGTAGCAGATCAGATTTGGCATGATTGCATGAAGTGTCTGAATCCTTTCTTAGTTCTAATTTCTACAAATATGTAAGAGATTTTCTGTAGCCCACCATGATGCCTAAAATGCAAAGCTCTTCACTAGATGTTTAGCCGGGTTTCACCACCTGTATTCATTGAAGACAAAAAACTTCTTGAAATGACTTTAAGAGAATCTGGTGAAGAAAAATTCTAACTGGTTGATCAAACATATGTTTCATTTGGTTTATTAGTGTCTATATGCCCATTATCCTGTTCACATAAAAAATACCAAAATCCATTTCACAAACTGCAATCTCATTCCCACAGTACTAGTCCAATTATGGTAGTTTAGTTTGCATATGTTGAGCTATGCAGTTAATGTTGTTTCTTTCTAAAACTTATACAGAGTACACATTTAATTTGGTTTGTAATATGAAAAATCTTCATCTCCTTCTAATTCATGTGGAGAAAATTCAAAAAACAATATTTCGAATGATGCTTTTCAGTAGTAGACTAGTAGATATCATTACTTCTATAGTTTCTCTAGGCTCCATTGTTTAACATTATTTTAGTTGAACAGCAGCCAGGCGCTGGCTCTATACACCTCCACTACTTGGCTGGTCTGAACTTTACATATTAAATACTGGTTATATGGAGCTAGACAGATACGAGGTATTTACAGTAATGAAGTTGTGTGAACTGTGAAGTGATTAAAAGCTGATTTTCTGACAAGTGCAGGAAGAGTTCAGTAGTGTTTGGATATTGGATAACTTCAATAAGGTAAGCAACTTCTTTGATGTGGTTTGTTATTTAGTGACTAAACACATGTTCTTACAGTTTGAGCCCGTTTCAGATATATACAGCTGCACCAGTATGTACATCCTGCCTGGCTGTTTCTCAAGGATTTCAGGAACTCTTGTTGACGAAAGCATGACATGACGGTATGAACCTTTCTGTATTTTAACTCTGTGTTTCTTTGTATTTTAGAGACGTCTAAAGTGTCCAAAAAGATGAACACACATTGAGCTTATGAATGCATGAATTGTGTTATGGTTACTGTAACCGTACTGCTTTGCCATTTCTGGTAGACACTTGTTATAAAAGCTTCAGGTCCAAACAAAAATTTCTACTTTTAATCCAAAATAAAATTACTGTAAAATAGAAAATTACTGTATGTAGTTAACTATCCACTAGAGGAGTCCTACTTGAAAATGTAGAAGGAAAAGAATCATGTAAGGAAACTTCTTCTTGGATCTTTCACTGGAATTTTCCAGTGTCCATCAGCAAAACTGGCATTTTTAGCATTCTCCCTCCACATTCTTACCTCGGCTTCCACCTGTGGATCAAGAGCACAATAATGCTGCAAATTCTTAGGCATTTTCTCATAAATTTTCCACCACATTGTGTGAGCCATGTCGCTTGCAAAACGTTGGTTTTCCAAGCTATCCCAGTTACAATCATAATCTCGATAACACTTCCATGGTTTCATCCCTAGAAAATGCACAGTGTACACATTCTTTGGTACTTCACGTTTTTCATCCGGAACTGCTAGGTAATCCTTTAGAAAATTTAAGCCAGCTGGCCACCGGTGCCACCATGAGAAAACTTCATTCAAGAACCCTTGATCACCCCCATTGTATGAGCCAGTGGTCTTTGTTTTCTGCATTAGGGTTTTGAAGGTACATTCTGAGGGTTCTACTATCATTAGACCGGAGTTGAACACATGTCTGCTATTCCCAACTGCTGATAATTGTGGGTACGTGAAAAACTTGTCCAAATTTCTCAGGACAATGAAATCTGAGTCTATGAAGATAAGTTTATCATACTCCACAAGTTGCCATATCCGAAGTTTGCTGTAGTTCCATTCATTGTATGCATTTTTCTCTGCATGTGGGCTTCGAATCCTCTTTATTTTCTTAGTTTTCCATCCCGCTGCTCTGAGACCACTGAGGGATTTTTGAGAGATAGTTTCATCCATTAGGAGGATGAGGTCTTTTGTCGATGTGAATTGCTTGATGCTTTGAGCCAAAGCTATTGCACCACAGACGTAGGCTTCTGATGAATGGATGATAGTTACATAAGCCTCTCTTGGCTGGCGTAGGGTCTTGTTAGAGGCTCTTCCCTGTAATTCTTGACCTGATTTACACAAGATATACATTAAGATGAGGTATTATATGGATTTTAATGAAGAAGCTAAGGGTCATTTGTTGTTAAAATTCTTATGCCATTTAATCCCTCTGGGTATTGTTTTGCTTGTGGGATAAGGGGAATTACTAACAACCTACTATTATCCCTCTAGGCATTAGTTTTAGGATCATAGTCTTGTAATAATTATGTGAAGTATGCATAAAGAGAACTTCAGTAAAAAAAAATAAAGTTTATTGTAATACAATATGCATATGCTAATTGGGCAGTTCACCCCTGCCAGTAGATTTTTCACTTCATCTAGTTCTGCACCCTTAATGCAAGTTGTGCTTGGCATTTAACCTTGTCCTGCTTCTACTAGATATTTTGTTACAGAATTCTAGAGTCAGTGGTTGGATCCTGCTTTTGTTGACATTTTTAGTTTTATACTCACCTCAACAAAATTTCTTATCTATACCCTATATTAATGGTATCCCAGTAGGCTACATTTTAATTTAGATCTGGAATATCATATCCTGAAATTAGCACCCCCCCCCCCCCCCCCCCCCCCCAATTCCCATGGGAAGCTCTACCTAAACAATTAAACCTTTTTTTTTTTTTTAAATGATGATGAGGGAAATCTGCAGCCACTACGGTGTGCACTAGATAAATTATCCAGCCAACTGTGTGACCAACTTGGCTGGAGTTGCTCCAATTAAACAATTTTCTTTTATCAATAGTTGGTGCCTAATTATTATGGCTCTTCAAGTATTCATTTTGCATTCCTAATAGGTGAATATCTAGTTGTCAGCATGTCAGGTTCTTACCCTCCATTGTGGATCCACTCAAATGCTTTTATCAATAGTTAATGCCTAATTATTATGGCTCTCTAAGAGTGTGTTTGAAAACCGGAGAAATGACTTTTTAAAAATGTTTTTTGGAAAATAATAAAATAGTTTCATTTTTAGTGTTTGGTTGCATTCTGGAAAGCTGGATTGATGTGTTTGGTTCGTTTTCTGAAAAATGAGTAAAATTGTATAATTAAACATTTTAATTGGTTTATTTAAAATATAAAAATATTTATAATAATATTAAAATAATGTTATTTATTAAAAAATATTTTTTTTTAAAAAAAAACTCTAATTTCTGGCAGAAATCATAGCTGCTCTGGTCCGCTGCGGAAACCAGACCTATGGTTTTCGCCGGAAACCAAGTTTGGAAACATTAGTGGTCATTTTTGGTCGGTGGAAAAGGACTTCCGTCAAATTTTGACGGAAGTCATTTTCCTCCAAAATAGTCATATTTTTCCAAGTCAACGAAAAATGATTTTTGAATAATTCGTGCCAGTAGGTGAATATCTAGTTGTGAGGTTCTTACCCTCCATTTTGGATCCACACAAATGCTTAACTTTTCTAATAGTTAAAAGCAAATTTAACATAGCAATTAAAGAAAGAAGTAAAACTCACTTGGTTCATGAAATGGATGAGCAAGTTGGCAAGTTCCAACTGGCATGGCCACCTTCTGCCTCAGCTTTCTCAAGTCAGGCTTATACACCCATGCATAATTTCTTTCATGCCATAACAGATCATCACACCTGAACATCTCCAACATAGGCTCACAAGACCCAATGAAAACAACATACATTTCATTATAACTTCTCCCATTTCTCACCAGAAGATTAGCAACCACTAAGTTCACTTGTAACCTAAACACATCTGTTGAATCCCTGCATGGAACCCTAGCCACAACAACATTTACATCCTTGTAGTCTTCAAACCTCGGCATTGGTATTTCCGGGCACTTTCGAGGTCTTTCTTCGTTTATCCATTCCGGGAATAAGTCTTTCCATCGAACGCTCCCATTCACAGGACGAAACTTTACACTAATCGCCTTTGCTTCTTCCCGTAAACCCTTAATCTCCTTCTCCACACTATACACATTCACTAGACCAATCTTCATTCTTGTAACATCTATTCTGCTTTTCAATACTTGGTGCCAACTAGGCTTTTGGACTGGTATAGGGAGGATCCATTTTGGGTGTTTTTCATAGGTTCCTTCTAGGAATTTGATAGTTGTAACAAGAATGAGAGTTAGACAAACAGATATGAGAGCAAAGGTGAAAATCTTGGGACTTGAAAGGGAAGGCTTGGCTGCCATGGTTCAGCTATTCTCTTCTGCTATGCTTTTGGGTGTTACATATATATACAAGGAATGTAGTATAGGATAGGATATCTGTATATACATGTCTCCTTTGCTCCAGAATGGAGTTATTCAGAGTATATACACACAAGGAAAGAGAAAATAGTGATGCTAAATTTGTAAGTTCCATTAGTGTAATCATTCAGAATACTCTTCTATCAAATCTTAAAACGATTAATGTAACCAAATTTTTTTGTTATATACTCCCTATATGGAAATACTGTTCAAATACTACTCCCAATATGGAAATACTATTCAAATACTAGGAACCTGACCAAAAAGTAAGAAATTCTTAATCACAACTTACCTTACCGATAGCCCCAATGATTAACTTGTCCATAAAAGGCGAAATTCTCTCAATCTCAGACCCACATATCCCGGCCCCACAGAATAGTGGACAATCAATATACGTGGACCACTGACACCCCGACCCCATAGAATAGTGGATAATCATTATACCATGAACCATGGTCCACTTTGCAAGGTAGACTATTGACACAAAGTTTGCAAGGTGGACCATTGACATAAATTTTTTTTTTTTTTTTTTTTTTTTTGTACTGGATGTTCATTTTTGAAGGTTCTTTTATCGTGAACTGAAAGTTCATTTTTAGATATACTACTTTAAAATGAACCTTCAATATACTAGTACTAAAAATGAATATTTATTCGTGGTCTACAATATAATTTGCTAATAGTTGAGAGGTAAAATTCTCGTGACTGGTAGAATTCGGTCATGTGTCTTTGTCCATAATTAATGTCTAAAAATCAAATTGAGTTGTCGGTGTGGTAACTCTATTGATCAACTACCTTCTCATTAGAAATTCATATGAATGAATTCTAGCCTAGCATAAAAACATCCTTCTATGTGCTCATGCATCTATTCACATCCTATACTTGTTTTTTTATTATTATTATTATTAGGCAGAAGTGTCAAATAGGTCCATCTACTATTTCGAAGTGTTCAATTCCCCCCACCATCTAAAATATATGCTAATCAGGCACATTTACCTTCTAAATTTGTTCGATTAGCTTTAATTACAGGTTATCATCAGGTTGCCCATCCAGCTAGTTGACGTGGAAAATATATTTGGTGTCGTTTGGTGTCGTTTCATCATACTTGGCAGAGTGGTCTTTGGTGTCGGCGTCTCCCTCAATTCCTTCACGGCATCTCCCTCAATTCCATCAATTTCATCATACTAGGCAGAAGTGTCAATCACTAACAGCTTGGAGAAAAATTAGGCATATTAACATTATTAAATCAAGAAATTAAAATTAAAGATGATTAATTATGGTTTAATGTTTTACCAAAATTAAAGCTGCATAATGAATCTCCGCCGGAGACGGAATTGCTGCTGCATAACGAAAGAAATGGCGGCGGAGACGGTATGCTGTTGCATGTGTTGGTTTTGACCCTCTCCATATGTGTGGCCCCTCACATTGCCGAACACCTCCAGTTCCCGCCTCACCACCGACTCGCTCACATCGGAGGGAACCATGCTCACCAGTAGCGTTCGCGTCGGAATTGAACTCTGCGGCGGCAGCAACGGAGCTGGCAGTGCGGGTTGAGGGTACGCCAGAACTTTGCCGTACTGCGGCGGCGGGGGATGGGATCTAGGAAAATTCTTGGGAAGAATTCTTGACCTCTGGGATCAAGATTCCCCGGAAACGGTATAAAATAAGTGTAATTGAAATCAGAAAATCAGGTTTTTAATTCTTAATTTAGAATTCGCCCAATCATTAGCGTAATTGAAATCGGAAAATCAGGTTTTTAATTCTTAATTCAGAATTCGCCCAATCACTTTTTTTTTTTTTTTTTGTTATTTTTATGCCATGTAAACAATGACACCTAAGCATAATCGGCCACGTCATCGCAAACAGGTGGGTAACCTGCAAAAAAAGCTAATCGAACAAATTTAGAAGGTAAATGTGCCTGATTAGCATATATATTAGATGGTGGGGGGAATTGAACACTTTGAAATAGTAGATGGGCCTATTTGACACTTCTGCCTTATTATTATTATTATTATTATTATTATTATTATTATTATTATTATTATTATTATTGTTGTTGTTGTTGTTGTTGTTGTTGTTGTTGTTGTTGTTGTTGTTGTTTTTATTTTTGTTTTTGTTTTTATTTCCCACTTATAGTGCTCCATTTTAAACTTATTACAAAACTGTTAATTAATTAATTTTTAAATATTTAGACTATTTATATTTAAACTAGTTTTTTACGCGCATTGCGCGATTGGGATAATGCCCAATGTTTGTTTTTTTTTTTTTTTTTTTTTAAATAAGTACTTTAAAGTATATTAAGGCAAGATTATATTGAAATTGTTCATGCATAGATAATTGAAGGTTGAATTTGCGTATTTAAATAGGTAATTCTTCTCCCAAAGGTTGAGTCCCCAACCCCAAGGGTCCCCACACTCCGACCCGACAGAGCATTGTGGGAAGTTGTAAATCACGGTGACTCAATGATTTAGCAGACAGGACCAAATGCAGGTGCGCACAAGCAATCTGCCCACTTTGGACACAATTCCCGCACTGTCGCCGCCGAGGTTCAAACCTTGGTCTCTTCTCCCAAATACTGCCCACTAAATTAACCATTGAGCTAAGCCCGTGCGGGTTAAATAGGTAATTCTAAGTTTACAAATGCAAGATAAAATAGTCAAGATTGATTATAATTGTCAATAAAATAATTGTATAGGTATGGTTGAAACCAAATACGGGACATAAGGAAGAACAAATAAAAATTAGGGCATAAAATATTAAATATATACTAATATTGTTTGAGGAGATTTCGACATTAGGATTTGTGGTTAAGTTTTATTAAGACTTTAATATTAGAATTAGATTGATGGTGTAGTTATAATTCTATATTAGACTTTAATATTAGAATTAGACTAACGATGAATTAACGGTATTTAACGGAAAAGTTAAATGGATAATCATATAATTAAGGATAAATTAGAAAAACTTAAAAGAAAAAAATTAAAACTTGAACAATCTGAACCATTCATTTGATTTAATAATTTGGCGGTCATTTTTTCTACCCAATGTTAATAATTAAATAAATTCGTTGGTCAAATCTGCTAATATAATCCACTAACGCTAACCGCTAACTGCTAATTGTCAAACAAGGACATTGTAAGGTAGTTCTCACTTCAATTTGTTGTGTGATTTGAATACACTCTTTGTCACAAAATCTCTCTAGTTAATATGGTTGGCTTTATTAATTATATTTTTTTTAATTTTTTCATGGTATTAATAAAATACTTGGTAAATAAATATATAGCATTATTTTGTATTATAACTTTGATATTTAATTAGAAAAATAGTGCACAAAAAAGATAATAGACAATGTAGTGAATATAATCAATTGATGAATTTGAATGTAAAAATTTTTACATTTGAGAAAAATAAGGACAATATAATTAATGAAAATATTTATCTTAATTAATTTGTTGATAATGAATAATTTTTTTTCACTGAAATAAGACATTTTAAGGACAATGTAGCGAATATAATCAATTAATAAATTTGAATATAAAGAATTTTTATATTGTAGAAAAATAAAGACAATATAACTAATAAAATTATTTCTCTTATTTTTTTTGAATGTTACTGGCCCTATTACATTGTAGTATCTGTTCATATACTTTCTCAACCTACTGAAACACAAAGAACCAATAACGCCTCCACTGAGGCTCGAACTCATAACCTTCCAAATGGAAGTCCAACCCGGGTACCATTAGACCACATAGTCTTGGTCTCTTATTTAATTTATTGATAATGAATATTTTTTTTTGAATAAAGACATTGTGGACACATAATTCTAAATTAAAGAAATGCATATCTATAATTTTTTGTTGTAGCTACTAAGTTATTATTTATATATAATTTAATAAGAGTAAAATAGAGTACTAATTATGCCAACTTTGTTTGGGATGAGGTTCGAACCTAAGACCTTTTTTTTTTTTTATTGAAATCAATGAGTAAGTTAACGGTGAACTAACGGCAATTCTTAAAATTTTAACGGAATTAGTAACGGTGTGTGGGTATTTTAGGAAATTTTAATGTAAAATTTAAATCTTATCAATCTTTTAATCAATCTGAGTCATTCATTTGATTAAAATCTGTGACCGTCATTTTTTCTACCCATTATAGGCCTAACTCTTTTGGACTCTTATTAGTATAGTAGATATATACACATGAATTTTCTACGCATAATATAGCCATCTTTGCTAAATATATAAATCATTTATTTAAGAATAAGTTGTGTCTGAAATGCATGTAATATTTTTTAAAAGTCTATAAAAACTATTCCGTATTACGGAGTATATTTTAGGGTGCGTTTGGTTCATGAGTTTACAGTTTAGAAATGAGAATTAAAATCATAGTTAGTGTTTGGTTTACAACTTTTTAAAACACAATAATGAGTTTTGATTACCCATTTAATTAAAAAAGTATTCCGTATTATATTTTAGGGTGCGTTTGGTTCATGAGTTTATACATTAGGAATTAATGAGAATCAAAATCATAATCATAATTAGTATTTGGTTTACAACTTTTTAAAACACAATTATGAGTTTTAATTACCCATTTAATTAAAAATTTCATTCCCTAATTAAAAGGAGTATCATTCCATTTTATTGGTAATCTAATTTTTTTAGTTTGGATTAGTACTTTTAGATTTTTTGTGTTGTTCATATTGATGGTTCATATGCCATTATATTAGGATCAATTGCCTTGATTTTTTATTTTTGTATTTTAAAACATTTATTCCCATTATAGGGTCATACACAACCAAACATTAATTTTTGGTAATCATTCCAATTCCACCCTACAGTAACATGCAAAATAATTTTACCAAAGTCCATTACCATTATCAAGTATTTAATTTATATTCCAATTCTGATTTTCATGTGTGAACCAAACACACCCTTAATTAAAAAGTATTACATATATCAAGACAATTTCACAGAAAATATATTATTGAATCAAAGTAAAAATAAAAAATAAAAAATAAAAATTACAGAGAAATTTTTGAACCAAACTTCACAATATAATTACTATTATTATACCTAGGAGGCACATGCGTAGCAATGGGCCAATGGTAGCAGGCAATTCCACTGGACTTTGTGTGCAATGCACAACACTTTTTTTTTTTTTTTTTAATATTATTTTCTTTTCCTTGTAAATGTGTGGACACTGTAGTGTATCCTACTATCTACACATTTGCAAAGACAAGTTAATTTGGAATAAGAAATATTTTTCATTGGGATGCTCTAAACTCTAAAGATTTTACATTAAAAAATAAAAAGAAAAAATTCTAATAAAGATAAAATAAACCCTTCAATATTATTAAAATAGTGATTAAATCTGTAATTTTTTTTTCCAACCCGATTACCTATTAGATTAGTGCTATTTTTCATTGGGATGCTCTAAACTCTAAAGATTTTACATTAAAAAATAAAAAGAAAAAATTCTAATAAAGATAAAATAAACCCTTCAATATTATTAAAATAGTGATTAAATCTGTAATTTGTTTTTTCCAACCCGATTACCTATTAGATTAGTGCTATTTTTCATTAGGATGCTCTAAACTCTAAAGATTTTACATTAAAAAATAAAAAGAAAAAATTCTAATAAAGATAAAATAAACCCTTCAATATTATTAAAATAGTGATTAAATCTGTAATTTGTTTTTTCCAACCCGATTACCTATTAGATTAGTGCTATCTAAATTTGAATAAATACGTTGGAGACAATGATCATGATTGTGGATGTTTTTTAAATTTGTATTTTTTTTTAATGAAGAAATGAATTAAAGAGTGAAGAGAAATATGATGTTGGGGCCTTTGACTTTGCCTTCGCCTTCTTCCAAATTTAGAAAAAGGCAAAGGCCGCCTTCCTTGAAAAGAGGCAACAGTTATTATTATTTACTTCTTACATAAGAAGGTACGCGATATAGAAATGGAGATGAAAATGTAATTGCAATTAACATGTTTATTTATATATATAAAAAAAAAATCTTAAGAGACAAATTTTTTTTTTTTAAAGGATAAAACAAACAAATTTATGAAAATATCATAAATAATTTTAGATATATTATCTAAAAAGTGAATGAAAGTTATACCCCTGATTTATGTCTGTTTTTTTCTTTAAGTTTTTTTTGTACATTATACTATAAAGGTTGTACATTAAAATATTTTGGATAAACATACCCCTACCGTTATAACTTCCGTTATCTTTTTCACTATTGTTACCAAGCACATGCATCCACCATATATTTTATTATATTCTTCATTAATAATAATATATATACACATTAAATATTTGAGTTATATGTTAATTATTACATAAATATAAATATCAAATTTATAAAAATGATTTACATTATTATTATTTATAATAATTTAAACATCTAAAATTTAAATAAATTTAAAATTTTAATATAATGTATTAATATTAGACACTTACTTTTTGCGCATGGCGCATAAAAAATATTAGTATTATTATACAAGCTAAGGTTACATTGTAATGATGAATTATATTATGTGAATAACATTTTGTATCGAGTGATCTAAACAAAATGATGTGAATAACATTCCCAGCTAGCCCACTAAATTAGATAATAGCTATAGCTAGCGACGTGTAAATGCATGGGATTTACATTTTACAAGCAGTTTTGTATGTAGAAGCTAAGTTATATGACAAAAATAATAATTGAATGTGGCTACTGCATACAAGTAGAAGTCGGTGGTGGTATGACTATGACAATGACACACGTTGCTCATAATCGACCTGGTCGGCAATTACTTGTCTGTTTTAAACTTATGCTGTTTTTATGGGAAAATGATCAAATAGATTTTTAAACTTTAACTAAAAAATTAATTAGTTCTTTCAATTTTATTTTTTTTTTGAAGAAGAAAAATACAATTATACACATCAACAATTCATTTAAATGTGTATATGTGGATGACCTCATTCCTTTGTAAAAAAAAAAAAAAAAATCATTTGGATGTAATGAGACCCAAAAATCAGATATTAACCTGCTATCATAGGTCATTAGAGATTGCCCACCATTCGAAAAAAATTTCAAACAAAAAAATGATCGCCGACCATTACCGGTCACAGAAAAAGAAAAAGTAAGGCATAAAATAAATCTAAAAACATAATAAGTTTGAGGGTTATACTCTTGGTTTATGTTCATTTTTTATGTTAACTTTTTGTTTGTACCTTATGCTATAAAAAGTTGTATTACATAATTTTTTGGATAAAAATATATTTACCATTATAACTTCTGTTATCTTTTCACAATGTTATTACCATACACATGCATACCTAATATTTTTTCCTACATTCTTCAATGATAGTTTGATTTATTTAGATTTTAATTAAATTTTACCATAGTTATATTTAGTAATTTATGATTTTTATAATACTTACTCGAACAATATAGATATGAATTTTACAATTATAAATATATATATATATATATATATATATATATATAACTTTTTTAAAAATATTTTAATATAACTAAAATTTTAACACTTAGTAGCTTTTAAAAAACACTTAGTATTAATATTAGACATATATTTTTGCGTATCATACGTATAAAATACTAGTCAAATAATAAATGGAAGAAAAGCACAATTAATGAAACGCATAGTACAATCATTTAACACTAACGTTATTTACTGGGTAAGTGGGGTGGCAAGACTGAATTGTTTATTGAGAAAAGAGAAATCAGTCAGAAAAGACAGAATCGGCTCACAGGATTCACACTGTCAAAAATAAAAGTGTGAGAGAGAAAGAGAAAGAGAAAGAGAGACCACCGCGAAGGGGGAGAGTGTTTGCTGCTGCTGCTACAAAAGCCCTGCCTTTTCCGATTACCAAAAATCGAGCTTTTAGGGTTTTTGATTTTCTTTCTAAATCTTCACTGAATCACTTTTTCTTCAGTTCTAGCTGGACTCGATCTGGACATCAAAATCTATTCTTCGTGCTGGAATCTACTACAAACTACGGAGTACGGAGTATTTCTTTGTAAGTTCCTCCACCTTTTTCTATTACCATTTCTCTGCAACTACCTTCAACTATATTGTATTATTGTGTTGTTGATTGATTGCTGTTTAGTTGGGGACTTGGAGCTGTACTATACGGTTTGCTTCCTCGGTGTGAAGAGGGGGTTGGTTGGTGAGGGTTTGGTGAACGGACAGAAATGCGAGTGCGTTTTTCTCAGAATTTGGAATGATTTTTTTAATTTTTTTTTGCTAGGGTAAATAAAGCGATGAAATGATTTTGATTGTGATTTGAGGGGTTGGATCAATGGAGCAAGGGATTGAGGATCATTTGGTATCTGCCAGGAAATCTCTGCGGAGTAATTTGGAGAAATCGAAGGCACTAGGTTTGTCGCTTCAGAAAGCTGGGCCGAGATTTGCTGAGATTAGTCAGCGGTTGCCGTCTCTGGAGGCAGCAATTCGACCAATTAGAGCTCAAAAGGATGCTCTTTCGGCTGTTGCAGGTCACATTAACCGTGCAGTGGTTCCTGCCACAGCTGTGCTCAAGGTGTTTGATGCTATTCATGGGCTTGAGAAGTCTTTATCTGATCCCCAATCGGATCTCGTGGGCTACCTGGGCGTGCTCAAGAGGCTTGAAGAGGCTTTGAGGTTCTTGGGAGAGAATTGCGAGATGGCCATTCAGTGGCTGGCTGATATCGTCGAGTACCTTGAGGACCACCGGGTTGCTGATGGCAGGTTTATTTCCAATTTGAAAGAGGAACTCAGTGGTTTGCGCAAATTGCAAAGCGGGGAGGAAAAAGCCCTCCTTGATGGAGGGCTTCTTGTGATTGCTCTTGACAGATTAGAGAATGAGTTCCGGCGCCTCTTGACAGAAAATAGTGTTCCATTGCCAATGTCAGATCCTCCCTTACCAGGGGAGCAGGCCTGCATAGCTCCTTCTCCTCTCCCAGTTTTTGTCATACAGAGACTACAGGCTATTCTTGGCCGATTGATTGCCAATAATAGGCTAGAGAACTGCATTTCCATCTATGTTGAGGTTCGCAGTTCAAATGTCCGGGCAAGTTTGCAGGCACTTAACCTGGATTACCTTGAGATTTCTGTTTCTGAGTTCAATGATGTGCTGAGCATAGAAGGCCACATAGCTCAGTGGGGTAGGCATTTAGAGTTTGCAGTTAAGCATCTTTTTGAGGCTGAATATAAACTATGTAATGATGTGTTTGAGAGGTTAGGATTGGATGTGTGGATGAGTTGCTTTGCTAAGATAGCCGCACAGGCAGGGATTCTTGCATTCCTTCAATTTGGAAAGACCGTTACCGAGAGTAAGAAGGATCCAATCAAGTTATTAAAGTTGTTGGATATCTTCTCATCATTAAACAAGCTAAGATTGGATTTTAATAGGCTTTTTGGTGGGACAGCTTGTGCTGAAATCCAAAATCTCACAAGAGATCTCATCAAAAGGGTGATTGAAGGGGCCTGTGAAATCTTTTGGGAACTTTTGCTTCAAGTTGAATTGCAGAGGCAAACACCACCTCCGTCAGATGGCAGTGTTCCAAAACTGGTTATCTTTATCACTGAGTATTGCAATAAGTTGTTAGGGGATGATTATAAGCAAATCCTCACCCAAGTTCTGGTCATTGAAAGAAGTTGGAAGCACGAAAAATTTCAAGAGCGGCTTCTCATTGATGAGTTACTGAATATTATGAAAGCAGTTGAACTGAATTTAGAAACATGGTCAAAGGGCTATCAAGACAGTGTGTTGTCATTTGTTTTCTTGATGAACAATCATTGGCATTTGTACAAACATTTGAAAGGAACCAAGCTCGGGACCGTACTTGGAGATTCTTGGTTACGAGAGCACGAACAGTACAAGGATTACTATTCTGCATTCTTCTTGAAAGAGAGCTGGTCCAAGCTTCCTGCTTTGTTAAGCCGGGAAGGTCTTATTTTGTTCTCAGGTGGGCGTGCTACTGCTCGTGATCTTGTCAAGAAAAGACTGAAAGCTTTCAATGAGGCTTTTGATGACATGTATAAGAAACAGTCCAACTGGGTCATGCTTGACAAAGACCTACGGGAAAAGACATGCCAACTGATAATTCAGGCAATAGTTCCTGTATATCGGAGCTACATGCAGAACTACGGGCCATTAGTTGAACAAGATGCAAGTGCCAGCAAATATGCAAAATACACAGTTCAGACTCTTGAGAAAATGCTCAACTCTCTATTTCATCCCAGGCCAGTGAGACATGGCAGTTTTAAAGTCCGGCAGCCTAGTGGAAAATTCAACAATAGCGTTACAGATCAGCTTCCGAGTTCTCCTAACATGAAATAAATGGTTGAGGATTACTGGTAAGGCCATGGTTTAAATGAAAAAGGAACCTTGAAGTCCTACACCTCTGTGTTGTAGATGTCATTGGTTACTTTGTATATAGTAAGTTCTCGTAGGATCTATTGTGGATCACTTGGGCCAGCTTCAATTGAAGGAAAGAAAAGCACTTGTTCTTGATGGTTTTGACATGGGACTTTGGTTGCATGGCTTATGGGGGAATTAATATCCACGAAATTTTCAGGGAGCACGTTACTCTTGAAGATAACCTGGCAAAACAACACATTAATTATTACCTGGGCCCTTAAAGGTAAGATTTGAAGAAAACGTTTCCAGTTAATGCTATTTATTCCATTTTCCATCAAGAGTGTGGTCAGTCAGTCATTCTGCCACAAGTTAAGCAGTGGATACCTGTATTGCGGTCTGCTTGTCCATCACAATTATTAGGTCCGTGTTGCGTCTAGAGCTTTAGCAGTAACACCGTTCGCCCCAAAAAAAAAAACTGTGCTAGAACCTCTAGATTTATTTGTTCATTGTGCCTCTAGCTGTATACAAGCTTACAAATGCCTTAATATGTCAATTGTACTAAAGCCATGAGTCTCAGGGCAATAGTCTATTTCAATAATCAATTCTTGCATTATGTACTATTAATTGTTTTGCACTTTTGCTTGTGAAAAATCACTGCAGAATTGATTGGTTCAATCTTAGTTCCTTTATGTTCTTTGTCTCAGTCTTAATGTACTTGTATTGAGGATTAGATGCTCTTACTTTGGCTAACCATACTGCATTTTTTGATGTTGTAGTTGCTACTAATCACCTTTGGGGTGTCGGGATGGATCATTAAAACTATAGTTACTCTCTAAAATCTAAATAGAGAGAATATATACTTGTGAAAATTTGAGAATAACTTTTTCTATGTTTTATAGAGTTCAAGTACATGAGAATTACATATACAAGAAACCATGGTAAGAAGCCAATCTACATATTTGTATTCTAAAAAGAAAAAAAAAAAAAAAAGGAAATGAGTAAAAGTACAAGAACACTTCTGTCTGAGTTATACATATGGATTGTACTGATGTATTGCTTCTACCTGCAAAATATGTTAAAAGCAGTATTCATGTTTTCCTGTTGGGTTGGAAGACATACTTGATGACGGAATCCTTAATTGATAACAATTGTGGGAACTCTTTCTTGAGCTTTGTCATGTCCAGCTCGTTGTTACTTCTGGGAGCAACGATCACCTTAGCTTGCTCTTCTAAACTGAAATTCTGCCACTTGAACCCGGGGTCTATATACTCCCGGTACAACTCGAGAATCTCATTGTGGCTTATGACTCCTGGGTTGGTGAAGTTCCATATACCTCTGCAGTTGCGTTTTGCCATCTCAATGGAGATTGGCAGTAGCTCGTCCAACACAGTCATGCTGTTGGGGATGTTGACCACCTTGTTGTATCTCGAGATCTTTGTTATAAAGTTTCTGGGATTGGTAAGATCGGATGAGATGGGCATACGTACTCTGAGAGTGCACACATTGTCATATTCTCTCAGTAATTCCTCCACCTGCATAAATTGTGAATTTCATTACTTAATTTCTTCTTCTTCTTGTGTTGTGTAACACAGCTACAATACAGGTAGAGCCGTCAAAACGGGCACGGGCTTGGCCTATTATTGGCGGGCTTTTTAGCTCGTTCTGCTTCTGCCTGTCCGTTTCGACAGCTCTAAATACAGGTTGGTTCACGAAGATGAGATGAGATGATTACCATGGCTTTGGTGTTGGAGTAAAATGAGCCAGTAAAATTAGGCTTATCTTCCTCCTTGAATCCAATCCCAGAACCCTGTGGGTGCTTCTCATCATACTCAAATATGCACCCAGTCGCAAAGTTCATCACCAACAGCCCATTTTCTCTGCAAACATCTGCCAAGGTTAGAGTTCCGACCACATTTGTCCTTATGGTTTCAGTTTTATGCGACTCGCACCAGTCCACATTCGGCCTGCCTGTGATTCCAGCCGCGTTGAACACATGCGTAGGCCTTGCCCTCGCTATGTCTCGGACCAACGCTCCCCTGTCCTGTAACCTTCCCGTTCCATACTCGTACATTATCCCCCCTTGTTGACACAGGTTCCCCAGCAATCCCCCAATCCACCCTGTCCTCCCATAAATCAGGAATTTCAACCCCGTGCCCATGTTTCTGCCTCTCGCGAGCAGCTGCAATGCCCCGTCATAATCGTGGGAGGGCATTGCTATGGAGACTTTGGGATGGGGATGAAGCGCTGGGGTCACACCCCCCCACCAGTCTGAGTGATTTGTGTACCATTCTAGCGTCTTTTTCAGCCCTTCTTCCCATGGAGTGGTCTCCTCCCATCCCAGCTGCTTTAGCTTCTGATCATCCAAGAAATACCTCTTGTCATTGAACGGCCGGTCGTGAACCGTCTCTATCGCCTCCTTTGAGCTCCGGCCGAATAGCTTGCACACGTCCTCCGCCACGTCCAGCACGCGCCTCTCCTTCCTCGTCCCGATGTTGTACACGTGCCCGATCACGCCCTTGTGGAGGATAACGTCGAACGCCTCGGCCACGTCGTCGGAGTAGAGGTAGCTCCTCACGTTGGTGCCGTCGCCGTGGACCGGGAGCCGCTCCCCCTTCATGGCCAAGAGGATGAACTTGGGGATGAGCTTCTCTGGGAACTGGTTCGGGCCGTACACGTTGTTCCCCCGCGTGGTGATCGTGGGCAGGCCGTAGGATCTGTGGTACGCCATCACCAGCATCTCTGCCCCGGCTTTCGTCGCCGAGTACGGGTTCGTCGGGAGCAGCCGGGACGCCTCCGGGTTCCCCACGTCCGTCAACAGATCCGTCTCGCCGTACACCTCGTCAGTGCTGACGTGGATGAACCGCCGCACTCCGCCGGTCACCTTGCACGCCTCCAGCAGCACGTGGGTCCCGTATATATTGTTGTTAGTGAACTCGAACGAGTTCCCGAACGAGTTATCCACGTGAGTCTGCGCCGCGAAGTGCATTACCGTGTCGAATCTCTCCTCCGACAATACGTAGTTGATGAGATCAGCGCTGGTGACGTCAGCTTTTACGAACTTGAAATTCGGGGAGGATAAACTGGGATTCAGATTAGCTAGGTTAGAACAATAATCCAGCTTGTCCAGCCCTACGATTCTGTAGTTTGGATAGCGCGTGACGAGGCGGTTGGTTACATGGGAGGCGATGAAACCCGCCGCCCCGGTGATAAGGATGTTTCCGGGCACGTACGGCGTTGGTCCTTGAGATGACGTCATTGCCTGGAATTTCACTGTAGAACCGAACCAAACCAAATTTACCCCTTTTTGATCAACGTAACAAAAAGGAGATCAGATGAGGAAGACGATGAATGTTTTGCTAGATTCAGAGTTTGAGAAGCACAATAGTCGCATGCCGTTAGAGAGACAAAAGGGTCTAAGAGGAACGTGTTGTGTTTCCCGTGATTCACTATAATCATTGCATTGCATGCATGCTTGCAAGCATTACTCTCCCCATTATATATGTGTCATTGTTTTCCTTCAATTTATAGCAATATACAAATTTTATTTTATGCAATAATTATATAAACTTGCTCTGTAATAATAATAATAATAATAATAATATAATAACTATAAAAAGAATTTTATCGACTCATTAATTTTTAGACAAATTTAATATTTAAGATTATTTGAATTTTTTCTAAACCTATTTTGAGATTTTTTTTTTTGGTGACGAAGAAACTCACCGTTATTACTTGAGGATACGTATCGGTAAACTTCTTGTGACCTTAGTTGGCAAATGATCACAAAAAGGAAAATTAGTCTAAGTTGTCTATAACTTATCGGTTTAAACCAAAAGGTCTATAAATCACACTCACATTGATGGCCAAGTTTGCAGTCTTGCAGATGAATAAGATGGTGGATACCTCAAGTACTAGGATAATCGAGCTGAAAAAGCTTATAGAGACCGCTGAAAAGCAAAATACCAAACTGAAGAAGCTTCTACACACTGCTGAATAGGAAAAAACAGAGAGCATCATATATGCAGAGACCACTGAAATGGAAAAAAGACAGATAAACATGATTGTAGAGACCATAGAAACACAACAAACCAAGCTACGTTCAGAGGTAACCCAACTGAATGTGACTGTGGATATCGCAAGGGAAAGCACGACCAAGTAGTTGGAATGGTTTCAACACTGTATAAAAGGGTTAATTTTTAAAATGATCACAATGATGAAGGAGATTGCGGGCGTAGAGAGACATGAAACTTGCCAAGCTTAAGGCCATCCTCTTGGAAGAAGTAAATTGCGAGTGAAACTTATGTTACATTGTTTGTCATTTCATACCCTAGATTTGTATGCTTTTCTAATTTAATTTCTATGGTGAACAACCCATAGAAAATTGCTTTGATACCCTATGAGAATAATAGTTTTAGGAATGATAGTATTATTGATCAATTCATTGTATTTAGAATATATATATATAGGGAGTACTACTCGCTAGCTAATTCCAAGAAGACTCTTTCTCTCTACTTGAACAAGCAAATTGTTGACGAAAGCTACTCATTAGGGAAATCGTTGACTCAGGAACAACTCGTTAGCCTTGCCTCTAAGGGTGAGGTCAAGGACGCCGCCAATGTAGTGCTGATCGCCGCCGTTGGAAAGCGGTGAGAGGGGGAATTATTATGCAATGCTCATTCGGCGAAAGGGTGGTGGAGTTCGGAATGAAAGTGAAAGAAGGCAGCAATGTCCATGTCAGCAAGAATGATAGAAGAAGAAACAAAAAAATATACATATCAACAAAATATTACCGGTAATATGTAGGAAACTTGTAAAAAAAAAATTTGTGAAAAAAATAATGGTTTATGGCTCGAAATATATGTTATGAAAGGTCAGGTTGCAGCATGACTAATCATTCAGGGTGCGGGATGACACTTTAGCCTAATTAAAATAAACATTAATGTAATTTTTAAACATTATTATTATTATTATTATATTATTATTATATTATACTGGTAATTCACCCGCGCGATGCACGGGAAAAAAAATTATGTTATTATAAATATAAATAAAAAATGAAAAAATAAAATATTTTAAATTATTTAATATAATAATATTTTTGAGCTTTATTGGTCAAGTATTTATTATTTTTATAGAATACAAAATTACAATTAAAATTAAAATTATAATTTTGTATGGTTAATATAATCTCTAATTATGTGCATATTCAAATAAATTTATAGAGAGAATTTACATAATTACATCGATTTATTCTTAATTGTATTTCATCTATATTATAATTTTCACAATACGAATAATAACTAAGATAATTACATTTGGAAAGCAAATTTCAAATTTTGTAGGTGTAAATTTAAACTCTAATTGTACACATTTTTTATATGATTATATAATATATAGCTATTTTATTTTTCAAAAGTATATTTTTTATATGATTATATAATATATAGCTATTTTATTTTTTAAATGTTGTGTGTTTTTTTTTTTTTTTTTTTTATAATAAAGGATGTTGTTGCATTAATTGTAACATTAAATATTTCCCAAACCATATAGCTTTATTAAATAAAGGATTATTATTGTTGTTGTTGTTATTATTATTATTATTATTATTATTATTATTTTTATTTATTATTATTATTATTATTATTATGAAATAGATGTATACCGTTTAGATCATTTTACATGTTAACCGCTAATCTAAACAACTAATTTTATCAAATATTTTTTTTTACAAAATTCGCTAACACTAACCGCTAATCACTGATTGCCAAACAAGGCCATAATCTAAAATGAAATTAAAATAAAATTTAAAAGTTTCTAATGGTAAAATTCAAGTATAAAATTATTTTTTTTAATGTTATTATTAGCCAAGCTTGCCATATAGGCTATAGTGAGGTGGGCCAGTGTTGTATGCCTCTTTGGCTCTTTACGTGTCTATATATCCTAGCTTCAGCTTGTTGCCTACATTATTTGGTATGCGGGATAGATCAATCTATTGAGTTAAAATTGTTTAAATAGTTGTAGAAAACATAATCGAGTTCAATTTATTATTTGCTCAAAGCTTATTTTGCAGGCCAATAGTAGTACAGAGTATTTCTTAGTACTAAGAATGATAATGAGTCGTGGCGGGCAACAAATTGAAACGAGAAGGAAATATAAATTATTGATAAAAATGAAAAACTTTTGAAAGATAGACAAGATTAGAAAAAGATCAGAATATTTGGGATTCATTTCTTGTCAAAAACGCATGTCCTCATGCGTTTGAGCTTTGTTTCATGACGGCTAAAAAATTGGGGATGAAGGGAAAGTGCTAAGAAGAAGAACAAGGCGTTTGGACGTAGCAAATCGCACGCATTTGACGAGTTGCATAAAATAATATAAATATTCAAATATAATAACTAAACGAGTAAGTTTAGGAGAAGAGCGGTGATGAATTATCAAATGTTGGTTTTAAATTAATGTAAGTAATTATGTAAGAGAAAAACGAGCAACTGTAATTTTTTTTATTATCGAGGGGAGGTTTTGTAATTATGCTAAAATTAGGGGTCTAGTTATAGAAGATATTAGACACTGACGTTTTTTTGGCAATTAAGTTTCATGCATTCTTAACTTTTTGTCTATATTATTGTACTCCTCGACGCGATATTGCCTCTCTCTCTTCATACATCCTCTCTGCGGTGGGCTAGGGTTTTGCGTTCAAATCTAGGGTTTCAGGTGAACAACTTTTTTTCCTCTCTTTTGCTCAATCTCTTATCAGCATGCGTATAATGGATCTGTGTATATACGCGCGATGTTGAATGATGAATCTATGCTTGTTTTGTACCATTGTCTTTCTCTAGATGATGAAGCACTATTTTCAAATCCTCAGAACAAGATCCGTTTTTTTTTTTTTTTTTTTTTTTTTTTAATAGTTATTTATTTTTAAAATTTCTGGTTGGATGTAAGAAGTTCAGGCTTCTAGGGTGGTGTATGTGTTGGTTTGTTTACGCACACGCGTTTCGTCGATGCTTATGCTGAATAATTTGCTTCGTGAATTTGGAAATTCTAAACATAGCTAATTGGGTTGTATTTGTATAGGTGTTTATTCGTGATGTCAAGAGTATATGTTGGAAATTTGGACCCTAGGGTCACTGAACGAGATCTTGAAGATGAGTTCCGTACCTTTGGAGTGATAAGAAGGTATAAAAATTAGCTGAGCTCGTGTTTGTTTTTTCTCATTCAAATGTTTCATCTTACTGGATATTTTGAAGTTCATGTTTTTATGCTTACATCTATGTATATCCATAAATAAGCCTATAGATAACTACTTGGGGTTCCATAATATTGTGTTTCACTGACTTGTCAGTTTTCGTTTTAGAAGCAAAAAATTGAGGCTTCTATATGCTTGAGCATATTTATGGTGTGTGTGAGTCTGAATGTGATTGCATATCACAAAAACTTTGTTTATTTCCAGAAGAATTAATTATTGTGGAATGGACCTATTTGTATTTGCTACATTGATAATTATATTTATTTTCTTGGGTTGCAATATATCTGTTTCTACACACAAATTTAAATTAATCACATCGAGAATGTTCTTTGCTGTATTCTCCTATATATAAAATGTAAAAGGACATCTCTTGTTTTGCTGAACACAATTCACCATCAAAATTTACTTGAATACTACTTCCCCTATAAATACTTTAGCCATTTTATCTTATTAAGAAAATTTTCTTGTAGTGTTTGGGTTGCAAGAAGGCCACCTGGTTATGCTTTTATCGATTTTGATGACCGAAGAGATGCACAGGATGCAATCCGGGAATTGGATGGTATGAGCTTTGATTTCCTGGAATGGACTTATAAAATTATTTGTATCTAAGATCTTATGAACACTTAATTGGTATATGATTACTTCATTTTTTTTCCTGATGACAGATAAATTAGCAACAAAACTATCTTTAAACTCCAGTCAAATAGACCTTCAATTTGTTCATTTTTAAAGCTTCTCTGTTATGAATAAAAATTTTTTTTGTTGCTGATCTCTCTTTGTTACATGTGTCATTTTGATTTGGCATACATTATCCTTTCTATTATCTGGGGTAGGTAAGAATGGTTGGAGAGTTGAACTCTCTCACAATTCCAGAGGTGGAGGTGGGGGACGTGGCGGTGGAGGAGGACGTGGTCGCTCTGGTGGTTCTGACTTGAAGTGCTATGAATGTGGCGAAGCTGGTCATTTTGCACGTGAGTGCCGGCTCCGCGGGGGTGGGGGTGCAGGAAGGCGTCGCAGTCGCAGCCCACCTAGATATAGGAGGAGCCCAAGTTATGGTCGAAGGTGAGAATCAAGAATACATATGAAGCACTTACAACATTATTTTTTGTGTATATTAGCTGGGACGTAGTTATAAATTATAGTAATGGAATTATGCTTCATAATTTGCAGTTTGAAATGTTTTCATCTGTATATACTTTTCTTGATATTGTTGTATACCATGGCAGGAGTTACAGTCCTCGTGGTCGTTCCCCTCGTCGCCGCAGTGTGTCTCCTCGTGGCCGTAGCTACAGCCGATCTCCTTACCGTGGACGGGATGAAGCTGCTTATGCTAACGGGTGAAAAATCTATTAAATACTTTTACAAAACTATTTTCTAGCTCATGATGGAATAACTTGAGTCTAGCCTTATTAATTGAACTAGACACATAAAATAGGATGGAACGAGTAATATTTTATGCATTCTTCTTGTACATCTTGCATGTTAAAACTTTCTAAAGAGTGCATTAGTGGTTGGGACAAACAAGCTAACAAGTTGAGTGTTTTTTTAAACCCTCTTATTCAACAATCAAGAAGCAATTAGGTCACCTAAACAAGGTCTTAAGTGTTCTTTGAATTGTTTGATTGGCATTGGTATTACTAGGAAGGTTGAAGTAATTCAAACCTTTTATGGAGTACTATTTTTTAAGGCTGTAATGTTAATGATAATTTGCACTTTTCATCTTTTGACATGTATTTTTGTGGTCATATTTGCAGAAATGGTCTCAGGGAACGACACAGAAGCAGGAGCTGAAGCAATGGAATATTGTTTCCAGATGCATTACCAAACATTTGGAATTGTGTTTTTACTTAGCTTGAACTAGATCACAACTATGTAAGTGGGGCCACCATTTTGCTTCAACTGCTGGATTTGGTTAAGTTTTCCTTTCTTTTGATACTAAGTGTATTGGCTTCATAGTATATGTTCCTTGCTGAACTTAGTATCTAGTTACTGTTGCTTTGAATTTTATAGACGATTGGATCTATGGTAGGTAATATTTTATTGAGAAGAATATATCTCTAAAGACACTGCTAAATGTTTTTCTGTTTTTGTGCCGAGGTGTCGTCCTGGTACTACTGCTTCATTGGTTTGGTTTCTGCTTCTACACTCCGTGGTTTTGTTCTTCTCTGCCCTGCTGTGGGATCTTCAATTTGAATGATTGTGGACCCCAGCTGGCTACTTCGCTAGAAGCTTCTATTTGTTTGAATCTCTGCAGCTATGATGCGTCTCACCTCAAATCATAGTGGTATTTCTTTAACATATTAAGGATGAGGAACAGCTTCAAACACTTCTGGCAGGTATTTAATCTGTTCCAGAGATGTTGGGGATTTAATCTTGTCCTTAATCCACATTAGATTCATACTCCAATTGAGTTGCTATGTCCGGGATCCTAAATTCCAATAGTGGTGAGAAGTTCGAATTGGATTAAGTGTGCCTATATAGGATCATTTTAAACCACACCTACTCAATTATTTTTTCTGTTAGTGCTGCATCTCTTTTTAAAAGAGTTTGGTTTTGTTGGGTATTCATTTGCATATTTTCCAGTAGAAAAATGATTTAAATAGCAGTTAAAATATACAGGATAAATTTTATTTTCTCATCACAGGGGGGTCATGTCTTCTTTTTTATATCCTCCCCCCCAACTCTACCTGGATTAGAGACATTGAAAAGATCCAAACATATCTAAAATATGCCATTTAGATTTGATCTCCTTAATAGTTGGTGGTGCTTGCCATAATTGTAAGGAGTAATTTTTATTGTTACGTTAAGTGTGTTTTATTCTCCATTATTTGTCGCCATAGTATGGGTGGGCTGTGTTCATGTTCTGCAGTGTATAGAAACTGGAATTAGAGTAGTGAATTGGTCCCTATTTGCCTTCAAGTGAAGAGCTTGCTTGACTTCCTCCAATCATTTTTTCATCAAGTTGATTGAGACACGTCTTCATATCCAAGAACAGAGCTGGTTCTGGTATAATGCATTTTTGCCTGTTGTCACTAGTGAATTCTCCGTTACTACTATGGAATCCAAGAACATGGCTCGGTATGGCATAACCCTATTATGCTTGTCATCACTTGTGAATTCTGTTGCTCCGTTGGAATCCTACACCAAATAGCCTTCTTGTATAGCTTCTAGTCATTATTATTAGTCTTTTTTAAACCGTTACATCATCAAGGCTTGTATTCATTTTAGTTAGTTTTTATCATAAGTAAAAAAGTGACCTGCTTGTTGTATGAACTTGGGTGGGCATGTTTTCTTTGGCTGCTCAACCCTTTTTGACGAATTGCACATTGCATCCATGAACATGTGAGCCTCTCTTGGTCTCATATAATGTTAATTGTATACTTGAGATTTACCTTTTTGAAATGTTCTAGGGCGTTTTGCCCTAGAAATTCTGCCCCCCCTTGACCCTTGTACTTGCAGAACTGAATTGAGGCATGCGTGTATCTTTTTGGGGACATGTGTGTTTGTTTTATATGTTTACATTTTTGGGAAACAAACTGACATTCTTAGCCTTGAGAGAGTAGATAGGATAATTGTTTTCACCTCTTTGTGTGTGTGTGTGTGTGTGTGTTTGTGTTTGTGTTTCACAGCCTCGAGGGAAAATCTTCTCGGGAACTCAAGTGTTGTAATAAGTAATGTTGCTTGTAGCATCGTACTGTCACATTCCTTTATTAGATAATTAATAATGGCAACATGTGACTGGGTGTTTTTATACGATTATGTCAAATAGTTGGGCTACTCAAAGTTAACAGCATAAGTGTTACACATGCATATTACACTATTGCATACAAGAGAACATGTTTCTTGACATATAGTGTAAAGCAACTGCAAAGCAATGAAATTCAATTCCAAAACAATTTTTGATGAATGTAGTCTCTTATACACAAAAAGTGATACTATTTGTAGAATTGTAGTAATTGATTTGGCACTTAAAAAAACAAAGTATTCTTTGCATCTTGACCACTACATTTGCCTAGCTAATTTTTTTTAAAAAAAAAGAACTTTTACATCTAATCTTAGATTGAAGACTATCTCAAAAAGACTTAAGATTTCCCCTATTCTCATGGGGAACGAGTTACATACTTAGAATGGGCGTTATATGAAGAGATTGATAGAGTTTGAGAAACGAGACATCCAACCTAAGAGCAATAGCAATCTACAAAGCTGTTTTGCATGGAAAGTGGAGAAGACTTGAAATGAAACCCTAAAAGGATAAGAGAATTCGAAATGATCTTGTGGATAGGAACTATTGTCTCTTGAATTGGAATTGATTAAAGATAAGACTAGAGACCAAACTAAATTATTTTTAAAGAAATAAAAATATTGACTACAAGTTAATTAACTATGTACTAAAAATTTTGAAAGAATCATAATTACAAAGTTACAGATTTGATGATCAAATAAGAGATGTTGAATACACACATTTTGATAGTGATTTTCATTTATCTTCCTATTTAAAAAAAAAAAAAGTTAATAAAAACTTTGATCCTAAATAAATGTGACATGGTTGATCCTTGATGGTATTGGTCCCATTTGTGATTTCCCAAATCCATGTGGGTGGCTGAGAATGCACCATTCATCAAAACCCCAACCACCAATGCTCTATGCTCTCTCGTCTAAGCTCCGGAGCCATCAGCCATGGCCTCCATCTCCCTCCTCACTACTACTACTACTGCATCACCTCTCTCCCGCCCAGTTCCCTCGCCACTATGTTCTTCCATGAGGATTTCGCTTCCACTCCACCACCCCAAGAAGCTCCGCACGCGCTCAACACTTCACGCTTCTGCAGTTTCCGCACCGTCGCTATCCAAGCCCGATGATCTCGTCAATGCTCTTCTTTCTAAGGTACTCACCCCTTCACTTTTCCATCTGTTTATACTTCCCAGCAAAAAACTAGAAATCTCAAATAAACACGCACATATACACCTACTGTATGCTAATTTCAGATGTAATTGCCATTGCGTATGGACAAGTTTCCGCCGGACTAGAAAATCAAAATTATTTATCTGAAATTGAAGCGAATGTTACAGTTTTTGGTTGATTTTGTTGTCAACTACGGAGTATTTGTTTATATATTATGAAAGGAAGTTTTTTTTTTTTTTTTTTTTTTTTTTTTTTCTTTTAAAATAGGTAGAATAAATGAATGCTTCTGAAGTCCAGCAAAGAACGGTGTATTAACTATTCATAAATTGGAATTTTATTGCGAATTGTTTTTGCCCGGATAGGTGATTGAGGGGAAGGACACAAGATTAAGATTAAGATTGGCAGCCTCATCTGAGTTACTACACCCAATGTGGTGGGCTCAGCAAATTATACTATGAAAATGTGGACTGAAGGTTCATTTTTAGGTAGTATATCAAATAATGAACCTTCAGTGCATACAAAATGAACTTTCAAAAAAAAAATGAACGTTTAATGTATTAAAAATGAACATCCAGTGTATTAACAACAAACTTTATGTCGGTGGTTCACTTTGTAAGGTGAATTGTGGTCCATGGTATAATGATTGGGTAGGCCCAGCTAAGCACTTGTTCTCCCAGCTAAGAGGCTGAGTCACCGTGATTTGCCCTTCACCTGCCAGACCGGGGTGTGGGGCCCGCCTTTTGTGGGCAAGGGTTTAACTATTTTAATTTAACTAGGTTGTGCAAACAGATAGAGGAGTTTTGTTGACCACAGAAGAGCATGGAAAGGTGGCTGAGATGGCTAGTGATTTGGAGAGCTTCTGTGTTGATGAACCTGTTAAGTGCCCTCTAATATTTGGAGGTAATCCTTTCATTACATTTACTACTATGTCAGATGATACTTGCAATTCTTGAAACTTCTGTACTGCTATGCATCGATCTTAATTTTGTTTGCTAACTCATTCTTGTTGGGATTTCATAAGTAGTTACAAAAAACTTTTGAATTATGGTATGCAATTGATGTAACTTTACTCTTTCGTAATGCAAATAATGTAAAATGAATTAATAAAATACTCGGAACCTTGTTAAAGTTTCCGTTCTTTGGAAACCAGTGTCCCATTTATGTATCATCGCCTTTTTTCTTTGCTATGTGATTCTATTAAAGGTGCGAGTGTGTATATGTGTGTTTATTCATAAAATAAGTATGAATTCCTGTGCAATCAGTTGTAATTACATTGAAAAATAAGGGAGAAACATATGGCTTTACAAGCATGGGTTAGACTAGCTAATTGATTGGATTCAGTTTTTAGTGTGGTTTGGCCTACGTGCATTACAACCTAGTTGAGAGTAACCTCAGCCCAATCTTAGATCCTAACATGTATCATCACCTTTTTTTCTCTGCTATGTGATTCTATTGTGTTTGTGGGTGTGTATGTGTGTGTTTATTCATAAATCATAACATAAGTATGAGTTCTCGACTTCTCGTGCAATCAGTTGTAATTCTGTTTTCCAAACAATGATGAATTCAATATAAGTTAGATTTAGTCTGTTGCCTAGCCCTATGTTAATCTCAACTCTGTCTCCCGGAAGAACTTTGGATGAGCCAATGAGCTGAAGTGCTTATCCATACACATGGATTCACTTCTTGTTTTCTGAAAATTTGTCATTCTTTTAGTTACTATTCGTTTGTGGGTTTATACTTAATTTTCAGAAATTTAAAGAAGTATTATTAATTACAGAAATTCCTTACAGAATGGGATGTAGTCTACTGCTCAAATCCCACATCACCAGGCGGTCTCTATAGGAGTGCAGTTGGTCGCCTTTTCTTCAAAACCAAAGAAATGATTCAGGTTCTTGAAGCCCCTGACACCGTGAGAAACAAAGTCTCCTTCTCTCTTTTTGGATTCCTTGATGGAGAAGTTTCTTTGAAAGGTACCTTAATAATCGGCCAAAATTATTATTCTCTTTATTGTCTGCTGCTCCGTTTGGATATCTTTTAGAATTCGAGATTTGAGTAAAACATACATGTTAGATACTATTGCAGCTTTGATTGTTGTGTGCCAACAAACTGGCTGTTCCCTTATTCGAGCCCTTCACTGATATCGGCCCTGTTTGGTAAAAAATTGGCCTATAGGCCAATTTTGGCTTATTTGACCACTATTAATTGTTTGATTTAGTTAAAATATCAATAGAAATGTTTGGTTAATTAGCTTTTTGCAACTCTAAAAGGCTAAAATTCAAAAAGCTACTCCAAGCAACTTTTTCAATTAGCTTTTTGAGAAAAGAAATTATACCAAGCAGCTATCAGCTAACAGCTAATTTACCAAACACTTTTCTACAATCATCTAATGTTATCAACTATTTATACTCTTTAATTAACACAATCAGCTAACAGCAAACAGCTATCAGCTAACAACCATTTTACCAAACAGGGTCATCGTGTTCTTGTAATCTGTTTGTGATGAAATGAAATTCGCAGGGAAATTGAATGTTCTTGATGAAAAATGGATTCAAGTGGTGTTTGAGTCGCCTGAAATTAAGATAGGCGGGTTAGAAACGCGATATGGTGGCGAGAGTGAAGTTAAACTGGAGATCATATACATAGATGAGAAGATGAGGCTGGGAAAGGGGTCTAGAGGTTCATTATTTGTTTTCCAGCGACGAGGTACCTTTTAAATCTTCATATTGTACAAGTAAAACCGGCCTTGTGTGTATAGTTCAACAAGCTAGCTTATCCGATCCAAGAAAAATCATTGTTTTCTTATACATTTTGTGGTGATAGTTACATGAACCTTTTTAATGATGTTCAAGTTTCTAATATGTTAATGTTCAAATGCTAATTATCCTAACTTTTAACTCCCTACTACTTTATGTAGCGACTAATCGGCTATCCTTATCCCAGCAATACTCCCTCACTTTCAAAAGTGAAATTTGTAAATTCTTTACTATTTTCTCTACATCCCTACAATACGCTCTCACTCTCAAAAGTGGTCCTATGCATTTTCTATTATAAATATAATAATAAAATAAAAAATAAAAAATAAAAAAGGAAATAAAGTCAACTGCAAACTTGCTATTATAGCAAGCTTGCAAGTCACGTAACTAACAAAATAAAACAAACAAAAAAAATTACATTATCTCCCACATAATTTTGAAAGGAGTTTACTTGTTGGGATAAGGATAGCTTTAGTGTTACGTTGTATGTCGTTTTTTGTATCCCTTCCTGCTAGTGAGGCTCGACTAGCTAACATATTACTTTATTGGGGGATGTCCTTAGCGTTTTCCTATAAAATATTAGTATATTAAAGTCTCGATAATATAAAGAGGTGAAACTTGTTTTGTGACTCTAATTGACAAAGGATTACATAAAAGTAAACTAGTCTAGGTTGTCATGATTTACCGACACAAATTAAGAAAGCTAATAGACAAGTCTCATTGAGAGTCAAACTTAGAACTCTGAATTACCAAATTAGTTAGGGTTCCTACCTACATGTAGTATTTAAGCATTTATATATGGTATGATAGATTGATAGATACACTACAACTATGGAGTATTTTGTAATTTGTATACACTATACTACAAGTTTGAACTTTAAGTACTACCTAACATTTGGTAACAATAAAACCTTTTCCATTAGGTGCACGCAGTAGTACAGCTTGACTTGGTAAGTGGTAGATGTCCAGGTTCAATGAATGCAACTTAAAAACAAAAAAAAAAAATCTATTTTATTGATTAACATTGAAAAATTGAAATTTTTTAGAAATATTTGACCTTAAAATATATAGCTTTTATTTTGTACAGTTGAAAAATTCTTTATCAAGTAAAAATGCTCTATAATTTTTTTAAAGGGAAATGACCAATGCCCCCTCCCCCACATACGCGCACACGCGTGCACACACACACACACACACACACACACACACATATATATATATATACACACACACACACACACACAAACAAAAGTCCACTGGAGTGCTGACATCTGGATCGTCCAAATAAACTAACTTAAGTGCAGCACAAGAAGTCCTTATTAGTATTTCTAAAATCTTAATTTTGAAAATTAAAATACCCAATTATGCTGAACCATTCATTTATCGTAACTCTAATTTACTCTAATATTAGTTAATATTTATTATAGATTGTAAACAATATCGATTTTCAGTTAAAAAAATAATCGACTAAAAATAATACATTCAGATTCTGTCAATCACAATTTTTTATTTTATTTTATTTTATAAAAAGAACAATAATTTTTTAGTATCAATTAATTATTAATGGTAACCGACCAATGCTCACCCTAATGACGGTTATACCACGCCTTAGTATTCCATAAATCAGATGTAATATAGATGAACACATGCAAAGTTTATAGATAATAAAAGATAATAAAAAATAATGTGTGTTGGTAATTTTTAGGTGAGGAGGAATTCCGAGGTGCAGTGGTGAAGATTTGCGGTTCACGCGGTCCACACGCATTGAATTTCAGTCCGGTCCCCAAACGTGCAATATAAATTTCAAAGATGGACAGCTTTCGGTCCAGGTTCAATGAACCTTCCACCTATCATCTTCTACCGTATCTTACTCCCAACTTGCCTGTTTACCTTCCTACCCATTACCCATACATACATACCATCATACATGCTATTTTCAATCTATATAATATATGTCCATCACTCCATCACATCATTAATTAAACCCAATACTTCATTCTATCTATTCAACAACAATTTTTTATTTTATAATAGCATTCATATCAGTTTGAATTTCTCAATTTTTTTTTATAGAAACACCATTTTACCCACTATATTTTAATTATTTCTTTATCTATTTTATTTATAAATTTATAATTTTAATAAAAAATAATGAAACATGCTTACTGAATTTTCAAGTAGATAAATAGTATTTATAGATTTTTTTTTTTAAATAGCCATTCCCAGGCAACGACCGAAAATATGACCATTGTCTAGCAACGACTTAAATTTTGGCCGTTGATACGGCTAGCAACATCTAAAATTAATTAAATTGAGAGTGGCCACCAGCTGCCGGCCACTCTCAATCACCCAGGCGATACACGCGCCTGCCTGTCTTCTTTTTTTTTTTTTTTTTTTTTTTTTTTAATTCACAGACATAAACCGCTACTTGCAGGCCGAAGCTTTTCCAAAAAACTCAGCCTCACATCAGTGTTGAACTTGAGCATGAGTTATTTACTGTACAAAAAATTTAAAATTATTTGCTGTTAGGGATGCTCTAAGAGCATACATATACTAGTCTTAGTTTTTTTTTTTTTTTTTTCTTTTTTTGATTTTTGTCATTTCATGTAGGAAAGAGAGGGAGGAGGAGAGATGTAGCAAAGAAAAAAACACTGACATCAAAAGAAAAGAAAAAAAAATGCAAAACTCATTTACACGCCAACTAGGCGCAGCAGGTGCACAAAACGCGCACCTACCAAGTTTCTTTTTAGAGATAAACTGTCAAACAAGGCCCCAAAAAAATTAAATTGCAGGAGGTATAAAAAAAAAAAAAAAGTTCTTCCACTAGTTAAAAATCAAGTATTGATTTTTTCTTCCTCAAAATTTGAGCAAAAAATCACTGATGTGGTTGCTCTAACCCAAGTTCATGACTTTGTTGGATCTTATGAACATGCATTCAATTAGCTCATGAAAAGGTAAAACGAGTCAATTTCAAGACTTACCACCAAATTGTATATTTATGCGCATAAAGAGACCAACTCAAATCTAACCACCACTTTATCACTGAAAGCAAGCCTTAAGTGAGACTTCTAATAAATTAGACCAATGTCGTGGGACATTATTGCGGAGTAATATTTATAAGAAACTTAGATTAACTAACTGCAATAATTATAAATGAAATGTAATTGTCTTAGTTTTTATTTTGGTGAAATCATTCATTGAAGTATAGGTTATCAAATTATATTACAATTAATTCAGGTAACTAATTGAACAAAACGAAATTTTATTGTATGTAATATTTTTTTGAAAAATATATTTTTATTTCATTAACTTAATTTTTTTTAATACTACTAACTCTATTACAATGCAGTATCTGTTCATAATTACTTTCTTAATCTTCTAAAGCACATATCTCATACAAGGGAACAATTTGGTGACACTAGACCACAAGATCCTTGACTCGTTAATTTAGTTAATTTGATGAATTTTTAAAATTATAACTAATAAACGGTTGATAAAAATCAACTTCATTCAATTACTTACGGTTAATTGAAGTTATTTCGGTTAAAAAATGGGATAACCCTAATTTAGAAGTGAAAAATGAGAAAATACATAAAATGAACCTTACCATAAATGCATTGTTTATACATAAGATAAGATGATGCATGTATACCACACACGCATGCATGCATGTATGGCAAAATGGGAACAGATCTACCCAACTTCACTTCTATAAATACCTTTTCTCTTCCCAACTGCATCATCATATTCATATCCACCCTCTTCCTCCTAGATCCTAAGAGAGGCGAGGTTCAAGGGGAGAAAAAGCCAAGAAGATCACAGGCTTCTCTCTCTCTCTCTCCCTCTAGGGTTTGCAGTTTCCATTGATTCCCATTTTAGCATTTTCTCGGTACTCTGACCAATCTTATTCAGAGAACTATATTTGTTGGAAAAAGAAAGGATTTTGTTGTTTCTGTTGATTCAGAAGCCTTCTTGGTGGATATTGGTGAGCTTGCAATGCATACTTTTTTTTTTTTTTTTTCAATGAATTTTATCGTTTCGGGTTCTCGATGGGTTTGGGGATTTCTGATGCTCGGAAGGTGAAATTAGGACCCGACATTTACTGTTTCGTGTTCTTGCTTGCTGTTTGTTCTAATTCGTGGTGTGAATTGAAAAGATAATTAACATTGTAGCTAATTGGTGGCAGTTTTTTGATTGAGGAAGAAGCTTGATCAGGATGGTGTTCTGGATTTTTGGATATGGGTCATTGGTTTGGAACCCTGGGTTCGAGTACGACGAGAAAATCATTGGTTACATCAAGGATTACAGGCGTGTTTTCGATCTTGGTATGTCCTTTGTAGCACTGATTATTGCGTTTTTGGTACCATTTCTTTCCACTGTAATCTTATTTTCTTCCTGATATATGCATTTCAGCTTGCATTGACCACAGAGGCACGCCTGAGCACCCAGCCCGAACTTGCACCTTGGAACAAAGTGAGGGAGCCATATGTGTAAGTGGAAGATATCAGTTGATAGTTCTTACTTTATTTTGCTTTTGTAAAATTTTTCTTGAATGTGAGAACTTATGAGTTCCTTGTTTTTATACTGATTACTATATATGTGTTTGCTTATTCAATTCCCAATCCAGTGTACATTCTTTATGGGATATGGCAGTTTTAAGTATTCAATGGTGGATGTTCTACTACATATCTGCCACTAAATAGTACTTAAAACTTACTATGTCCATAAAAGGGATGCTAATATTGTGAAACCCAAATGTTGAAATGTGAACTCACTTAATCTAGCATTTACCATTTTAGATTGGAAACATTGACAATTGTGGATTGCATTGCCTCATTTGCCTGAGTTATTTACTCTTGGGATGTTGTTCTCACTTTATGTGGTATATCACTAGAGCTAGTACCTTTCTGAGTTTTCCATATTTTTATGTATTTTACCAGTGGGGTGCTGCCTTTTGTGTTCGAGGAGGGCCCGAGAAGGAAAAGAAGGCAATAGAGGTATGACAACTGAAAAAATAGTTATTTGATAGCTTTTTGTTGTTTAATTGCTCCATTTGCCCTGGCATAGTTTTCAAGTAACTTTGGTATTTTCATGATGAGATTATTATTTCTGGTTTCATTCATGTATTATGTTTTTTGCTTTTGTAGTATTTGGAGCGAAGAGAATGCGAATATGATCTGAAGTCTTCAATTAACTTTTTTACGGTAATATGTCTTGAGCTTTTCTCTACTTGGATTAGCTATTTCAATATGGAGTATAAAACTCAGATATCACCCTAGGGTAACGCTATTTAATGTATAAAGTTCAATGAAAAAGATGTTCTCCAAATATTTTAATAGCATACAAATTGCTTAGCTAAGATCTTAATTTGAACTTAAGCTTCCACCTAGTCCTCCAAGTCATTTAAATTATGGATAAACTGAGCACATTTATGGAAGCTTTAATGATATTGAAAAAAACTGCTAGCAATTCAGTAACTTTTTAATAACATGTCTTCTTTTTCCAATTCCAGGAAAAAGACTCTGTTAATCCTGCTTTAACTGGAGTCTTAGTGTAAGTGTTTCTTTGCTTTTCGGACAAATATTCTTTGAATGCCAGAGAGGAGAATAGCTTGAATGAAGTTCTTACAAATTGTTGTTTGCAGGTTTATGTCCACTCCAGACAAAGTGAATAACAAGTATTACCTCGGACCTGCCCCGTTGGAAGATATGGCCAAGTAAGCATCATGCGGTCCTTTTCTCATTTCCTAGTATCTTTTTCTTCAGTAATTTGTGTTATTGAAGGATTTTAGTTTTATTATTCTAATTTTTCATTTTGTCCCACAGACAAATTGCTACTGCCTCTGGTCCTTGTGGGAACAACAGAGAGTATATTTTCAAAATGGAGAAAGCCTTGTATGATATTGGTAAGCACCTTGGATGTGTGTGTTGTGTGTTTTTTTTTTTTTCCAATTAATGGAGTTGTGCTTACCTTAGGGTTAAACATTTCTGATTGACGAGTATACATATTTTATATTTAACCAGGCCACGAGGATGATTACATTATAGAACTTGCAAATGAAGTAAGGAAAGCCCTGGGGATTGCTGGTTCTGGTAGTCCAAAGGAGAAGAAGCTACTCAGCAGTACACATATTCCACTCAAGTCACACTTATCGCCTGCTAAAGTGTGTCCCTTACCAGAAGCTGTTCCAGTCCTCGCCATGGATTCTTAACGTCTATGAGTTGCATACATATTACTCTGTATGAGGTAAGGGTATAAGGTGAAGAAGTGAAGCATTACTCAAGTAACTGGAAGATTACACGAAGCGGTTTTTTTTTTTTTTTTTTTCAACACCCAGAAAATTTATTCTTTTTGAGCTATCATTAACTTAGAGAGTAGTTATATGAAAAAGAGGGTTAAGAGCTAACTCTACTGATAACAATATGGATACTGCTGCTGCTGCTGCAAAATTGTTCTTTAGTAAGACTGATCCTTGAAATCTCTCAAGGTGCTCCCAAATTGATTTTATTGTAATGTGAAAGTTCATTAGCTACATTTCTGTTCCCTTTTTCAAATTTATCCATTGATTGTGATGGCTATGGTTTTGGGTGAAGAGAGAAATTTGCTACCACTACTCGATGGTGTGCACGGGATAAATCTGGTCTTGTGACAAAAGAGTAATTCGAGTATATGCCTCCGCTTTTTCCACTCCGGGCTAGGAGTTGTTAGATTGTTATAATCTCTCAAACTAGTCAACTGCATATGTTAGATGATTAGTTGAGTACATTAACTATAGAAGAGGAGTAGCCGAGCTGGTAAAAAACCACTTGACCAAGTTGGCACCTAGTTGGCTAATTAGTCGGTCAGCGGATTAAAAACCGCTTAGGGCTAAAATTGTCTTGATCTAGGGGCACCTAGTATCTAGGTTGATTTTTACAACACTGACTAGGAGTTGAACTTGAAATCTTGTAGTTACAAAGCCAACAATTTAATCACTTGGCTGGGCATTACAACACTGACTGGAGTCGAACTTGTAATCTTGTAGTTACAAAGCCAACAATCTGACCAACTTGATTGGGCATTACAACACTAACTAGGAGTCAAACTTGTAATTTGACCAACTTGGCTGGATTGCCCACGAAGGCTATGTTTAGAATAGTGACAATCTTGAACTACTTAAAATTGTTGTTTCTAATATAGAGATTGAGAACCATACTCAAAATTCTTCTAGGAGTGACAATAAAAAGCAATGCAAACAATGGGGTTCTTTAAAATTTGCTACTTGAGCTGCAGAATATGATTGAACAAACACAATCTATTTTAATCTTTGCAAGAATTATACTACAAACAAGAATCTGCAGAAAAAGCATCAGTGTTTGTTTTGATGGTGCATATTACAATATGAAGCAGAGCCACCTTTGCTAGTAACCTAATTTTGCCTATCTGTTAGGCTCTATGCAAGAAGCCAATCTTTTTTCTTCCTCAGCTCTCTACTGTTTCATCTTCTCAGTGATGAATGTAATGTCAAAATCCATTGTGAAACTAAATGCCATCAGCATAGGTAGCATGCTCACATTCAAGAACTGCGTATCTAATGATGGTAATTTTGTCCTTTGAGAATCGTCCATGCCCTGCAAAAAGATCGGAAATATATAAATCATTCACAACATTCATCTGCCCCCGAATCTGTTATGAAAACTTAGAACATTAGTATCAATGATCCATATATTTCACACAAGTCAATAACTAAAATCAATAGAAGAAATAGATGGCCTCTAAAGTAAAATGAGATGTTTTTGAGAGTTATGACATGGAAATGCCTTTTAGTAACTTTACCATTATCTTTTAACATTTATACTGTAAAGTGAAGCTCAAAGAAACGGGCGAAAATGAAATCGAGATTTAGTATGATTACCTGTAAAGTTGTTCTACCAGTACAACTAATGCGATCTCATGATTGAAGACCAAAGACGATAACTTGATTGATAGATTAGCCCGCTCTTGTAATTGCCGTCCATGTCCATAAGGTCCACCTATGCAGAATACCAAATTCGATGCTCCCTAATGGGAGGGGAAGAAAAGTTCATCAAATCAATGTTTTTGGCCTTTTGGGACAAAACCACACTTTTAACTAATAGAACTTATACTGAAGGCATAGCTCATACCATATTCCCAGCATCTCCAATTAAAGAAGCCATCTGCTCAGAGCACACATCAAGTCCTCGCTCATCTAGCATTACAACCTGCGTTTACAAAATGTAAAACCTGAGATGAAAGTAATGCAATAAGATCCTGTTATAATCTAAGATTAGGCCAGGGTCACTCAACTGGACTATAATGCACATAAGCCGAACCACACTAAAAGATTAAATTCAACCAATTAGCTAGTCTAACCCATAGCCTTATAAACCTATATGTTCTCTTTTATTTTATCAATGTGGGACTCTTAACAGATCCAAATAAACTTGATTCCCTGCTCTAAATCTTCCACACACGCACAAAAAGAAAGAAAAAAGAATGATTTTCAGTTTATACCCAATCCTCGGACCTGATTACACTCATCACAGCTATGTCCTCGTGTTCAATCTGAGCGATCACATCACTGTTACAAGATACAGATTAAGAATTGCCATAAAGTTTCATCATTTTCGAACAACTAAAAGGCATAAGTGTTCATGCGAAGTTACGAATTAACCAACAAGAAAGCTCATCTTAGCATTCTTCGGAATCTTGTAATGTTTATTAGGTCTCTCTATCAACAATCAACATTTCCTTATGAAACTTAATACCCTCGTCGGGTAACTAACCGAGCATTTTTGGGATTGGATTTGATCCGCACATCATCAACACAACAGTAATGCCTTAGCTTTTCAAGATAATCATCTACTATCAGTTGAACACCAGGTGACCTCTTCTTTCCCACCGTCAATATCCGGATTGGTAATGCTCTCTGTACATTAGACGCTCAATCAGCTGATATATCATGCCAAGACTACATATTCAGCTAAAACGTGATGAGTATTTAATTAAAACTTAATGAACATTGTGGTACTTCACATTTCACTTTGACCGATTGTGTGAGCATCTTGGTGATGAACATTAAATTCAATTTCTTTGTGCACCTCTCATAGTAGAATTTGTGGCACAGACACACATAGGGATGTCAATTGGGCCAGCTTGTTTGGTTTCGGGCTATCGGTCTTAGCAGTTCGATCTTATTGGTTTTTAATTATTGATCCTAACCCTAAACCCTCAGGTTGTCAGCTTATCGAACGGGCTCAACTAACACTTTTTGACATTTTTAAATTAACATTCTAAACTTTCAATTTTAATAAACTAGTGCATTTACACTAATAAATATAAATTTATACATCATTCAATCAATCAAGACCTCCATTTCTAGATTTCAACTAAAGATAATTAATATATTTACACTATAATATAATAAGTTATTAAGTTATACTAAGGATGAACTTACCTAAACTCACTGTATATTTTGTTCTACATCACTTGTGAAAAAAATAATAGTCTTAAGTGGCTCAGACGATCGTGATAGCCCAATAAATTTCGGGGTAACCCTTTTGGGCCACTAGGCTAATTAGTATCCGACTTATTTATCAAGCTAATATTTTTTGGCAAATTACTCTGTTGACTCGGGTCAAATGTTCACAATTTACTTTTTAAAAAATCACAATTTGTATACTACGAAGACACAATATTAACATATATGTAATTGATTATCTTGTTTTGTATTCACAAGTTCCTTTCAAATACTGCAGTCCCACAATATTAAATATTAGGATTTGATGACCTTGTATTGTATTTACAAATTCACTTCTACGGCTATTATGTGTTTTGACTTAGAAACACAATTTATATTCTAGAATTTCACAATTTCAATACTAAAAATACACAATTTATACGTGGTTTAGTACCAGGGTCCACCTATAACAACTCATATACTTTAGCTATAACCTTAAATTTTTTCGGTCTTGTCAAGCTAGTCCAAGTTTCGGGCTAAAATTAACATCCCTAACGCAAACATATACACAATACATTTAGCAGAGTTCTAGGATTGATTGAGTACAAATATGAAATATGAAGCTACGAAGTAGAAGTCTTTACCACAGACTGGCCGACATATTTGCATCTCTTTCCTGCGAAAATCAAGAAAGATGAGATTTTTATTAGATAACAAATACGCCTCACACACAGCTTGAAGTTATTGAGAAGGAAAGAAGAAAAGGGGAATTGCAGTAGACGACCTTGAGAAGGAATTGGCTGCTTTAAATGTACAGCGAACGACGTCGTCGCCATGATAGTCTGATAACTCTGCTCCCCAACAAATTTGGGTTTTGTTTATTGTTCTGTTCTTTCCTCAAAATTTGTTTGAGAGTTGAGAGTAGCGGATAATATGTGGGTGTAAATGTAAATAATGTGAAACTTGGGGAGCTCCGATTAAATTCGAGTAAATTTCATTTTCAATCCCAAAATAGCATTAATGACGTGTTTGGTTCATGGAATAGGTCGGGAATGGAATACAATTCCTGAGAATAGACCTATTCCATTGTTTGTTATGTCTTTTTATTCTAGGGAATAGCGTTCCTGGGAATGAGTTATTCTCTTTGCAAGAGGGATAGCCATTCCTAGGGGACCCCTGGTATTAGCTATTCCCAAGTATTTCGGAATAGCTTTAGTACTATAATACCGAAAATACCCTACCATCGCCGTCTCCACCACTACCACCGCTACTAGGGGTGTGCATAACCGACCAACCCGACGGGTCGGCCCGACCCATTTGTCCGTTTCATTGCTTCCGATCCGAGCCGCCATCCGAATAGCCATAACCGACCCGCTGCCATTAATATTAGCGGTTATATTGATTCGGGTAGGGTGTATAAATTCTCTACCCGAACCGCCCGATCATCCGAACAAAGCGCTAGGACTAGAAATGCTTAGTATAATACGGCGTCGTGTAGATTGTGTATATAATCCACGCTTCTGCCTTAGGGTTTCTCACTTTCTCATTACATCCGAGACTGCGCAGTCTTCCTCTTCACTCTCTCACTCTCTAGAGTCTAGGGTTTCTCAGATATCACTTCTCAATTATGAGTTCTCCCGTTTTCTCTCAATCTCTGAGACTCCGATAGTCCGATAAATGGTCTGGTGGAACCGTGGAACTATGGAAGCCCTTTATCTGATTCTCTATTGAGTTCTCTCTGGTGGAAGCCCTTTCTCAGTTTCTCTAATTCTCTTCATCTCTTCATCTCTTCACTCTTGACTCTTGACTCTTTGTGTGAGTATGTGGTGGAAGCCCTTTATCTGAAGCCCTCGTTGAGTTGTTGACTGACTCATTGAGTCATTGGTGGACGCCTGGACGGACTGGAGTCACAGGACGGTGGTATCAAACTGGTGGTGACTTGAAGGCCCTTGTTCTCCAGGGAAATTGTGTGAGAAAAGCAGTAAATCACTAACCTTAGTTATTTTAATTTTTATTTACTCATTATAATGTGAATATGTGATATATTATGAGATTATGATTTCTGAGTCAATGAGTCTCTGAGTTGTGATTTACTGAAAATTGAATTTATTTACTTGTATAGTTGTATTCTTAATACTTGTATACAATGTGACTATGTGAGTATGTTAAATTCTGAAAATTATTTTGGTGGAAGCACTAAATGATGATCTCTGTTGTCTTTCTTGTTTATGGATTGAGGCCCCTTAAATACTTAAAGTTAAATGTTTTGGTGGAAGCTGAATGCCTGAATACATGCTATGTGTTGTCCATATGATGAGCATTCAGTGATTCAGAGACCTTTGTTGTCCACTTGTCCATACGAATGCCTGATGGAATTGTGTTCCACTGCAAATTGCTTAGTGCTACACTGTTAAATACTTAAATGTTAATATGTGAGTTGTGACTTGTGACTGTCTGAGATTTTGTAAAATGTTTCCCATCTCTTACTATGTGTACTGATAATGCTCCATTTTTAGATGGATAATATCAGTATGCCTAGTTCTGGCTGTGAACAACCTACAAATCCTACAGCTCAAGGAGCAGTAGTGGTAGAAGCTCAAACTATTGACAAAAAAACTCAACAGAATGTGCTGCGTACTGCTGGTGTTCCTGAGAAGAAAAGGAAACAGGTTGAACTCAGATCACCAGTTTGGGATCATTTTCAACAGATTAAAGATTGTAATGATGTCACTGTACAAGGAAAGTGTATATATTGTGCAAAGGTATATCATTGTGAATAAAAAAAAAACATGGTACTTCATCCTTAAGGAATCACATGTTTAGCTGTATGAAAAATCCTCACTCTAAAGAGACTAGGCAGTCCCTTCTAACATTTCAAGTTGTTGCTAGCACTGATGCATCTGAACCACCTGTGGGAGAGTTAGGGACATGGGTATTTAATCAGGAAATCATTAGGAGAGCCTTGGTAGAAATGATTATAATTGATGAACTTCCTTTTATATTTGTTGAGGGGCAAGGGTTTAAGAGGTTCATTGCAGTGGCTTGTCCTATGTTTAAAATTCCATCTAGGTGGACAATCAGTAGGGACATTCATGTCATATATGAAGAAGAGAAACTTAAGTTAAAGTGCTTGTTTAGGGGACACACTCAAAGAGTCAGTGTTACAACTGACTCTTGGACATCTATACAAAGAATTAACTACATGGTAGTCACTGCACATTATATAGATGAAGAGTGGAAGCTTCACAAGAAAATTATCTCTTTTGTCCCTGTTACTTCACACAAGGGTGAGTACATTGCAAAAGCACTTGAAACTTGTTTGCTAGAGTGGGGGCTTAGGAATGTATTTACTGTGACAGTAGATAATGCTTCATCAAATGATACTGCTATTGTTTTTTTTTTAAAGGAAAGTGTTGTCTTGGGGATAATCTAATGTGAAGTGTAAGTATCTTCACATGAGATGCATTGCCCATATTCTGAACTTGGTTGTGCAAGATGGGTTGAAAGAATGTGATAGTGCTGTGAAGAAGGTTAGGGAGGTTGTTAGGTATGTCAGAAATTCACCTGCTAGGTTGAAGAAATTTAGGGATTTGTCAGACTTAATTGGATTGAGCAAAAATCCTCTTTGTGTCTTGATGTGCCAACAAGGTGGAATTCCACCTATATGATGTTACAGTCTGCTCTATTATACCAGAAAGTGTTTGAGGCTTATGAAGAGAGTGATAATTCTTTTAAATCTGATTTGGGTTCTTCTATTCCTGACTTTCTGGATTGGGAGTCTGTGAAAAGCTTGGTCAAATTGTTGAAATGCTTCTATGAGATGACTATCAGGATTTCAGGCTCTTTATATGTGACATCTAACACCTTTTTCTCTGAAATATCTGATCTGTATTGTATCTTGAATGGAATGGTGGAAGCTGATGGTGCTGTCAAACGAATGGGGACTAACATGAAAGCAAAATTTGAAAAATATTGGGGTAATATAGACAAAATGAATTGTATGATTTTCTTTGTAAACATTTTAGACCCCAGGGACAAGTTAGAATATATGCCAACTCAATTAAATCACATGTATGGTGTCATAAAAGGAAAGGATTTCCTTGAGAAATTGTTGGCTGCTTTGAATGAATTGTTTGATGATTATGCTGTTAGTTATAGTCCTGTTGTTGTCCCAACTTCTGGTTCTGGTTCTGTAACTTCTGTTAGTCCTTCTGTTGAGGTTGTTCAGTCTGTATCTGTCCTAGTTGAGAGGCCACAACATCTGTTGAAGTCTCAAATTAAGAAACAAAGAATGGAAAGTGGTGAGAGGAAAAAAACTGAGTTGGAATATTATTTGAGTGAGGCAGTAGTTGAAGAGGAAAATTCATTTGATATACTGAGGTGGTGGAAGGTTAACTCTAGTAGATTTCCTATCCTTTCTAAGCTTGCTAGGGATGTCTTAGCTATACCAATTTCAACTGTTGCCTCAGAGTCTGCCTTCAGTACATCTGGGAGGGTTTTAGATCCTTTTAGGAGTTCTTTAACTCCTAAAATTGTGGAAGCCTTGGTTTGTACCCAAGATTGGCTTAGGCTGCCAAATACTCCTATATCAGTTGAGAAAAATCTAGAAGAATTAGAAAGATTTGAGAAAGGTAAATGATTCTCTATATTCTATACTTTATTAATTCATTGTTTCAATATAAATTTTTTCAATTAACTGAATTCTCACATTCTTCTAATTATTTAATTTATTGCAGGTTTAACTGTTGATGGTGGAAGTAAATCTGGTGGGAAGACTGTTGGTTCTACACTTCCAACAATTCTTGTAATTGTCTTCTCTACTCTCTATATATTTTATATGATATTAGTTATTCTTAATATCTTATATTAAGCTGAGTAACTGACTGTGATAGTCTGATGTTGAGGCAATGAGGCTTGGTAACTTCAAACTTGTAAGTTGCTGCCCTTGATGAGTTTTTGGCCCCTAACCGCAAGATTGCGCTGAAATCTTGTTAAGTGGTGAACTGGTAACTGTTAATGTTCTGTTTACACTTTAGACTGTAGAGGCTTGGTAGCTTACAACTTGCTTGTAAGTTAGTAAAGTTGCTGCCTTTTGCAGTTTAACCAGTTTTGCATTACTGTTATCTTTGAGTTTTGGTATATTTAATTTCTCTAATTATATTATGGCAATGATGAAGCTTCCACCTATGATCTGAAATAAGGATTAAGTTGGTATGTTGCTCAATGATCATGGTGACATTTGTAGCAATTTGCCCTTAATCTAGACATTGATATGAAAAAAAAGCTTACTGAGCCAAATTTATAATCTCAATATCTCATTCTCATATTATCATTTCTTATGTAATTATTATTGTTGTTTATTACTTTACTAATTTGCACTAAGTTTAAACAGGAAGAAGATTAGAACTCAGGTTTTAAAGTAGGATCAAGATGGCTTTTTGATGACATTGATAAGGAATTCAGGAATCAGGAATTCAAGATGGCTATTTGATGATATTTTGATATCTGATCAGGAATTCAGGATGGTTTTTTGATGAATTGATTTGGATCTGTAATTTTGAAAGCTGTAAAGTGTAAATCATTAAATTTGTTTTGTTGCCTAGCAATGTCGTTTTGGCCTTTTGATTAATTTGCCACTAGTTTTACTGTTTTAGAATTTAGTGCTTTACTAATTACTAGTTCAAGATTTAGTTTTTAATTATGTTTACTTCAAATTTTCATAGTTTTCTGGAACTTATTTTGATGTTGCTAAACCCGATCATAACTCGGTTATCCGACAAAACCGTCCGAAACCGAATTAACAAAAACCGAAAGGATTTTATAATTTTTTTTAGCCAAGATCGGTTTTAGTTTCTCCAATCCGAAAACCGTGCGAATTAAGTATTCTCCCATCCGAACCGAACCGATCCGTCCGTTGCACAG